GTTGACCATTGGACCGGCTGCATCTGTACGAAGAACCTCAAGATCTACGGATCTCCGTAAGGCAACTATTGCAAGGGTCAGATGGGTGACCAAAATTTTATTATCTTGAGGTTCTTCATACAGCCAACTATCTAGTTGGCGCTGTGAAAATATCAATAAATTGCACATAATTCGTTCATGCGTATGTGCTCAATATTAATTCACTGTGATTTGTGATTTACTCTCAATAATTTTGAAAACCAATTTATCAAGAAATTATACTTGCCGCCAAAATTAGGTAGTATTGTACTGCTTTTTTACTGTCGAAGAAATGTTAATCGCCAGAGTATCTACCTACTACATTATACTTGGATAAGAACAATGGTACAGGTTCGTAAAAAAAATAAAAAAATGAACCAACCTCAAACTATAAAAAAGTGATAAATAATACTTATCTCATAAACGACTTATTGTAGATAATGCTATTGAAGTCGGCCGGAGATTATCTATAGGTTTATTTATTATAAGCGCCCCACTCTAGTAGCATTTTTTTAAATAAATCGCTTTGAGATAAGTATTATCACTTTTTAAAATTTGAAGTCTTTTTTTTAGTTTTTATTTCATGCTTTTTAGTGATAATGATATTTTTTTATAAAGTAGGTAACACTAAAAATATTAAATAATAGCTTTCCGCCAGCGGATTCGCCCGCGTCGTCCCATCATATAGATATAGTTATTGCAGAAGACTCCTATGTATGCATAAATGAAACGCAGTAACAGAACAGTTATTGCATTACGTTAGAACGTAAGTACCGATATAACAAACGAAAAAGTTCTATTCCAATTTCCATCGACTCTGTTCGGTATCCGTTCAGACGCTTAGTTAAACTATGTTTTAGTGTGTAGCAATATAAAAAGAGAGGGAACAGTTTATTTGGATATCGGTTCATATTATGACACGACGACACGGATATAATTACAACGACAAATTTAATAGTAAATAATCGTTACCATGGAATCGTTTTTCATTTTCTATATAACTCCCATTGTCATCCCTTTATTTTCCGTTCTCACCGTTATATGTATAGCCTATTTTCACCGCATATGATATATCTTCTCTTAGGTGAAAGAATTTTTAAAAACGATCCGGTATTTTCGGAAACTCTTCATTACAAAAAATAAAATAAAAACTTATCAAATTTATCAAGCTTCTTAGTGAATCGGTTTATGATGACTGGTAATAAAAAGTTTCTACAAGTGTGAGAGCAGCTGTATACTTTTTTTTATCCATCAGTACATCAGGGATTTCTTTGACCCAATATTTGTAATTGGTGGTGAATTTTCCAAAGGCTAGAATATCTTTAGACCGGGCACTTTGCAAAAGTAAAAACGCTGGCTTTTATAGATATAACTGTCCTCAAAATGTACAAGTATTTCTATGAACAAGATTGTTCACCTAAAAAGTTACATGTTACTAAATATACGATTTTAATAACTATAGTCTACCCCTACTTACGATGTTTTACCTCCCTCCAAAATTTAAACTATACACAATTTAGATATGTGTAAAAAATCTTATTTTTTGCTTAATAAGATCACTAAACATCAGTAAAAAGTAAGTTATGATAACTTTTTTATATCGATAAAAAGTTGATCTTTATGGCTGGTTTCTGAATTTAAATAAGTACATAATCTCAAATGATTATTTTTGATAAATTAAGCCCGCCTTCTTAATTCTCTACCTATAACTATAAAAATGTTTTATTGATTTTATAACATGTTTATATTCTTCCATAATGTTCATGTTTTATCAACGATTTTCTGAATCATAAAATTTGACTTAATTTAAATATAATGAAAGTGTAACAAGCTATTTCAGAAACTGAAATAAACCAAAATATTTCATTATAACTATGGCTAGTGTCAAAGCTAATAAGTTAGGTTAGGCACTTCTGCTACAGGCAGGCCTAGCGTGTTAATCGATTGGGTTTAATTTGAATGGCATTAGTTTCAATAAAATACATTCAACGCTAAATAACACCGGAGATACCGCATAAGCTGTGTATCATAAACAGCTTATGCGGTATCCTTCAATAAACTATTCAGCTCACAAGCATTACACAAAATCATTTCAAAATAAAAGAATACAAACAATAATGGAGCAATCACATTAGCTAATTCCATCAAATCCGTTGTAGTTCATTGCGGTCCGTTGCTTATGAGTGTCTTCGTTGTCTTTATGATGATCTTTATGAGAAAAATAGAAGTAGATTAACCTGATATAGAAAAGTGTAGTGTATTTTTCTGTTGTCACAGGTCGGTCATGAAAAATCTCGCCAATTTGCTGGCTGTCCCGATCAGCGAACAAGTGTTAATTTTCATCTCCTTGGTAGCCGCAGCCACACTGCACGCGTGGACGACAGGTAAGGATTTAAAAAAATCTCAATATACATTTTGGAAACTGGCGAAATTAATCGTCTAGAAAAATAATGAATTACTTATGAAATTCAGTTGTGCCAATTCTGTTGTATTACCCTCTATAAACAAAAAATATTTTATTCCGTTGGGGTCTGGTTGTTGTGGTACCTTGGTTGTTTGAAATTTCTGCAGAGTGGTTGTGTAAGTTTTTTTCTCGTTTACCTTCACCGTCGGTCGTGAGTACTTTAAGATTTTAGTATTGAATCCGGTACAGCGCCCGTCGGTCATGAGTATTTTCGTATTGAATCCGATACAGCGCCCCTAACGGTAACTGCCACGAACTACAAAACTATACAAATTCTCACAAGCTCACTAGTGAACGCGTTAACGTAAAACTTACACTTACCATTCTGAGAAATGTAAATGTGTTATGTTGTCTAATATTAATTGTTGTTATTTGTGTGGTATAGAGGGGCGGAGCGCCCGTAGGTGGTTGGTGGGAGCACGCGGGCGCAGGGCGCACGGCCGCTCACTCATCCCCCACCACACGCACCCGCCGATTCACTGTTAGCAGGTAATGACGTCACCGACTAATAGATAATAAGAATACACCAGGCGCGTTACACTACTAATGTATAAATCGACGAAAATGTATTCAGACGCGGCTCTGCTAGCCGCTTTAACTGATTACTTGAAAATAACAAACGTGTCAAAGTTCCAGTTAAACAATTAATGAGTTGCACTTTGCACTATGGTTAGATGACGCCATAACTTTGATTGTTAACTATAACCGCCTAACCTTTACTGTTTTTCTTTACCAGAAAAGTGAAATGCACTCCGTAGTCAACGATAAAATCAGCATAAGAATTGTCGTTAATTTTTTACATAAACTATAACTTTAATTTTAATTTACAAGAACTTATAATAATAACCTACGATCATATATTTCTACGTGATAGTTTTTATATGATAAAAAAATTTAAACACAACTTGCTATAAGACTTACAAGTGACTTACTTTACGAAAATTTCTAGCCAATAAATGAATCTATATTTTCGCTGGGTTTTCCAAACTTTTTGTTAGTTCTTTCTATGAAGAGTAAGGGCATGTAAGGTAGTGGGCAGTGGTCCACATTGCAGACACATGTTGCTGTCTGTGTGATGTCTAAATATAATCGCTGTAGTTTGTTTACGACATATAAAACATTCATTCTAAGTTGCCTTACATGCCGTTTTTGTCCAAACACACCCTTAATAAAAGTGTCTTTCCCCACAGATTTTTTTTTCTGTGGTTATTCCTACAAACAATTGCCTACTGATACTAATCTCATGAAATTTGCACCACCATGAGTATATGCCAACTTCTTCAAACTAAAAAAGTATCATCTAAAAACAGTTCTACTAATATTGTAAAACATGCAAAAAAAACTTTAATTCAAATTGAGAATCTCCATGTTTGGAACTTGGTTAAAAAAATGAAGATAAGACAAATCGAATTTTCATAGACTATTTCAAAGTAAGGTTTCAGCGAAATTGGTTCCTTAAATAAATTCCTAATAAACCGCCGATAATGCGTCGACACGGGCCGCAAAAGCCGTAAAATAAAGGGACTACACAATAATGGTTTAAGATAGCCTTGACCCGGTCCCGTTATAAGGAATTCTTATATTATTACGCAACGTTCTGCAGATGAACTATAACAGTCATTCGAAATTGTGATATCATTAAATAAATTATAAATAGGCGCAAAGGAAAATAACCAGATATGGAAATTATCCCTAATACAAAACAACTTACTTACTTACTTATTTATTATTTATAAAATAAATTAATAAACCTAGAAATAAGCCAAGAAAACTCTTAAACATATCACAGGTTGTCTAGAGTTATTGACAGTTTACAAATTTTACCGTATCAGAACTAATAAAAATGGTAATTTAATGTTATAGAGATTATATTTCTCACTTGTCTTCCCGCAAGCGGCTTCGCTTGCGATATTTGTATCGTACTTAAAAACCTTCCTCTTGAATTAATCTGTATATTGACGAAAATCGCATTAAAGTCCGTTGTGTAATTTAAAAGATCTCAGCATTTCTATTTACTTACACTTCGTTATTTTCCTCTATTGAATTACTTTCTACTAATGTTTAGCCAATTCTCTTTTTTTTTTGTTTAATTGACCAACCACGGTTACATTGAAAAATATCTACTTAAATTGTATAATCCAACTATATAGATACTTTTCAGTGAAACGGTTACACAAATTAATAAAAAAACAACATATATTTATCTTTAAGATTTCTAAAGCGTCTTATATTTCAATGGTGATAATAACCTGCGGGGAATAATAACAACCTAGACCAAATCCTCACCCGACTTCGATCCGAGAGCACAGAAGTGCCTCCGCCAAGTTTAGCTTTCTTAACTTTATACAGAAAAAATTGCGTAGCGAGTTTTTAATTTTTTATAAAATTTATGAACGTTTTGAAGACCTTTTTTTAATTATTAATAAAGAGTGTATTTCCTTTGACTTTCAAAAAGGAAATTAAAATAAAACAAATCTTGTACAGTAGGCAGTTCACTCGAGGGGGAGTTCGATAGACAATGTCCGAGGACTTGGACTCGATCAGCGAGGAAGAACGAAGCTTGTTCCAGCCCTTCACAAGAGAATCATTGGCCGCTATCGAAGCCCGCATAGCTGAGGAGCATGCCAAGCAAAAGGAACTCGAGAAAAAACGAGCGGAAGGCGAGGTAAGTCACAACACCATATAGTATGTACCAGTTTAACCCAACTAACTCTCTTAGAGCAACAAGAGTTTGTTTAAAAAAATATATGCCAATCGGACATTTCATACTTAGCGATTCAATATCAACTGTCTCTATCAGCAATTGCAGTATTTGTATATATAATTTATTTATATATGGATTCATATTAACAATGATCGCAAAAGCACTTAGATATCTATTTTAGTGTGGCACCAAATGAGAGATCCACGTTTATCCTGACGAATAATTTTTAAACTATTCCAGAACGATTTGGGGCGGACGAAAAAGAAAAAAGAAGTAAGATTGCTTGCTTGCCCCTTTTTACCTTTTTAAGGCTCGTTTTTATTAGAGAAATATTGTCCAGCAAGTTATCGCTTGAACGTACAAAATTAATTTTGTGAACCTATTTACGAATATCCACCAATCATTGGCGCCACTATCGAGAATGCGATAACTTGTACTGCATTCTGATTATGCATTTTACCGCATTAAAGCATTAACTCCTCAAACACATCGCTTTGTCAGCAAAGTAATGAAATGTTTGCAAGTTTAGCTGTTAAAATCATAATTAACAGCTAATCTTTATTGTAGTTGGTTCAAAGAAGGCTTGTCATGTTTATTTGCAAATCGACGACGCAAATTTTCAAAATTCCACCATAGATAAAAAGAATGCAGAGGGATAATACAGTGAATTAATGAAAACATTTGTAGAAAAAACCAATGGATTAGCTGATAACCTTAACATTATCATTAATTGTTGAAATTTAGATATCCTTTCGAATAGAATAGAAAAACTATTTAACCCTGTGTACCGGCAACTTTAATATTGTAAATATAACAAGTAGGCGATAATCCCGATCCATGAATATATCCTGTATGCCATACACTGTCAGAAAATATAAGACAATAATATTATAAAAATCAACAAGATATACGATTGAACGAACCATCGGCACAGCAAGGACCGAAAGATTATTATATACTTACACCAGCACATGACATTCACCATCAAGCATTGCACAGGACTGGCTCATATTCGCCACATCATCATTGACTGCTGTCATTTAGGTCTAGCATGGTGAACACACCTAGCTAGCTTTTAGTGCATATTGAAGTTTATTAGACAGTAAATTTTAAGTCGAAATTGACTATCATGAACTTTTTTATTGGTTGTGATAAGTATTTTGGAACTTTGATCTGAGCTTGCGCTAGTACACCTCCTATTTTGCCACCTATTTCGAATAAATCAAAAACAAATCACAACTACTACAAGGTTTCGTTAATCAATGAAGTTAGTTTATATTCCGTTTATAATTAAGATATATCGAAACTTTGTCAATATAAATTTTTAAATTATAAATATTGGCGAATATATAAGATATTCTTATTAATAATATTTTTATTAATTAACGTTAGGCATTAGTATTACATTCGGAATGGTAACACAATAGCGAGGACGTTTTACACAATACGCTTATAGTTCTGCCAGTTACGCATTATAATCACAAACAACGGCACCACATTATCGAACCAGCTTGGTGAACGCCACACGAGAGATACTGACTTAATATAACTTTGTAACAGTAACTTTGTAAATGTTTAAAAACAAATAAACATTTTTACGTTAAACGGTTTTATCGCAAAGTAACAATGAAATCAATTTGATGCGGCCATTTCGTTTCACTCGCCATCTTTACTTTGAAATTATTTAATGATGTGCTATATAATAAGTTATTCCCTTTCATTCGATCGATATATGCATTTGGGGTATGAAAATAGGTGATCCTCCTTTTTGTAAATTATAAATGTTTTATAATTCCCAAATTTCATGTCAAATAATAATAAATAAATAGGAAGGGGTTAAATTCAGGAATTAGATTTTGACCCATCTAGTTTTGCCATATAAAACCGTTTAAACATATATATTTTTTATTATTAATAATATTTATTGTGATGCAGTGTCAGTTAGAATGATATTGTTACAAAGTCTCCGAAGGATCTATTATTAATAAGGTATTTTGTTAGGCTTAATTGTAGGCTAGCTTGCCAAGAAATTTGAGAGTAAATGAAAATTAACAAAAGCATTTCGCTTAAATCACACTGGCGTTTGTATACGTTTTGTATGTGAAACGTCGGTGAAGTATCGAAACTGACGAGGGAGAAATAAAAGAGGTATTCGGTACTTTCTATTTCTAATGGTGCGGTTATAATGAATAGGTGCGATACGATGACGAAGATGAGGACGAAGGACCCCAACCGGACGCCACTCTGGAGCAGGGCTTACCCCTACCGGTGCGAATGCAGGGCTCCTTTCCTCTGGAACTTGCCTCCACGCCCCTCGAGGACATCGACCCATTTTATCACAACCAAAGAGTAAGTAGTACGCATCACTAAAAATACAACAGTATCATTAAGAACTAGACTTACTACTAGACAATTGACCAAATATTAACATTGTACATCAGTTAAGTACTTTTTTAAATGTCCATTTAAAACAATAGTAACGCTATCTTTTGGTGATGAAAAATACTGAAATCACCTTAAGGATATAGGTACGAAGGGCAAATAAATATTTATTTCAATCTCCTTTAAACGATGTTACAATGTTTTCTTGAAAGTCAATGTTTATTGAGACTTAAAATTCCTTAGATAGTCCTTACACAGATAGTAATGTTTTAGTCCATAAAATATTTTTGTGTGAACATATTCTTTTTCTCTTTGCAGACTTTCGTAGTCATAAGCAAGGGTAAAGATATCTTCAGATTTTCGGCAACGAACGCGTTATGGATTTTAGACCCGTTCAATCCCATAAGAAGAGTGGCGATATACATACTAGTGCATCCTCTGTTCTCATTGTTTATCATTACGACGATCTTAGTGAACTGCATTCTTATGATAATGCCTACCACGCCGACTGTCGAAAGTACTGAGTGAGTATAACAAAACCCTATCATTTCATATCAATATTAGTTCATAATATAATCGATTAAAAGAATGTCAAATTGTATTGGAACTATTTTACCATTGAACGATCCAAAAAACTATCATAAATATTAGTAAAATTAGTAGAGTGCACGCTAGTTTCAAAATTGTTAGAATTCAGCTAGTTTCAATATAAATTATTAATATTTAGATGATCGGAAGTAATTACATTTTATATTTTAGAATTGTATAATCTATTTAGAATATCAGAAAATAGTTAATATACATATGTTTATTCATAGATATCCCATTAAGATTACTTAGTTGACAATTTTTATTGCGAATAAATATTTGTAAATATTCAACTAAATTATATACGATATTTTAAATTGTATCGCTTAGATGATTAACAACGAAAGCTGTATAGTCTTATTTGTCCATTTAATTTATCACCCTTATACTGTAGTTAATTGAAATGAAAAAAAACGTCATACGACTTACGAGGCTAACAACAAGTGAAGATGTACGCCTCCTGATTTATTATTATTCATTTCTTCAAAATCTTAGCCATCAATCTTGATGGTTCCATGTTCTTTCTTAAATAACATACATTTATAATTTTGTTATATAGATAAAACATGTCTATTATCAATCAGTAAAAGAGTGTGTAGTGTTGTTTCCACAATTCCAATATTTATTTCATACCCTAAGAGTTCGATACGGAACTTAATTTTGATTTTTCTTTTGCCTTTTGATATTCAAATTATTTTCTTTTGAGATTATTATCTATTACGTTGAGTGGTGTTCCTCAGTGGAGGTGAATTTTTGCAGAGTTATCTTTACCGGGATCTACACGTTTGAATCGGCGGTGAAAGTAATGGCCAGGGGTTTTATACTACAGCCATTCACATACCTTAGAGATGCATGGAATTGGCTTGACTTCGTAGTTATAGCTTTAGCGTGAGTAGTAGACGATTTTTATTGATAATAAGTAGATTTATACATATTTGAAAAGTGTTTATACGTAGTTTTTTTATAATTAACGTCTCATTGACTAGTGTTATTATTATAGAGAAATATTTTATTGTTATATAGAAACTGAAATGTTTGTAGTAAAGTGAAATGGGCATCACGACTTGAGAAAACATTATGGATCTTTAATGTTTTTTTTTATTAACTTTAATTGTTTAGCTTTTTGGTAGTGTAGTCGGTGAATGAAGTGTAATAACTTAGATTTTGTGGTTGTGGGTATTTGTTTTCAGTTATGTGACGATGGGCATAGACTTGGGGAATCTGGCGGCGCTTAGAACGTTCAGGGTACTCCGAGCGTTGAAGACTGTGGCTATTGTACCTGGTAAATTATTTTTGTTGTATAGATTTTATATGTACTTAGTATAGTTTTTAGATATATATAGTAGTTGTTTTTATAACTTGATGTTAGTTCAATTTATTTGTGTAGGTCAATACATATACTATGTTATATAACGAATTAAATTACCCCTATTTATGAATATAGAAAACTAATTATGAGAACAATGTAGAAAGCGAAAACAAATATTTTTGAAACTCTAAAGTAATAAACTTCATTTGAAGTCCGTTTAAAATCATAAAAATATTTATATAGACAGTGAGATAGGCAAATTTTTCTACAATAATAATTCGGAAAACACTGATTAAACAATTGCCTTCGTCACATAAAATGATTAATATAAAAAGGCTATTTGTTGATCGTTAGTTGACATATGATTAAATATGAGGAAAATACAATTCGATTATAGAAGTAGCATGTAGGATTTGATTACACAAAAAGAGTAATGTGCGGCTATTTTTGAGAATTCCTTGTATGACATTATTGACAATATGACACGTGAGCGACGTATCGACGTAATCCATTTCTGTATAGGAATATTTCATGTTATTATTCTGTAAAAACAGCGTCGAATCATTAGAAATTCAATCAAATAAAAACTTTTATACCTCTAAGTAGGTTGATTTGTTGTTTGTTTAAACAAACAAATAATACTTACTTAATCAAAAGAATTATCATTAAAAAATATTATAAGACAACATAGCATATTGATATTACTTAGATCCCAATAAAACTAAACCTTTGCTCCTTTGTAGTATTGAAATCCGAAACGAAAATTATGTAAAATATAATTTTTATACATTGACCCAACCGGGAAATGTGACTATGAAGTCAACTAAAAATCACGACACTAACATAATGTGCAAGTATCTAAAAAATATAATATTTAAAATAATAAAAAAAGTGTAGCCCATTAAAATAAATATGAATCGCACATGAAATTGTGCGTTAACATAAAAAACACTTAACCTAATAAGGTTTACGTAATAACCTTGTGGGCCTTAATCGACTTAGTAGTAAAACTTGGCGCATTTTTGAATCATAGTTCACCCACATACAATTTACAAACAAGTATGTTTCTTCCATTAGGACAGGTGAAAGAACTTAGCCCGAAGAACTGCCAGATCTTAAGACAACAAACTAAAGTACAAAGGAATCAACGTTATAATACCTTAAACATTGAGACGTGGTATTATTATTGCCTTTCGATCAAATTTTATTTTAAGATATGCCAATATTTACAGTTTCTTGGCTCTATAGAAAAATATAAAAGCAACCCTAAAAGTATTCTTTAAAATTGCTACGAATGCCGTTCATATTACTATTCGAGCTTTGCAAAAATATAACACACGAACCAACCAAAAATAAAGCAAAATTATTATCTTATTCTAGCATCTGAAATTCAAAATGAAAGTTTGACATTACGTAGATTTAGTCGGTTTTATCTTTGAAGGTTTGGTTTATCAAGTTTATATTAGTTTCATTAAAAACTCAACCTTATTTCACTGTCAATCAAATAGGTCTGAAGACAATCGTCGGTGCGGTAATAGAGTCAGTCAAGAATCTGCGCGATGTGATCATCCTGACGATGTTTTCGTTGTCCGTGTTCGCGTTGATGGGCCTGCAGATCTACATGGGCGTTCTAACGCAGAAGTGTATCAAGGTGTTTCCAGAGGATGGCTCGTGGGGCAATCTCACCGACGAAAACTGGGACAGATTCTGCAAGAACGAAAGTAAGGAAATTTTCTTATCATCATAATCATCAAACTATTAATATCTCCACATAGAAAAAGCTGGCCCATTGTGGATTATTTGATGTTCATGCATCCGAGACCAACGTCTTAACGTACCCCCTAAAGCATGGATAAACTCTAAATGACAAATTGTCGGCCACATTACCAATGACTGATCTTTGCAAAAGTTAGTTAACATCCGCATTGCAGATCGATCACACTAACCAATATGCTACCAAGCTTCGCAGGAAATTTTTATCCAACATATTGTTTAATGTTTTTCTTTTCTTTTAAATTGTATGTAATTTCACAAAACAGTAATCATAAACCTGTTTTTAAATAAAGTCAGTGGTCGTCTATTTCTGTTCGCTCATTATTATGTCAATAACAGTTTATAATTTTTGACAAGGCACTGTGTTTAAATTATTGCAAATTAAGTAAATGTTATTGTTTTAGCGAATTGGTACGAGGAAGGAGGTGAATATCCGCTGTGTGGAAACTCGTCAGGGGCAGGGTAAGTCAGTCAACAGCACGTCAAATCGATTATCCAAATCTGTCAAATTTCTGAATTGTTAAGCCATAACTTTATAATCGTTATCATCTGTATTAGCCATTTACATAACAATTTTATTACGAAACACATGCTTTACTAATTCTTTATTTTTTGTAGTTAATACATTTACATTTTCACTGTCCCATAATATGTTGTTTTAAGTTCTCATCTCATGGTCATTTATATTAAAATGATAGTTTTTCGCGGGTACATATTAAATAAATATTCATAATTTTTGTTATTATTTACCAAAACAACTAAGCAATAATAAATAAATTTTAAATTACCATTTATTAGACATAGAAAATTTCATGAGTATTGTAATTGATGTCAATCTCATTATAATATTGACATCCGCTACTTTTCCTGCTTGCGGTCTTCCTAATGATGGAAAACGAATCGAAAGAAAGTATAAGCCAAGACCTGCCACCTGGACCTAATGCGTATGGTGGGTATCAACGACTGCAGAGGCCGCCGCTACTAACAGCTTAACGTGCCTTCTGAAGCACGGAGGAGGTCGATATAGTAAATTTTAGTAACCCAGCAACCGGGGCCCTTGCTAAAATTGCTTAATTTACGAACCATAGGCCGAATATGCTATCGAGCTTCTTTCATGATTTACAACATGAAAACAGAAATAGAGCAAGGCGGTTCACTATTTTTATTTACGTGTAAAAGATATACAAATGAGCTTTTTTTCAATTACAGGCAATGTGAACCGGGTTACGTCTGTCTACAAGGTTTCGGGCCAAATCCCAACTATGGCTACACAAGTTTCGACACATTCGGCTGGGCATTTCTTTCCGCGTTTCGTCTCATGACTCAGGACTATTGGGAAAATCTATACCAATTGGTAAGTATCAGCATCAATGAACAAGCATCTTTTTTATAATACACATCAGAAAAAAACATCAGCTAACCCCAGCTGATAAATACGATGATAATTAAGAAACGAAAACTAATATACGTTTATCGTATAAAAGGTACTTTTAGTATATGAGTTCAAATTCAGCTGGCTATAAAATAAGAATTTCCGACATCTTTATAAGGATGCACTTTTTAAATGATAAATTATAAAGTTGCCGGAAATTCTACTCAATAAATGTATATTAATTTTCGTTTTAGGCGTTTCTCTATAGGCGTAAAAAAGGACACTTAAAATTATACATTTTCAAACAAGTGTTATATTTTTCGGATCGCATTACGTTTTAGCTCCCCATTATCAGCTATTAGGTATCCTTATTAGCTGTACGAATAGGGGTGACATTTAGTCTAAAATGAAATATGTATAACGCGTTTAAAAAAAGAGAGAACAGCCCTGTCAGTCATCCGTTTTCATTCGCGCATAGTAAATAGAATATGTTTACCTAACAATAGAATCAAAAATACCATGATCTCTCTCTCTCTCTCTCTCTCTCTCTCTCTCTCTCTCTATTACTAGTCAAGTAACGCCTCTGGCTAACGTACTTTAATATAATTACTTTCCATAGATAGAAATTAGCCATCTGTATAAATAGCAACAATTCATTATAGTCTACGTAATTGTAATACTACAAAATGATATTATTGTATCAAAAGAGTATATTGTGCGTATATAAACGTAATGTTTAGCATGAGAAGCCGCAATTAAGCCATATACTGAAGGGCAATATAAATACGGCGAGCTTGACACCGATTGCGTTGTTCAGTCACCGGGGTATTTCTGTATCGGTTCATTGCCGTGTCGTACACGAATACGGAAACCACCAATCATATTTACCCCCAATTTAATATAAACAAGTTCCAAGGTCATGATTTTTTTTTAACTTAGTATCGTTATCGATAGTGATAGACAAAAGAAAGTTGGTTCCTAATTGTGACGTTTATAGTTTTCTTGAAATCATATTTACTATATATAATAATGGAATTACATTTTAAAGCGATTCAAAAGCTTTGTTGCATCGCTCTACTATAGTAGCGTGCTCACTCACATATTTTTCACACGCCTTATTTTTATTAAATTAGTCTGAAATAAACTTCCATACAATGATAGAAGATTTTAAACAATATAGAATTGTGTTGCAAGAAAAACATTCTTTTCTCTTGTGAAAAAAAAAATACAATTTATTATCTACCGAAGCTCATTTTATTTGTGAAGGATACGTTCCTTAAATATGCCGTGAATACAAAAAACGCAAATACGGGATGGCATTTAGTTACGTATGTGGGATACGTTCCAAGGTTCCAAAATAAAAGCAATAAATTGAGGTACGATTATTAAAAAACTACCAACTAAAATCAACCTTTATTGTCAGTTTCAAATAAGAGTTTTTAAAGATTCTACTTAATTTTCTTTTTTGTAGTTTTTGAAGATTTTTAAATTCAGAATTATAACTAAGTAGCTGTATCATTCATAATATTTTAATTTTTTAAGTATTATATGAATGCTAAAACAAAGAAAAAAATTTACAAGGCGTTATAAAAGCCATCGTATGTAAAAGATGTCGATGCGTTAATAAACGTCTGCTGAATCGCTCTATGTTACCGATTACATTCGCAAATAAACAAATTTTAGCCGCGAGTACAGAAATTGGGTTACAATCGTTTCAACCGTGAATTATGACGCCAATAAGGAAGCTGTGAATAAGGAACTTCTACTGTATTGCAGTTTCAATCAATAGAATGTCAGATATCTATTTCGTACAAAACCATACGTTCCTCTAACACGATTATTAGCTTTAATACTGACATTATTTGTTTCTAGGTGTTAAGGTCTGCGGGATCGTGGCATGTACTATTTTTTGTTGTAATCATCTTCCTGGGATCATTCTACCTCGTGAATTTGATCTTGGCTATCGTCGCGATGTCCTACGACGAGTTACAGAAAAAGGCTGAAGAAGAAGAGCAAGCAGAGGAAGAAGCGATGAGGGTAAAAATTGCAATCATGGTAGTTGTTCATGTAAAGATTTGAGGACTTAGATACAATTGGTGATCTATCTTTCTATTTAGGAAGCGGAACAAAAGGCAGCTGCGCGCGCAGACAAGCAGGAAGCACGGGAAGCGCACGCCCGCGAAGTGGCTGCAGCAGCGGAAGCGGCAGCGTACGCCGAAGCTCACCCAGCGAAATCGCCGAGCGACTTCTCCTACCAGAGCTACGAGCTGTTCGTGAACCAAGACCGCGGCAACCAAGACGACAACACACGCGAGCGCATGTCCCTCCGTAGCGACCCCTTCCAGGACTCGGTGAGCACTCACCCCCACGCGCACAAGCCCGCCGAGCACGACGCACGCCGGCCCAGGAAGGTCAGCATGGTGAGTATCGCAAACACTCACAATCAACAGCTGACAATGATTCAATTTAAATTAATTTCTCCTTATATCATATAGAGTACTTATAGTGTGGAAAAATGTTACTATAGTATTTCGAACTAGTGTAGAAGTAACATACAATGAACTAAATTAATAAGTAGATATCTAATATCAGGAGTTATTATTAATTTCTAACATGCTTGACTTTTAACTTGAAAGAAAAACGAAACGAAACCTATGTATACTGAAAAAATAAAAACTATTGATACTTTGGAAATTTATCTGATTGAAATATTTTTTAAATATTTTAATAAAATTACTGTTTAACAGACATCAAAAATACATATGATAAGGAAAAATTTAACACTTCAATTACCTAATGAAATAAAATATTTTTCAGATTAGTGACTCTAAAAGGATTTTGTGTTCACTTGAATCATTGGTGGCTTAGTAATTATCATTCTTTTCAACTTGATCTAATAATGTCACCTGCTTATTCACCTGGACGATATAATCGGAGTTCGAGTTATCTCGCTTTAAAAGAAATTAAATTTTATGTAACACAATTTTCACGAACTTCATCTTCATATAGCACAGTTCAAGTTGAAAAGAAACTATGTATATCTTTTATTGCTGTAAGCTTAAGATTTCTTTCGTTTGTTGACCTATGGATGAGAATCTCCACAGTAAATGCAAATATAAAAAAGAATACATAATTTTTATAGCGCATATTGTACCTTATTATGTGAATTCATTAATTCCCTTTGCCTAATCTGCAAGGTGATTCGATAGATGAAGACCAATTGATATTTGCATTTACTTTGTCTTCTTTCTTGTTCCCGTCTGCCGTATTGTTTAATTTATTTTTTACCCACTTCACACCTATGAAAAATTTGGCTGTATCCAGAAATTCCTTATCGCATGATTAATTCGTTTGTCATTACACCCTGTGTTGCAATGCTGATATAATTCCTTCCCGATTATTACACTTAAAATAGATATCGGGTATTGTATGATGCTATGCGATCATCAAAAACACTTATCACCGTATTTCCTCAATTAGATCTACTTAGTATTTTTTGTTCTTCAAAATAGTTATGTATGCACGAAAGACATTTTCTGTTCTATGTACTTTGAATAAAAATAAATAATTAAAATATTTTGGAATGACGATTATTCAATATTTTTATTATTTTAGCATGAATTTAGCAGTATGAAATAAACTTAGAATCTGTTTATGAACAGTCTCCAATAATATTTCTTCAGATTTAAACTAAAAAATACATGAAATAGGAACATAGGATAATTTAATAATTAACCAGATACTACAAATTATCTACGAAATAACACTTCAATAGGAAATCCTACAATAAAAGGAATACTATTGGAGAGAAAGAATCTATTGTCATGGTAGATTGTTTCTTTTGCAATGTGAGTGTTAAGATATGGAGCAAGCTGAACTGAACGTATCAACGAATAAGAGGTAGGTTCAGTAACATTTTTAATTATCTTTGTAAACTAACAAACGAGCCTAGAATAAAAAATATCAGTACCTAATATTATTGAAAAACTGTTTGGAGAAGTACTAGATTCCTCAATTTCGATTTAGTGATGTGCGGAGGCTTCTAGAAATCGGATGAACAAAGGAACAGTCTTCATGACTCTAGAAGTAGTGTTGAGGCAAACATTAATAGTACCGATAGGATTAGCAGTTTGCAGATATGCATGCAATTTGACCCCATGATTACTTCATGTGTTTATAAACAAAGTTACTTGACTAACTGTTGCTTTCAATCATCCATTGCTCGCCTTTAAAGCATTTTTTTCCTTCTCAGAAATTTTACATGGTGCATCTAGATCGGTAGAAAACGACTACCGTCACAGACTTGTGTCAGATGCTGCTGGAAGCTCTTATTATATGAACGAATAATTCAGATCTTTCAACATCAACTGCCACATCTGTTACTATATCCCATAATAGATTTTGATACATTAATCACAAATCCAAACTATATTTGGTTGTTCTTCACAATTTGCTTCAAGCTGCAACATTATTTTGTGCGCGCCTCATTTTTTTTTTTTCAATAATTATCTGTGTTATATGGAGAAACCTTTCTATCCCTTAATCCTATTTGGTCGATGTTTAGATAATTTGGTATGATCGATTTAAGCAGTTTACAAGATATTAAATTCAAAATTATGTTTGTGTATTGAAGGTCCCTCACCCTGAACGCATAAATAAATACGGACAGTTGTCATATGGGCCACTGCGCGAAGGCTCACAGGTTTGTCCTTAAATCCTCATTGATGTTTGTACTTCCCTTCCTATTATTTTACTGTAAAATTTAGACCTGTTTCCTCTGTTTAATATGATCTTGATAATCGTCTAATGATCTTACTTTTCCTTCTTTGTCTGATTGCAACAATTCATGGCATCTGTATGCTATCGAGTGTATTGCTGCAAAAAGACATTCACGAGCACTAATCATATTCTATTTTCTCGATTTTCTTTTGTACACATTTCCTATTCTTGCGTGCATTTTGTTTATCACTTTTGTTTATCAGCACATGAAAGTAAATAATCATTGCTATATAAAGATTACAAAGTAGGACAGGATCTTCAAAATTAAAGCCTCTGCAACCAGTTCCTTAACAATAGTCACATTGAAATAATTTCTATTATGAAACAGAGTTTTATATACTATCAGATCTGAATTGAGGAAAATTAACAAATCTAAGAACGACACCCAAAGTATAAAAAACGGATATGTACACTATATTTTTTTGGAAAATAAGAGCAAGTGTTAATGAGAAGTTATGAAACTTCAGGCGTCGTTGTCTCTCCCTGGTTCACCGTTCAACTTGCGACGAGGTTCACGCGGTTCTCATCAGATGGCATTACGGCCTAACGGAAGGCCTCGGTATCCACCCGGCGCTGACCGCAAGCCGCTGGTGCTATCTACCTACTTGGATGCTCAGGAGCATCTGCCATACGCTGACGACTCCAACGCTGTCACTCCCATGTCCGAAGAAAATGGTGCTATCATTATTCCAGTCTACTATGCGAATTTAGGTAATGTTGTGTAAATATTGTATTAATGATAATAGCACCTTCACTATTGCTTCCTTGAAAAACATTCGTTTCTTGTCCAACGTTTTTACTGTACATTTTAAGACTATACTTTTATTGTTTATATATTCGCAGACCAACGTATTATAATTTTAATTTTCAGTATATATATCGTTTTATTAGATTTTAAATTAACTTTGCGCATTTTCTCAACTATTTTGACTAACATAAATGCGAAAAATACACCTTTTGCTGGCTAAATTGTTATTTTTTCGGTGACACGTTGGGCGCCAAAGTCTAAAATTGTGTACCTTGATTCCGACAAATAATATCTTGTTGACATGGCAATACATTTTTAGGGTCACGCCACTCTTCGTATACATCCCACCAGTCTCGGCTGTCGTATACGTCTCACGGAGACCTCCTCGGTGGCAAGGCACAGACGAAGGAGGCACGATTGCGTGGTCGGTCAGCTTCGCGAAACCACAGCGTGACATCGCAGCCCCACCCGTATCCGTTGCCAAAACAGGACTCCTCGCTCGCTTCTCGACCTGTCAGAGAATATGTGAGTTTTAATGAGTTTTAATTTAATAGCAATTATAACCTTTTTTTGTGGTCAAAGAAAACAAAGGTATCTTTCGCTACTAAAATTAGGTTATGAACTTTAATGCCTGCTAACTTTATTTAATAAAAACTATACCTTAACGACAGTCCAATAGAAGGACAACACACTTTATTATTTATAATATCAGTATGAAAATATCAATTTAATTTATTAGCGATTTGTAATAATGTCTAATACACGAGAAAGCTACATGTGCATCAAAGATTTAAACTTGCAACATAGATTTTAGTTGAAATTTTCTTTCAGGAAATGAGCACGACTGAATGTACGGATGAGGCTGGGAAAGTACTGAAACCAACGAACGACAACCCTTTTATTGAATCTTCGCAACAGCCTAACGTAGTGGATATGAGAGGTTTGTATTATCCTTGTTGACAACATATAACCAAAATATGAAAATATACAATTTTGACAATAGTAAAAGTATCTAACTCTAAAATTCAAAAAAAAATAAACAAATCAGTCAAACGTGCCAAAGCATTAAAAAGTAAACCGTTCTATTTGGACTCAAAATTAATTAAACTTGCTGTTCCGGATGTTATAGTAGGTACGTAGTAGTCCTAGAGCATATTTTCATTATGCATATTTTCATATGCTTACCAGAAGTACCAATTGCTTCCTGTGTTAGAATTGAGTTCAGGTTGAGATATATTTCATAGCACATTATGGCGCTATCCTTTTCTGTGGCTTATAATCTTTTGATAAAGCGAGAAAGAAAATATCGTCTCCAGGATTCTGCGGCGTGCTATCGCACACCCACTTCTATCACGCTCAAGCAAATACCGTTGTGCCAGACGTAGCTCAACCCTTACTAATTACTTTACAAATCATATTATAATATCGGATATTTTTGTATCTGCTCACTTCCCACTGCTGGGGCATGGGCCTTCTCTATGAATGAAATCAGATAATAGAAACGGGCCATTACTCGCCACCACATAGGTCTACTGCAGATTTCTGGATGTAAGCAAATGTATCTGCAGCAGGGAACAACGGCTTAACGTACCGGGACCGGTTCTTAAGAAAGTTGCTTAACCTCAGGCCGAGCGCCCTAACGTGCCATAGAGCTCCTCCTGTGACTGACGATGCTGGTATTTAATATATGCCAGCCCCGTCAGTTTACAAACTTATTAGCTTTCCGCCAGCGGCTTCGCCAGCGTTATCCCTAGGGAACTGTTCATATTATGACACGGATATAATTACAATGACAAATTAAATAGTAAATAATGGTTACTATAGAAGCAGTTTAATTTCCTTTACAAACTCCACCCCTTTATTTGCTGTTCTTCAGGATAAAAGATACCCTATGTTCATGCATGTGACTTATGTAGCTTCCGGAAAGTGAAAGAATTTTTAAAATCGGTCCAGTAATTACGGAGCATATTCGTTACAAACAAACAACCAATCAAATCAATCCTGTTTATAATATCACTATAGAAAATTATTACAATTTCATCTTTATCGATACAATTTAACTGTGACATAATTATACATTTCACTAATGTAATAATATTAATCTTTCTATTATATTAGCTATTTAATGCTGCGAGTCCAACTGGTTCGCCCATACCTAGCTACGGCACTGTATCTAATTTAATCATAATGCTGTTTCAGATGTAATGGTATTAAATGAGATAATCGAGCAAGCCGGCAGACAAAGTAGAGCGAGCGACCAAAACGGTAAACACCCGAATGACGTCTCTATAAATGTTGTTGCCTCTGTAACAACGCTGTGTTGTGCATTATACCTAAGTTTTTTTTAATAGTCTTTCAATATCAATGTCCGTTACTTTGGTATGTTTCAAATTTATGCTTTATCAAATTGACTTAACAAGACACAATTACTCGACACAACTGCTATAATTAATTACACTAACATTAACACTCACAACTCGGTATTTGCTCATTATGCGAAAATACAGCATAATTGGCAAAAATATAATATGAACTGTGGATGTCATTTATTGTGTGAACGTGTGTGAAAGCTTGCCACGACACTGGAGCTGGAGCAAAAATCCTGTGTATATGTCGCAGCCAAGTGGTATAATCAGCCAACCAATTGGACGACTAGCCCTTATGATTTTTACACTCATAGGAAGAGTTGCTTAATGAAGTCCTTGTCTTTGGGATATACAGGGTCATTTGTAAAACACCAGAACCGTCGCAGTACATTACATCATTAACAAAATTTGATCCAAGAGTTTAATCATAACTCAATACTTGTAATACAATGATTATTGGAAAAAATATTCTACTCTCCTGGCATTTGTAGGTCTATATTTTACACCACTACTGTCGCATGCTATGAAATACTAGATGCATGCGTAGATGATATTCGAGCGGTACATTCAATTTTAAATTTAATGTTTTTTATATCAAAACAATATAATTAATTGTCAGAAGTCGTTATTTTTGCTGTTACTTATTTAATGCTGAGTTTGTTGGTATGTTGTAAATGATATACTTATTTACTTGTATATTTATATAAATCCTATAATTGAAAGAAAAGCAAACCTTTTTTGGTCAAATTGTAAAGAATCATAATCTCTTTTACTGTCTTTTACTATTTGTTTGCATCGATGATTAAGTAAATAACACCTTGAGCTATCTAATTTTCTTAGATATTGTCTGATAATAAATTAAAGATTGTAGTCTATTGATATAATAGATTTTTTGTCCACCACTACTGGTATCGATACCTCTGAAAATAAAATACTAAATAATACGTAATACGATTAATAAATTAATGTAAGATATTTGATTGGTATTTTTAAGTGAGTTTTGCTCCAGCACTAGCAACACATCGCCTTACACATCCTGATTTGCACTACATTACTTATCAATACAAGCAATCTTGCACTGTAGGACACATGAGTTGAACCAATAACTATTGCTCTAACCATTCTGTTACTATTTATTTAGAGGCGTTAAGATATTGAATGTGAATTCACCCTTCTTCTGTTTGCGGTAAGTCTTTTGTTTACCACTCAATGAGATTCGATAACATCACAAAAGTTATTTTAATGTTTGATCTCAAGTCGCCTATTTTCAATATGGACGTTCTCTAAAAGTATATTTTTTATTTCTCCCAGAGGAATAAACACTTCGGGTGAAACCGCCTAACATTGTAAATATGACGGAAGCTCTATAAGCACGGTTTATTGATTTTATCAATAAATATATTAATATTCTATTATAACTATATGTTTTTTTATAGTTTATATAATTAAGCAAACGTTTTGGTTTATTTCAATTTTTAAAATTGCTTAGTTTTGTTTTAGTTCGACTTTTGATATATCATATTTTAATTAGTTATTAGTTAGTAAACTACAACAATCAAAATCATTGGTTGAATATAAGAAAATAATAAAACAAGAAGAATATTGATAAACAATCGTTATTATAGCTATGGTCATAGCCTGAGAAGTAGGCGTTGTTTTTACACAAAAAAATCAAATGACACACGCATTGCAACGTCTTAAGCACTTACATTCTGTATTTAAAATATTCACAGTTAGTTTATTGCTTTATAACCCTGCATTTACCCTGCTTTGCTATCCTGTAAAATTCACCAAGGAACTCAACGATGAGCACAACGCTGTGATAGTTTAGAGGTTCAATCATATAAAACCTACTTAATAATATAATAAAGTTTTATTTAATTAAACCTCTATGGTGCGACTGCGTTGTGGTTTTTTAGAATCGCCATACTGTTCCATGTGATGTACCATAATGTGTCGCTTGTCGCCATTACTCTAAATTAATTAATTCGATAAGTAAAATTTTTAAACTGTAATTGTATTCTTTTGGTTTTTTTTAAATAAAAGTCTCAACGACTTTTGTAAAAACTATCAACCAAAATTTTGTATTTCATATCGCCAATATGATTGGCAATGCTTAGCATATTGTGATTAATAAAAAACAATCACGGTATTCATATTTTTTGGCTTTTAAAGATTTGAAAACTGATGAAACTGATCATTCATGTTGAGTATTTAAGCGAAACGAACTTAGACGCAAGAGTGGACACTACCTAGCTTGGTTTTGATTTGCACGATGTCAACTCGCACGTAATGTAACTGATACCACGTGACCTCCTTCCTCACGAGGGCTCTTTACCTCACAACGAGTACCGGTGGTTTATTCATCGATCTCAATTAAATAAATGACAGCCAGTAAAACACAAAAAATATGGATATTTGTGCTCACAATTCCAATGAAGTTACCTCAAATTGACTTTGTACTATATAAATATTCGGTATGAATTTTAAAAAATAATGAGCGAATACTAACAAAATTATTTCTGTCTCTCTCTCTTTCTCTAACATACACACACGCACTCCGCCTAAACCGGACAACAGTGTCAGTGTACTACTTCCCAACAGCGGAAGACGATGAGGACGGTCCAACTTTCAAGGAAAAGCTTTGGGAGTGTCTCAAGAAGGGAATAGATTTTTTCTGTGTGTGGGACTGCTGTTGGTTGTGGCTGGAATTTCAGAAGTATGTCGCGCTCTTGGTCTTCGATCCGTTCGTGGAACTTTTCATCACTCTCTGTATTGTGGTCAACACTTTATTCATGGCATTAGATCACCACGACATGGACAAAGATATGGAGAGAGCACTAAAAAGTGGCAATTATGTAAGTAACATATATGTATGTAAGTAAGATAAATAAAATCTAATCTAATTTGAACTGTATATAATGTGTTTTATAAATTACAGTTTTTCACTGCGACATTCGGCATAGAAGCGACATTGAAACTAATAGCAATGAGTCCAAAGTATTATTTCCAAGAAGGATGGAACATATTTGATTTTATCATCGTGGCCTTATCGCTTTTGGAGTTGGGTCTAGAGGGCGTTCAGGGTTTGTCAGTATTACGTTCCTTTCGTTTGGTAAGTTTCATTTAATTTTTTATTTATCTATTAATTAAACAAAACCTTAGAAGATATAATTAATTTTTCTCCGTATATATATATAACGAATACAGAATGATAGAAAAAGAGGCAAAATGTACAACATAACTTTGTTGTTAAAAGTACTATCTAGTATTTAATTGAAAATTGTATTCAAACAGAGAATGTAATTCACAGACTATAAAGATAATAAAGTACAACCTTAGTCGTAAGTAAATTAATAATGCAATATCATCTACTTGTAAATATAATTTAATGTGCTGGATTTTAATATTAAAACTACTGACAAGTATCCGCAGTATTATACTCCTATTACATACACCATAAAACACAAACAATTAAATTAGTAACCGTAATATTATTATGTAAATATTATGAAATATTTTCAGCTGCGTGTATTTAAACTGGCCAAGTCTTGGCCGGCGCTAAACCTTATAATATCCATAATGGGTAGGACGGTGGGAGCTTTAGGGAACTTGACCTTTGTACTTTGCATCATTATATTCATATTCGCTGTGATGGGAATGCAGTTATTTGGGAAGAATTACACAGGTTCAGAATTGAAATGAAAATTTAGCATCTCTAATTAAAGAATTAAGCTTCATTATTGATTCAGCTTCACACTCTCAAAATACCTACACTGGGCTTGGTTGAACATTATTTTCATAAAGGACTGTTGGTCCAGCTGTGGCTTTATAACACGTGGCCTGACGAGACACGTTATAAAGCTACCACGCAGCTTGAGATCATGATTTAAGCTTTGCATCGAGTTACATATTAGATTTGACTTGCAGCTTTTGCTTTAAAGAGGGTATATTGACGCCGTCGATCTTATACTGATGGGATCTATGTCGTAACAGATTAGACTGTGTGCAAAAATGGAAAACAAATAAGAATGCATATAGCATAATGAAGACATGAATATGAAACAATATTGGTGCAAAAGCTCTCACTAAATTTGATAACATATATCCCACTCATACATAAAAGTCTATGCACATCGTTAGGTAACTCAAGCACACATTTGCTAATTATAATGACCGAGTCAGAACCACTCGCACCTGATGATGGACATAAAAGTTTGGTGTGGTGCGAGCAGTTCTGTTCGCGGAAGGTTACTGCAGTAGCATAGGTGAAGCGCCGGTAAGCGAGCTTGCGTGACGGGTTGTTTCACAATTTGTACTTGCAGCTTCGAGTATTCAAATTGGCAAAGTCATGGCCGACACTTAATTTACTCATCTCTATAATGGGTAGGACCATGGGTGCCTTGGGCAACCTGACCTTCGTATTGTGCATCATTATTTTCATATTCGCGGTGATGGGTATGCAACTGTTCGGAAAAAATTACGTCGGTAAGTAAATTGGTGGGAGTGTTGCATGATCATTGGTGTTTGATTGGAGGTGTTGATGTTACAATGGTTGCAGCGCCAATGTACTCGACCGTGAATGTTTTTCTGAGCTAACAATTAGCTTATTTATAGGAGATACATTCACTGCTTAAAAAACTGTTTAAAAAGTGGAACCATATGAAAGTGTTTTGCATAGACAATTTTGGCAATATACGATAAATGAAAACAAATTTACATTAACACTAATACCGGTTTCCACATTTTAATCAGTCAATCTGTATCGATATAGAGTTGATATCGTTTTGATGTGCGTCACACTATTGTGCTCAACTTCACCTTGATTGGCCAGTCGTGTCGAGTCCCTTCCAAATGAGCTATGGATCTTTTTTAATGTGTATGCCAAACTGAGCGATTAGAAGGCGCCTCACTTGTGAAACGCTCATCGCCAGCTTTTTACTTTATCATTCTTCAGACTTCCTAAAGCATACATACAATTTATTTAATTAATGTCTGATTTCTCTTTTGTATCCTATCTTATATTTTAGATGCTCATTTTTATAATACTTATCTATTTATTATAAGTCAGTAATGTAAGTACAATGCATGGTGTAACATTCGTAAGTACTACCGCTTGCGTCTTTTCAGAATAACTGTCAATGTCGAGAAATTGCTGATATGTAGATGCTTGAATGTTAGAATAGTGTTTGTGACATAAACTATTTATAAACTATATATACGAGGGTCAAACTGAAAGTTCTTAGAACTGGCCACTTATAAACAATATAATAAAAAAATAATTCTAAAATTTGAAAATATAACTCTTTGCCAATATTACTGAGTATATATTTCATTCATTTGTCATTTGTTTTACGATTTGGCGGCAAATTGAAAATTGTCTGTGTCACGTCATCATGAATTTAACACGAGAAAATTTTCGTGCAATGATTTTTTATGACTTTCGATGTCATTTAAGTCAACAAGAAAGTTATGATAGACTACGATTGGCCTTTCACGATGAAGCCCCATCTCGTGCGACTGTTTACAACTGGTTTAATGAGTTTAAACGTGGTCGCACTAATCTCACTGATGATTTACGTGAGGGACGGCCTTCTACGGCGACGACTGAAGATAACATCTGTGTTGTGCGGCGTATGATAGAGACTGACAAAAGAGTGACCTATCAACAGATTCGGACAAGCTTAGGCATCGGTATGAGTCAAGTGCACAAAATCCTCCACGAACATTTAGCGGTCAGGAAGCTTTGCGCCCGGTGGATACCTCATAATTTGACTGAGGCTCAAAAACTCCATCGTGTGGATTGGTGTCGTAAAATGATTGAAAGATTTAAAGGAGGTGACTCAAATGCTGTGTTCGACATACTAACAGGTGACGAAAGCTGGATTTACTGTTATGATCCTAAAACCAAAAGACAATCTGCTCAGTGGGTGTTTCCTTTCGAGGAGTTGCCAACTAAAGTGAAGAGAGATCGAAGTGCGGGAAAAAAAATGGTGGCCTCGTTCTTTGGAAGGATAGGTCATTTTGCAACAATTGTGTTAGAGGATCAAAAAACAGTTTCTGCAGAATGGTACACTACCAATTGTTTGCCACTTGTCTTGGAAAAAGTTCGAGAGAAACGACCTCGCAGTAGGATCCTCCTTCACCACGACAACGCCTCGTCGCACACCGCCAAGCGAACGATCGACTATTTGGCGACATCAAACGTTGAATTACTGGGTCACCCGCCGTATAGCCCCGACCTCGCGCCTTGTGATTTTTATTTATTTCCAAAAATTAAAGAAAAACTTAAAGGAAAGCGGTTTATGAATGCTGAAGAAGCGGTGGCTGCGTATCGCGATGCCATTGAAGAGACCCCTAAGGACGAGTGGGCAAAGTGCTTTTCCCAGTGGTTCCATCGCATGCAGCGGTGTATTGACGTGAATGGACAATATTTTGAAAAGATATAATAAAACTAATAACTGGCTAATGTAATCAGTTTTTGATTTTCTAAGAACTTTCAGTTTGACCCTCGTATGACATAAACTATTATTAGACTACTCACATATAATAAACTAATAGATTTACTAAAAAGATAAACATCTGCTATTATTTAAGGCAATACAAAATGTTCAAGCTTCAACAATTTCTTTCTTATTATTATCGATTATATTTGTTTGCTTGAAGTTTAATTTTGTGGTATACAGATTACGTTGACCGGTTTCCTGATGGAGATCTTCCCAGATGGAATTTCACGGATTTCATGCACAGTTTCATGATCGTATTCCGAGTGTTATGCGGAGAATGGATAGAAAGTATGTGGGACTGTATGTTAGTGGGAGATGTCTCTTGTATACCATTCTTCCTGGCAACTGTCGTTATTGGAAATCTTGTGGTAAGCTCGATAAACTCAATAGAAAATTACGCATTAAACGGGAAAACAACAAAAAAAAAATTCCAAATTTAATGAAAAATGTACCTGACTATTACCTATTTGCTTTTAAATTAAATTACGCGTAGTGGGATTAAAGTGGGGAATTTTTCTTTTGCTGTCGCTCTTTTTGATTTAATATCTTATGATATCTTTTCTCCCCCAAGCTTAATTCTTAACCTTATTGAAAATGATTTATTATTTCCACCAATTTATCCAGACACTAAGATGGCCGTTTGTCCACATATAACATACATTTTCAGGTACTTAACCTCTTCTTGGCCCTGTTACTGTCAAATTTCGGTTCGTCAAGTTTATCGACTCCTACTGCAGACCAGGATACCAACAAAATAGCAGAAGCCTTCAACAGGATATCAAGATTCATTGACTGGGTCAAGCGGAATATAGCGGACTTTCTGAAGTTATTGAAAAATAAACTGACCAATCAAATAGCGATACATGCACCCGGTAAGATTTTAGATGTGTATTTAGTCGGTGTGCTGTGGCATGTCCTGTGAAATGTACAAATAACAGCACGTCAGGTTATACGAATATGTGAATTTTCTTCGCTTTAAATATAAACTAGTATAGAGATTATTAATAGTACAGTTAAAAATCAATCGCAAAAATTTAACATATTGTGACAACCCTGATGTGCTGATGTGTATTATATTGAAATGGAATCGTGTATTGTAATTTTGGTTCATGAAAAAGCTGTGGTAAAAATTATGTATGTAATAAATTTATGGATAAAGAAGATGAACATAAAAGGAGATCTAAAAAAATCAACAGAATAATTTTTTGCTTACCTTAAAAATACAATATTTAAAAGGTTTATTATTTGTCTCTTTTCAACAAGTTTTATCCCACAAGCATTTGCCCAATAGGATTTTTCTGCCAAAATTGAAATGATCAAGCATACAAAAACATAAACATGAGTTTTAATTATTAGGTTTAATACAAATACTGAGAGTATTGTGGATTTTTTAAGCATTTTTCATTAAATATTTTCCAGTACAGCATTGCAAATTGCCTGAACATTGTTGAATATACGCTCTGTAGTAGCGTAAAAGAAATAACCGCTTAAAAATTCATCAGTACTGTTAGTTCCTGGGTAGCTCAGTGGCTAGAGCAATCGCCCGGTTTTCGAAAGGTCATGAGTACGAGTCCCATATCAGAGTGCCAGGGACTAAGTGGATATTTAAAGCATTTTCCATTAAGAATACTAAGAGTATTTCAAATTGCTATTAAAACAATTTTATGACTAAAAGCTCATATAGGTCGGGGAAAAGTATTTGACATTAAAAAGGCTATGTTTTAAAAATGAAAAAAGTAATTAAAAGTTGTTTACTGTAATTTTCTTTTGTTTTTCTATCAAAATAAGAGCGCAAGCATCTTACTAATATTCTTATATTATTATTAATCATCTTACTAATACAAAGGGGAAAAAAATATTTTTTATTTTGTAATAGCTCTGAAATTATTGGTACTGGTACTGGTACTGATATTAAAATTTCTTTCGCCTACTGGAAGCTACATTATGTGGGTAATCTAGCCTATATTTTAGGCAGGGGACTGATTTTCTCAACCCTTTAGGGTTTAAATTTTTCTAATTACCTTCTTAGCGAATCTCTATATCACAATAATTATTATTAAATTCTTACCTTTGCTTGCTTTTTTAGAGTAATTAATTACATAAAAAATTACATAAGTTTTCATTTGAAACTTTTCCTCAACTTTTTATTACATCAAAATTATTATACAAGATTTCTACTATCAAAATTTGTAACATTTTTTTCTGTATATTAAGAAAATTGAGGCTTAAGCTTCCTCTAATTGAAACGAATTAGTGTATGCGAGAAAGCTTTAAGGGCAAAATTATTATACCTACGCGGGTTTTATTACAACTCCTTTACCATAACTGTAGCATGTTGTGTTAATAAATATGTATTATTATTATTGTTGTAGCATGAAGTATTATGTTTAATAAATGTAATTTATATGTGTCTCTGTGCCTATCAATATATCCCGTATGACCACTGTGCGTTGCCTGCGACCTAGTTCCAAGTGTAGAAACGACCCTATAACCTATATCTGTCGTGTGTTAGACTGATTTTTATCTATTAATAACCTATTTTTATTTATCATCAATTCTATCCATCCTTATTCTAACTTTGCTTTTATATTCATGTGATTTAATTCGGTAAGTACGCTTGAAGTTTCATTGTTTTTCAGTTGCCACATATGCATGTTGATGTACCTATTAGTGTGTCTGTACAATTATTTGTAACAGTTTGATGTATATCATTATCGTATTGTTTTAAACACTCACTTTATTCTCTACTAACTAACTTGTTATTGTAATAAGAAACTAAATTTGGGATTAAACATAATGTAAAAATAACGAATTTATTCATTCAATAATTAGATTCATTCATTTATTGTTTTTCTCATAAATAGTCAAAATTCTTTTATAGATTTTTTTACTTTATTACATTTTACATCTGAATGCGTAAAAAGAATTGAGGTAATAAAAATAAGTATTGCAAAAATATTGATACAATTTTTATAATGGTTGTATGCTGGTCTGATTTCTATGCTTGGACATTGGCGACATCGACGTACTGTGGATGCGACATATAGGCTTAAAGGCGGCTTTATGTGGCCGCTGTGTCTCCTCAGAACGCGTCGACAATGAACTAGAATTGGGCACCGACCTCGACGACGCCGTCTTGTACAAAGATAAGAAACTCAAAGATCAAGTAGAAGTAGCTATAGGTGATGGAATGGAATTCACAATACCAGGTAAATGCCTACACAGTACCTATACTATAATACTGTAAACAAAACGCAAAGTTTTATTTTGGATAACGTTTTGTAGTACATTTATTGCTCTCGTGATCTTTTAGTAATACTTATATCGTTTTGCAGGAGACAATAAATATGAGAAAGGGAAAATATTAATGAATAATATTAATGCTATTACGGATAATATTAGAGACAATCGATTAGACTGTGAACTTAACCACCACGGATACCCAATACAGGACGATGACACAATTAGTCAAAAGTCATATGGTAGCCATAAGATTAGGTCTTTCAAAGATGAGAGTCACAAAGGATCCGCGGACACGATAGATGGTGAAGAGAAAAAAGATGCAAGTAAAGAAGAATTAGGTTTAGAAGAAGGTAAACATGTTTGAATAATTTATGCACTGAGACTAAGTAAGGAAAACTATATTACAATCAAAAAATTACAGAAATGATTGAAGAAGATGATGATAAATTGGAAGGCGAATTAGGAAAGCAAGACATCATCGTAGCAGCAGACGAAGATGTAGTAGACGACACACCAGCAGACTGCTGCCCCGAGCCATGCTATGCTAAATTTCCTTTCCTCGCCGGAGATGACGAGTCACCCTTCTGGCAAGGCTGGGGCATGCTTCGACTGAAAACTTTCAAACTTATAGAAAACACTTATTTTGAAACGGCTGTGATTACAATGATTTTACTCAGTAGCTTGGCTTTGGTAAGAACTTCAAACTAATTCTGTCAATTCAAATATAATCAATAACAACTAAATAACAATTTAACATTTCGTTACAGGCTCTAGAAGATGTACATTTACCACATCGACCGATATTGCAAGATATTTTGTATTATATGGACCGTATTTTCACCGTCATATTTTTCATTGAAATGTTAATCAAGTGGCTGGCTCTTGGTTTCCAAAAGTATTTCACCAATGCTTGGTGCTGGCTGGATTTCATCATTGTCATGGTAAAAATACAAAATTATTTGCATAGAGAAGTAGCACAAAATAATTTGACGATTATTTTACAGCATTATAATCTATATAATCTATACGTTATAAAGTGTAGTAAATAACATCACTAATGTTAAGTGTGGACAAGGTGGTTACGTAAAACACTTTTATAATTTGGGAAACAAAAATAGACAACGGTCACAGAAAAAATACAGAACTTGTTAAAGAAGTAAAAAGGTTAAGAAATTTCGTTACTAAAAATTAAGTTAATTATTAAGAGATTTATTGTAAGTATGACGTTAGTTGTCGCTTGTAAACCACGGGGCGGTGATGGCCGGCGCGGACGACATCCCCGCATTCCGCTCCATGCGAACATTGCGCGCTCTGCGCCCGCTCCGAGCGGTATCAAGATGGGAGGGCATGCGCGTGAGTACGCGCCGTCACGAACAACAAACGGGGCTGCTAACTGTCTTGATATTTCCCAATAGTAAAACACAGAGAACATGACCGTTTTTATAATCTGACTAATTCTTAAAAACGCGTATCTTGGCGCTTTTCAAACAAATGTCGTATATTCGACAGGTCAAAATCAGTAAACGCTGTAATTTTTGATTCACCTTTTGTTACGTAATTCTACAGTACTTGATATTAATATAAATTTCAAATAATTTACAGTTAGCAGCTCTGAGAGTGACGCTATCGATGTGGGTCTGTTACGGTACGCTGCTCATTGACCGACACGTTTTATTTTACGCATACGTATTCCTCCCAAAAAAATATTTCAGAGTTTCGCCACTGATTTCGTCTCTACAATGTCAAAGGGCAGCGTAACAAAGCGTAATAGCTTTCTCTGTTCGGTGTTTATCGGAGCTATGACTCTGACTGATCTCACTTCGCCTGGAGCTCTCTATGTCGTGATTTTGTCTGTGGATACTGCTTATTGTGTCTCTTACCCACCAGTCCTGCTACTGGCAACTCTTCGACGACAATACCGATGTCTATAATAGTGATTTAACTTGAAACCCAATATCTTCAAATGCATGATGTGGCACTACTTTATTTCTGTGCTATATATTAGATTGTGCCTTTTTCTAAATTATTGACAGAATGACTATTATCTTCCAGATATGTAGTGAAATTGGCACATACCTAATCTATGTTGAATGCTATTGATGTCTTATTTAAAAGTATGTTTATTTTATTAAAACCTATATCTACAATAATTTAAGCTAGAGAGATACTTAAGGGTTCATTAAGAATAGGTTTCGAGTCGTATTTTTAATCCATTTTTTTGGATATTCAATCTTGGCCGGTAGGATGTGAACTCATGTGAAGATTTTCTTCGTTCGACACATTGGTGTTATCTCTCAACTCTTTACACAGGTTGGACAAGCTCGATCTTCGGTAATTTATTTGTTGGATTCTTTATTGCAGCTTGAAGCTGTTTCGATATTGTATTATTGTGTTCTGATTGTCACTTTCAGGGTGTGATTATTGTAATAACATGAAACTTTATAAACATCCATATAAGTGTTATGTATTCTCAAAGTACGTTCCTTAATGTCATCAGGTCTCGCTTATAAACTTCGTAGCGGCGCTTTGTGGCGCCGGTGGCATTCAGGCGTTCAAAACGATGCGAACGCTTCGCGCACTGCGACCGCTCAGGGCCATGAGCCGAATGCAGGGCATGAGGGTACGTACCGCCCTGCTCGCGGCTCAATACACGCGTTACACCGTTACACTCACATGCCCATGCTATGCTATCGTACATTCTCTACGATCTCATTGACATCACATAGATCTTGCTAAACAAAACTCTCCTTCTCAAATTCTCTCAGCATCAATTCATTCAAATTTATTTTATTGAATATTCAACACTTCGAAGCAGACATTTATCATTCGCAGTAGTCACGTTTATCAGTTTAATAGTAAATGATCATTTTGAAATCGGCGGTGGCACCCATGAATGGCTTAGTATTATCACATTCGTTACATCCTCTATTTAGAAATTGGTTAATTTGGACTCAAGTTGGGCTGAGAATTCATTGTCATGTTTTGATACTTTTTCTCTTGAATTTTCATTACTCGTTAGTTTAGATATTAGTTTTCTTGATACTTTATCTTAGTTTATGCACTTTAGAAATTATCTTCTTGTCTTCATCGTAGGCTCTCTTGTGGATCGCATGCGTTAGTACTGACTTATTGGATGATGTTAATATTTTTCCATAAGGTAAGTTGAAATTTTAGAGCTATTTTATGTTGTTATTTAATGTTGCTATGTGTACTATTATGTTGTTGCAGCATGTTTTGATCGTAAATCCCCATCTGTATATGAGCTTATGATGACGTGGCTATAATATAGCATCGCAAAACCATTAACTTCAAATAATTTGCGATATAACTTTCAACCATAAAATCACAAAATTTTGTAATGCTGACTTCTGTGTGGCAGGTGGTGGTAAACGCGCTCGTTCAAGCCATACCATCTATTTTCAACGTATTGCTCGTGTGCCTCATCTTCTGGCTTATCTTCGCCATTATGGGAGTACAACTGTTCGCGGGAAAATATTTCAAGGTCTGAAATTCTAAATGTTATATGAACTTAAACAAAGAATAGCTTTATTATTATTTTGAACTATTACATCTCAAATGTTCAATTGCAGTGCGTCGACCTAAACCATACAACACTAAGCCACGAAATTATACCGGACCGAAATGCATGTATCTTAGAAAACTACACGTGGGAAAATTCACCGATGAACTTCGATCACGTAGGCAAAGCATATCTTTGTCTATTCCAAGTCGCTACATTCAAAGGATGGATTCAGATCATGAACGATGCTATAGATTCCAGAGAAGTAAGTAATCTTTTAAATTATATCTGATTATCGATCAGTTGCACAAACGTCCATTAAGGTTTAATTACGCCTTTAAGCTCTAATGGATTTCAAATTTATACGGGTAATGTCGCTTTAAAGTAACGACATTTTTAATGGACGTTTATGTAACTGCTTGTTTGTGACATGATTCTTACGATTGGTATTATCTTATTTTGTTTATTTCAGGTCGGACGTCAGCCCATTCGAGAAACAAATATATACATGTACTTATATTTTGTATTCTTCATCATCTTTGGGTCATTCTTCACACTCAATCTATTCATTGGTGTGATCATTGACAATTTTAACGAACAAAAGAAGAAAGCTGGCGGTAGCTTAGAGATGTTCATGACTGAAGATCAAAAGAAATATTATAATGCTATGAAGAAAATGGGTTCGAAAAAGCCATTGAAGGCTATACCAAGACCTAAGGTATACAATTCAACGTGCAAATATACTAAACTTAACACTGTCAGCGTTATCTCAATTTACAACAAAAATTTCAACTTGTCTTTCTTGTTGCAGTGGCGACCACAAGCTATTGTATTTGAAATTGTAACAGATAAGAAGTTTGACATGATAATTATGTTGTTTATCGGTTTGAACATGCTGACGATGACACTGGACCACTACCAACAGTCGGACACGTTCAGTAACGTGCTCGACTACCTCAATATGATATTTATCGTAATATTTAGTTCAGAGTGCCTGTTAAAAATATTCGCCTTGCGATACCATTACTTTGTTGAACCATGGAATCTGTTCGATTTCGTCGTTGTAATGTTTTCTATTCTTAGTAAGTAAAATGCTTCTTATTATAACGTAAAAAAAAGTTTAATTTATATTTCAGTGATGATTAATATATATTTTGTTTACAGGTTTAGTGCTGAGCGATATTATAGAAAAATATTTTGTATCGCCAACTTTATTAAGAGTAGTGAGAGTAGCTAAAGTCGGTCGAGTACTTCGACTAGTAAAAGGCGCTAAGGGTATCCGTACCCTACTGTTCGCGCTAGCCATGTCACTGCCAGCTCTATTTAACATCTGTCTTCTACTTTTCCTAGTCATGTTCATCTTCGCTATATTCGGCATGTCATTCTTCATGCATGTCAAGAACAAAGGTGGTCTAGATGACGTATATAACTTCAAAACTTTTGTGCAAAGTATGATTCTGTTATTTCAAGTAAGTCCGATTTTCATACGTACATAATATTCAAATCTTTATAATGTCTTTCATTAAATGTGTATTGCAACGAATACTCCCTTTTAAAGATGTCGACGTCAGCCGGCTGGGACGGTGTGTTGGACGGCATCATCAATGAAGAGGAGTGCGATCTGCCCGACAATGAGCGCGGGTACCCTGGTAACTGCGGTTCTGCCACCATCGGCATCACTTACTTACTGTCCTATCTCGTCATCTCCTTTCTTATCGTCATCAATATGTATATTGCCGTCATCCTCGAAAATTATTCACAGGTAAAAATTGTTTTTTAGCTATTCCAAAAAACACAGTTGTACAATATAACGAAACTTCCTCTTTTTTTTATTTTACAGGCGACGGAAGACGTGCAGGAGGGTCTCACGGATGACGATTACGACATGTACTACGAAATCTGGCAGAATTTCGACCCAGACGGCACGCAGTACATCCGCTACGATCAACTGTCCGATTTTCTGGACGTTCTCGAACCGCCGCTGCAGATCCACAAACCCAACAAATACAAGATTATATCGATGGACATACCGATATGCCGCGGCGACATGATGTTCTGCGTGGACATCCTCGACGCGCTCACAAAAGACTTCTTCGCCAGGAAGGGGAACCCGATCGAGGACCCCGGCGACCTAGAGGTCGGGCGACCGGACGAGGCCGGCTACGAGCCGGTGTCGTCGACGCTGTGGAGGCAGCGAGAGGAATATTGCGCGCGACTCATCCAACACGCGTGGCGGCGGCACAAGCGCGTACACGGCGACGGAGAGGGTGCCGACGGGGTGGAGGGGGGCGCAGGCGCGGGGCCCGGGGCGGGCGGGGACGGCGCAGCAACGGCCGTGCTGTTGGACGCCGTGACGCCCAACGGTCACCGCGTCGTGCTGCAGACGGCGGCGGCGGCCGCGCGCCCCCCGGACCCCGCGCCGCCGCCCGCGCCCGTCTGACCCGCGCTCGCGCTCGCGCTGCTGCCCGCGCTGGTCGACGACGCGCCGCTGCCGCTGCCCGCACCGCTGCCCGAGCTCCTGAGCCCACCCAAGCGCACTTAATTATTTTTTACGCTAGACGTTTCGCATTGTACATAATATGTAGTGTGGCGGCGGGCCGCGGGCGAGCGACGCGACGCGCGCCGGTGTGGCCGCTGCGCGAGCGCGCCGTTTATTTCGTGAGAATTGTTCCTCCGCGTTCGGAGACGTTCGAGATGACGACCGGAGTGTTTCGTATTCGTGGCCGAGCTTTCGAAACTATTTGTTTTGCGACCGACGTTCGCGCGTTCACCGTGTTCCGGTTCATGTTCGCACCCGAAGAATCGTCGCGCCGGCCCGTCCGACGGCCGGGCGGGTCGTAGAGCGAACGAATTTTTCTTTTCGTCACTAGTGTTTAAGTAAGGTATCGGATAAAATTGAGGAAGCTGTAAAGGCTTATTTTTGTATTCGACGATTATTATCATTGTCTATTCTGTAAATTCTAAATCAGAACTTTTTTAAATTACGATGGTTGCCGATTGTGAGATATCATTTTCCTTCCCCGAAATGGTGTCGAACAATAACATTATCCGGTGTGGTGTGAGAAAAAGACCGAGTCAGAAGCCAATCGCCCGTCACTGGTGTGCACAAAGACAGTGGTGGACAACGGTAGTGTGCAAGCGACAGTCGAGCGTTGGCGTGTGGCGGGCGGGCGCGTGGCTGCGCTCGGGTGTGCCGGGCCGTGCGAGCGCCGCAGTCTCATTAGCTAATTATGTTCAGCGCGGGCGCACGTGGCCCGCGGCTCACAGCCAGCAGATCAATGTAGCACTCGACATTTGGAATATGTTCGTTTTGTTTGTCGTTGAAAACATGTGACGTCTTCGATTCGTCCATCGCATTCGGACGTTAGTATAGTCGTATCTAATAAACGCTTAGAAAAGCAATGGCTACGCCGATTCATATCAATTTTGTCCGTATAGTTTTTAATGGTTCCAATTTTTAAGCCTCTCAATGTACCGCAGCGATGCTACGTCGTCGTCATTTCTATACGAAGACGGCTCGCCGTCGTTTCCCTCGAAATTAAGAGAGTTTAGAGAAATTTTTGCAGTTATCTAAGTAAGCTTAACAAATCAGCTGTGAAATCGATACCAGAATTCACTTCCGTCCTAATCACTATGCATCATAGGAATCGAGCCATTTTATGTAACGCGCATTTTCCAAGTACCTAGTTAATGTAATCTCCCTTCCCCTGGATTACATTAACTGAGGGCGGGTGTAGCGCCAGCGTTCCCCGACCGGCGCCGCTCCCGCCCCCGCGCTCCTCACAATCAGTAGCTCAACTTCAACAAACTGCAAGTCGGTACCACAATAAGTTTTACACAAGCACAAACAGTCTCAACGAAGTTCCGTCACTCGCGACCAGCTCTTTGCATTAGCGCGCTAGATCTTAACTACAACAGTAGTGTACACTCGCTGTTTCCTGTTCCCGGAACATTGTTGAAACTCCTTGCTTCGAATGAAAGAATATCATGTAGAAGAAGGCCGTTTGAATTACCAAGTTGATCTACCGACTGTGTCGGTTGCGTGACATTATACCTTTTATAATTGCGAGCGGGCTGGTACTGCTTCGAATAATATTGCTCTTGCAGATGGCATTGTAACGAAATCTTGTACAACGTTCAACCGTTCGGCTACATGAAAATGATCACCGTATTTAGAAATAAGATTATTTATATACCTAAGAGATCGAACGTCCCTTACCGAGTAAGGTAGATATTACGAAGTGTTTTTATTTTTCGATACCATCTCTTCAGACCCGACGCGGCTCATCTCGGGCTCCAGTCGATGTCGTCTTTTCTAGCACAAGAAATTCATTAAATTTTGTATTTTAACTTTGGAAGTGGTCAATTTTCTACTTACACTGTAAATATTGAGAGCTTGCCGCCGGGTAGATCCCACAACGCACGTCGCAACACATAAATCTATCATCTCTACTATCTATCTAACGATATCAGCGAATAACTCAGCCATACATTAATAAGCTTGCAAGCAATAACGTTATCGTGTGCTCGACAAGAAGGTTTCGCTTTTTATCGTATGGAACATGTCACCGAATAGTTGTGTGCCGGTTGTTTTCAATTACGTTTACATATTAAAAAAATGTGAAAAAATATTCAATGAGGTGCAAGACAATCTAAATGTTGCAAAGTTTAAAGAATCGGTGTATTTAAACTAAATGAGACGCTTACCGTTTTGCACATATTTTGCAATAATTATGGTTACTGATAATGATTATGTAGATAATTTTATAAAATAAATGTGCGGGGTGTGTGCAAGAGAGCTTCCCCGTCGCTTGCGCATTCTCCGCGCCCCGCCTTGTCGTGACGTCACGTGACGTCACTAATCGGTTCGTTCGCTTGTGTTCACTTTATTTACGTTATCGAATAAAATAAAGTGCCGTCGGAACGGTTTAAGCTCATAACGGTGGCCTATCCAAAGAATAGAATATAATTTTGAAACAAATAAGAGACAGATTACGTCACACTAATGGATTTTGCAACCGCGATAGTCCATATGAAAATTAACGTAGTTCTAAGTCAGAGATGTTTATAAAACATACGGATATATTTTAGCAGAAGAAAAAAATCGGTAAAAATGTAATTGCTACATATGAGATAATACATGTACAATTACAGTACAATTATTGGATTTATAAAAAGAAAGCGATCCGATTACACAATGAGCTTGAATCGTTTCAATATGTTTGAGAGGGCGGCTATTCAAAAACTTTTTGTTGGTCAAACCAAATTTTTTATCTACTGTTAGGCATATTTGCACAAAGAAGTTGTGTTTAATTAAGTTTAGACAATAAGTTATAATATCATTGAATTGTTTATTTAAATATACTTATGACAAAAAGTGAGTTCAGTTTGCTGAGTGATAGAGGTTTAATTGAGTATTTATTATATATATTGTTGAAGTTTGTACAAAATAAATTAAGTAAACGATAAAATATAGAACTTGACTGCTTTAACTCGCCGTTTTATTTCGATTCAATGTAAGCACGGCCTCTACAGATCTGCAACTCTATCTCTCGCGTAACTAAACCTGCCCCCTAATTGTCTAATTTTAAATCTATTGCAATCGCTTTCAGTTTGAAAGGTGTTGCACAACCATTGCTGCATAATACAAATACTTTTTTTTCAACTGTCTTCAGAAACAAGCAATGATTGTGCAACACCTTTCAAATTGAAAGCGATTGCAATAGATTTAAAATTAGCCAATTAGGGGGCTGATTGGTCTATCAAAATTCTCAAAACTGCTAGGAAACCAATCAGGATTAGTTTTCGTTTTCTCTTCGCCAAAAAGAAGGTCTCCGTTAAAACATTGTATATAGCAGACAAATTTTAAGTTTATGGATTTAATTATTCTTAGACAGACCAATTTTTAATTATTTTCTCTATGATAATTTAATAATTATTTAATTATAATAAATAAAAACATCATTGTCTATTTTTATTTAGGTTTTATTTATTATTATTTTTATTTATAATAAAAAATCTTTCCCTATATATGTTCATAAATTACATAGTTATACGGAGATGATGTTACAACGCCTTAACTAAACTCAATACAAGATCTAAATATAGTCTTTATACACTTGTCCAATTTTGATTTTATTTATTAATACCGATTAATATCTCGAAACCTGTAATAAAACAATGCACTAGATTAGTTTCACATCGGCACCAGCGGCTACCTACGTATCAGACGCCATTCGCAGGATGGATGGTCAATTTATTATCTCAAACTCCTCCGTTCTTTGGACGGCCCGATAAGCAGTTGGTCCCCTCTGCATTCCAGTCGTAAACACCCAATCCGCGCTTAGCCGGCGTGAAGGGTGACGGTCCCTGCCCCAACAATGGGAAAATAAATGGGTACAATAATAGGCCAATAATGATCCAGGATATCACGCAAACTATAGGGACCTACGCTTATCATATTTAAGGAAACGTTGATCAAAGAGATAGAATGCTGATACAGAATGACCCGTTTAGGGCACGCTAAGCCACAAATCAGCACATTTATAAGATATAGCTAAACTCTTTAATCCTTTTCATCTCTTTAGTTACATGCACAATTCTCGCTTGTTATTATACTACCATTCAATTTAAATGAAAAGGTAACTGATATCCTACAAAAATATAGGACCTATTTGGGATTTGAATAATCTAAAATAAATGAAAACGGAAACGTAAAAGCGGAATATTGTCGCAACTAAAGGAAATCGGCCTTCCACGATCAAACAGGTAATTAGGTTTCTACCGTAGGGTGATGTTAGAAGCCATGAAAACCGACGAGAATATATGAAAAGAATATGTACCTAAGGAACCGAAAAACTTGTGCGCAAGCCGTGCTTTTTAGCATTCTTACCTCTCTTCTTATCCCGAAAGAGATCCGCGGTAATGATATAGATGTAAAAGGTTCGTGTGTCATATCCATAGGTAGGTATTATAAAAACTCATAATGAACGCCTCCAACCCGAATTTATAATGTGATCAAACCCCCCCCCCCCCCCCCCCCTTAGTCTGCCACTGATGAGTGTGTACAATTAATTGATAATAATTGTTGAAAAAAGTTGGCGAATAGAAACTTACTAAATGTGAATTGCATCCGTGCGAAGCCGGGGCGGATTGCTACAAAAATAAACGTATAAGTAAATATTACAATAAAAACATAAGAGAGCGTTTACACATGGCCCGTATTCAGTAGACATTAACCGGCGTCAGTGCTGGCGCCGAAAACTGACCTCACTGTGTATACAAGTTGCAGTCATGAGTAGTCAGTAGCCACGATAATGACTTAAGGTTGGTAGGTAAAGGTTTCAAAAGATCCCACAAAAAAAATTGGTGCCTCAACTGATATACTTGCTAAAAGTTACAAACAGTTACAGAGTAGGGCAAAAGAGAGCAACTATTTAACCATTTAAAACAAAAAATTGAAAAGCAACACCAAAAATAATTATAACGGAAACAAGACGAGGCGTGCATAACCTAGGCAACTCGGGTGTAACCTCCTTCATTCCGACTCTATTGTTTTTTCTCTTTTCTCGTCCGTAGTCTATTTAGTGTAATATCTGCATAAGGTTTTAAGAATAGGAAATTCAGTAATTTCGGCGGATATAACGAGAAATTCATATACTCCACTAACGTTAAGTATATCAAAAGAGCTATAGGCACCTTAATTAAAGATGACACATAGTTGTTTGGGATAAAACGTAATGTTACCACAATCTTCTTTATAATGTTACTTTCAGTAACAATTATATATTATCTTCAAACCATCTCGAATAGTGACAGTTAACATTAGTTCAATCTACTGTTACTACTAACAAGCAAATATCTAAACACTGTCTAATTACCCATGTCTATACCTAATTTAATAAAGCTTTGACCGGATAATTACATAAATAAATTTTTTTTTTTTAATGTTTTGGAAGAGATAAAAAAATGTGAAGAATAAAAGCACGAAATTATTTTTTCTTAAAGAAAAAAATAGATATATCATTAATTAAAGTATTGGATATAGAAATGATCATCGCTTACCAATAACTAGGCTTTACTAGGTCTGGTGGGTGACGGCGCCAACGCGTCCCTGCGACATTCACACTAATTAATTACTTGTACTAAATCTACATACTAGTTTCGCGTTAAGGGTCTCACACGTTTGCAAAACGCCAATACCGGCAACTGGATAACTTACAGTAACATTGAGTTTTTATCATTGAAAACGTACATAACGCTATTTCTCTAAAGGTACAAGGTTTGTTATTCGTGTATAATTTTGTTACATTATGTAACACTAGCTTTACGCGGCTTCGCCCGCATGGTCTTGTATTATACATAAAAACCTTCCTTTTAAATCACCCTATCTATGAAACAAATTCGCATCAAAATCCGTTGCCTGGTTTTAAAGGCAAGGATATGGCATTTTTTAAGTTTATATTAAAGCTTTTATGAGTCCTGGAGTTTTTATAATTGCTTGCAAACAATTTGAGTACGAGTACTAACATTAAATGCAAATATTTTAATATTTCGAGAGACGGGGCCAGTGGCGTAACTATACCGTTTGAGGCTCATGGCAATTCATCGGATATTCATTTTTTTTTACTAATTGCGTAATAATAAATGTCAGCAGTAAGGAGTCTCCTCTAACCGGGGACCCCTTCCAGCTGGAGGCCCGTGGCATTTTGCCGACTTGCCACCATGTAGGTGCGCCACCGGACGGGGCCCAAGCTGATAGGATAAGGGCACTAGAGTAAAATTGCAAACGCCGACCAAGACGCCCCTAATTTTGTTGTGCGTCATTTCTGTCGTAGCGGTAGTTTTATTAGGAACAAATTTTAAATTATTAATCAACACCATAGTAAAATAAAATAAGGGTTCTAATAAAAAACTCATTATCGATGTTACTATTTTTTTATTTCCGTCTCATAACCAAGACATACTGTCCTCCGCGTAGGTATACATACAAGATGCTTTGTCAATACACAAGGACTGTGAGTTACATGTTATCATATTATATATCTATACAGCATCTATATGTACAATGTATGTGTATCGAATTACTGTTTATGCTATTGTGTTAAAAAACAGCCACGAACTCATCGAACGCAGCGCCTTCACTTAAAAATCTTCGATGAAATAAAACCTTTACCTTTTAAAGTAGGTTTCATTTTAATGAATCGCTACTGTGAGAGCCAAATAAGAATAATATTGTCATACAACCATCTTGATTCGTATTTCGCTTCAACGTCAGGGTGTAAGATGTGCAAAATAGGAACGTAAACTTTTTTGTAATAAGAAGTATAATTTAACGATTTTCGGTACATTGATATTTGTAATAGAACCCGAGACCATAAAATGGCGACGCGGTGATGATGGTAAGCGTTAACGTTGAGTTAAAAAAAACAACTCCATATTTAGTAATAAAGAAAAAACAAAGAGAACAATTTAGAAATCATATTTCCATTAACTCTTTAGAAAGTCGTGTCAACGCTAATAATAATACACCCAATTATATGATATATGTATTAAGGTAACGAATTCAAAAATAATTAGCGTTTTTCTTTGCTGTCAGTACTAAAATCACAGCTGAACCATGGAGTTGGTAGCTAGCCGGATAGTAATCTTATTTGGTTCGCATAGTATGCTATGACAGCTCTGCGTTCAACGACGAGTTCAACGCCGTTTTTATAGCAGAATAGCAATACAGTTAGTATATATCATGCGTGCGCTACGCACGCATAACACAACTCGCCGCATTCGCACCTAGTGAGTCCACTATGTAGACTCATACAAGCTTCAGATTACTTAAAACTTATACTGGCAGTGCAATCGACTTATGCACTATCTGTACCACAATATTAATGTTACACATTCACTGACAGAGATATGTAGCGCGAGATTTATCATAAAACAAGCAGAGTACTGCAATAGGATACAATCAAAAATATTTATTTGCACGAACTGGTTTTATTTAGTACACTCATTGCCGTTTATCGCGGTTCAACCATTGGCTGCTACCGAGTCCGATAGCCACATATCCACTATCCTAATATTTAAAAATTCAAATCAATTCTAACTCTTATCGCAAATACAGCTTTACAGTACCAGTCGTATTTTTATTAAGAACTTTTAATTACATTATTAAATATATACTATATCAAATCCAACACAAAAGCGATTTGTTAGTGTCGGCCGTTGGACTATTTCATGGTAAATTTAGTTCTACCAACACCGAGATAAGCCTTCGAGGCTTTAAATTATAAGTTGATCACAGAATAATAAAAACCACACTATATCCAGAACTAACATCTTAATTAATCTTTATATCGATAAACAGTAATCTAATAACAAAAATAGGTTTTTTGGCAAAAATATTATTTTCTTGTCTCTTCTTAACCAATACTGTTAATTAGTTCTGAAAATACTCGTTTCTAAAGAAAAATAATTATGTGTAAAGTGAATTACAGCACAACAAAATTTAACATACAGTTGATTCAAACAAGTACTATACAAATTGTTGAAAATGTACCTTTACACTAAGCGATTTACATGGATCTACGCTGACGTCCAATCAATCATCTGCGAGTTACAAATCTAAGCGATACACTCGAAAATTAACTATGAAATATAAAGACTAACAGTGTGTGACAGACGGAACCAAATTTACATGAAAGATCTTAAGCTAAATGCCATAGAACAACTACAGCGACGTCATGAACAGTCGTGTGCATTTAAACATAAAAAAAATTAACAGCTTATTGCCAAACTTTTTTTTTATTTGCATATTGACTAATGAAACTATGATGTATAAAAAAAATACAATAAATTTTAAAGTGATGATTATTATGAAAATATATTTTATTACATTTAATACATTATTTATAAGTATAAATGTCTCATATATCAGATGATAATACCAAACCCAAACGTCATTCCATTCTGTAAAAAATAGTCATATTATTGACAAATTTACGAAATAAGAAAAAGATATATATTTTAAAAAGTCAAAACATTATATCTATTAAAATTACAATATCAATAAGAGATAATTTATGGATATTTTTACAGAATCGGAACGACTATGCACAAAATATAAGCTATTTACGATGACACATTACTCATTAAAAAATATGTTATTTTCTTTACAATAAATGAAATATAATATACCGTTTAAAGTATTGAGTAAATTAGATATTGTTACGGATATATCCTTTGAGAAAAATATTAACGTATGAGATCTGACACTTGTTATTATAGTACACCGTCACACGTAGTTATCTTGTGAAACGTTCGCTATCAAACATCCACGCGTTTAAAATGATTAAAATGATAAGAATATGAACACCACAAAGTCAAGGGAGGGTCGAGGCCTTCGCGTCATATTGGCTTTCGTTTAAAACTCACACGGGACTAATACCGCTGCACCATTGTATGCTGACTAGAACCAAATAAATTAAAACTTACTTTAGACAATGGAGAAGCTGCCAATTCTCACCACTGCGAGAGTCATTTAAAGATTTTAACAGTTGCATGATGAGATTTTAACATACAAATTGACTATAACGTCGATATTATAACCACTGCACGCAGTGCAAGCGTTATTGTAAGGCATATTGTCCACTCAAATTTTGTTGTCATATAAAAATTTAGAATTAGTATTTTTGTACCATTTAAATACACGATTGTTACACTCGCTAAACGCTAATTTGCATGGTTTCATAGACGAAAAAACAAAGTAGACAAAGTACCTAACCTATAACGACATAATAGTATTCTATTCATATTAATAGTAAAGTCAACCCAATGGTGCATAGGTCTTATTAGCATTGTGTAAAGACATATCACAACGGAACTTCATAGTGAAATCAGAGCACATCCATTTCACGGAGACTGATTCATATAGTGCTAAGCTAATTAACAAGTCTGTCTGCAAATAAAACTGCTCAACCACTGTCACTTGTTTTGTTAAGCATTATTTGTTTAGAGAGCACTGGGGGTAACATATGTTGACACCTAAGTTGAGACAATGTCGGTAATGTCTGATTTTGATGTCGCCAGGCAGCGCTAGTGTGATTGGATACAAAAACAAAATGTAGAAAAAATAGACTGTGTTAGTAATATGTCGCGTAATTTTTTCGGATTTGGTAGAAAAATATTATTATTGCGCCGTTAAGTAGTAATATTGACCAAGATAGAAATCTGCAAAATTTTATAGAAATAGATTCGATAGAAAAGTGAGATATATCGTAATATTTTTCAATTTATCTAAATTTCAATTATTAACAAATTAACTTTTTCTTCTTGTTTAATTCTATTGTATGTTTGCGTTTTCACAATTCCGCCAATGTCACATCAGTGGCCTTTAGACATAGAAACGATTAAAAATACATAAGACGTTTAAATTTTGAGATATTAGGAGATGAAAAAATCTCTAAACTTGTAATCGATGAAATTAAATTAATAACACCTGACACAAATATCTGAGCTATAAATTTTTTAGATACCATTATACTCCTAGGACTAGATAAAGGAGAATAAAATATGAAAACTCTTGGAGGATTAGACAAAGACTTGCTTCTCATAACTTGATGTGTCTTTCTTTAATGTTTAAAGGTATAATAAATCATACAGCCCCATTGTATAATCATGCCCTTATGGATGAAATTTATTTTTACATTATTTTATAGTTTGCATAAAAAATAACCATCGTACAGCACAGGCAAAATACAACTTCTAAAACGCTTGTCAGATAAATCATTATAAGGGTAAATTAAAGAATGTAAAATATGAAACCCTTTACCGAAGTATTTAAGGTTGATTAGTGTCATCTTTTGTCTATATATAAATTTTAATCTGTTTCACCTGTAAGGGCAGGATATGTCTTTATCACAATGCATTATCCAGAATACGGATGCCCCGCACAGGATAGCGGTGTAAAGTAAATGATTGATTTACTCTGTGTAGTCCCAGCAGTCCTTCTCGTAGCCCTCGTGTACGTGCTCTAGCAAAACCTTACGCCGACTGTCACAATATCTGTAACAATAGAAAATTTTAGTTAAATTTAGCTTAAGTCACTTATAAATTAAATAGTCTATAAGAATGGCAATTTTTTATTATTAAAATATATGTGATCTATTTCCATGATGCTCTTGGTGTTTCACCATTAACCCTGTACTATTAAAATTTGGACATTTGGACATATTTACCTGTACTTATCTTGCACTTTCTGTTTGATATCGGCGAGATTTTCGCTAGTGATATCCCTCTCTAGATACTCGGATAGGGTCTCCGTGGCAGACTCTAGATCTCGCTGGTTGTCCTCGAAGATCACCGACTGGTTGTTCTTGCGCAGATAATACGCGAACACGTAAGTGTACATCAACGTTTGTCGACACTGACACAGAATGTCCACGGCTTTCTTCAAGAATTGTACCTGTATTTTGGTGAAACATTGGGTTTTATACTTAGCTGTGTGTTATACATTTGAAATTTTACTACTGATTATTGAAGATAGAAGAGCATTTTAGGTGAGACAGTGGTGAGAAATATTCATATATATATACTAACTTAAAATAATATACTGTCCCTAGTACTCTGACCTGGGATTTGAACTCACGACCTTTCACAATCGGGGCGACTGCTCTAACCACTGAGATACCCAAGACCTAACAGGACTGACGAATTCTTCAAGTACTTATTACTATTTTTAAGCATTTTTCTTTAAGAATATTTTCCAGTATAGCATTATGAATGCAAAATTAATCAAATATAATAGTAATACGCTGTTTCAATCGCGTAGTAATGAAAGCTATAGTAAGTTCTATAAATCGCTATAGCTTTGAGAGAATTTGCTATAGATTTTAGAATTTGACAATAAGCCTCCCGGGCTTTAGTAATAACAAGCGCACCTCAATCCAGCTCATGTTGTGCTGCTGCATCTCCTCCATCTTCTCCTTGACGGACGCGTACAATTTGGACTCGAAGCGCAACGACTGCATATGATTCATATAGCGGTTGCAGTAGAACAGGTAGCGCTGCAGCGCTGCACGGGAACGCTCCTGGGCGTCGCGGGCCGCTTTAGCCTCGTCCTCGTCGTACCTGAAGGATACAAGGTCAAAATAATGTCAACGGCAATAACTTTAAGCCTTATTAGTGTTTATTTTTATTGCAATAACGATTCATTAATTTAATAAACACAGATAACCTCCAATAGAAAACGCATAATGACTATTTAAATACCAATCTTAGCGTTGGGGTAGGTGGCGGGCGAGGTAACTGGGGCGACGCTATTGGCTAATTAGTACAAAGACACGTATTCCGTAGTGATGGGAACCATATGTTAAAGGCATGTCGATAACTGATCGATATTATGTAAATGTTACCATTGGATATCATTAGAAATCTGTTACTTTAATTCACAATTTATAGCACTATAAACTAATTGATGGACAAGGCATCCAAAGGCAAGGTGTCAGTGAACGCGTACGTCTAAAATCACTAACTTTCAATCAGTTCAAAGAAATACGTTTAAATAGGTTGTAATTAAGAATGGAAGAACAACATCACATTTTAGATATTCAATCCCAACCAATACGTGAATTCACAATCCCTATAAAAATCCAAACTCCCCAAAAAATAACATTTTTGCATTTCTTGTGACACTGGTTAACATGCTACACTTCGTTATATAAAGCTATGATAAAATGCACTGAGACACAAAACATACAAATGTGTGTTAAATCTTCAAAAGAGGATTAATTTAGACGAAAAATGCAAAAAATGCAAACTTTGGACTTTTAAATAACGAACAAGTATTTAAATAGGATGAAAAATATTAATGAAATCTAAAACTTCATATGTTCTGAAATATCTTAAGCTAGTTAACATAGGCACTATATACATGAGTACATGACAAATATTATTTATTAACCTCGGAGTACAAATTTGGGCACTGAGTACATTTTTTTCCGTAAGTGTAACAATACCAATCAATGTTTACGTACCATGGAAATATCGATATCATACCTAGAAAAAGCATGAAGTAGCGATGCTAGTGCTACACGTATATTTGTCAGATTAAAATAAATATCCTAATTTAGTAATGAGAGAAAGGGATGGGTTTCAAAAAACATCAACGCGTGCTGCATTTCTATAAAGTTATTTTTCAATGCAGTTGCTCATAATAAAAATGTACTGAAATCCTTTACTGCACACGTGCTTAAAAGTATTTTTTTAATATTTTTTTGGCCGAGCACCAACGAATTTAAAAAATATTGATGTAAATATGTCAAACTTTAGAGGCAAAAGTATTTCAAGGAGCCTAGAACGAATATTTTCAAATAAAAATGTATGACACGAAAACATGTTCAAATATCACGTTTAATTTTAACAAATTAATTTATATACCTTAACCTATATATTTGTTTTATTTCCTCGCAAAAAGCATTGAAAAATGTTGTAAGAAACTTGAGCGTAAAAGGTTTTTCGAATTCGTGCCCCTTATTCGTAAAACCTTACTTTCCGCACTCGTATCTTAAATAACTATTATGTTAGTCGGTTTAAGTCTCATTTTTAATTGTGAAATAATAGTAAGTCTTAATAAGAATGATTGTTTAGCAACATATTAAGCCTTATTGTTGTTATCATCTGTTCCCTTATAACTTCAAAACTACTCATTGTAACTGGAGAAACGAGGTATCATTAGAAGCGTTTTAGTTGTCCGTTTCATTAAATTGGCAACTGCGCCCTGTATAGAGAATAAAGTAAAAAATTAAAAATATATATTATTCAATCATTCTGTGTTGGGTGTCAAATGAAAGGGCTTAATAATCGCTTCCTACTTAAAAACAAACTAAAATCGGACTACAGAAAAATCACGCAATTTTATTTATTTACTAGCTGACCCGACAGACTTCGTCCTGTCAAAAAGATTTGTAATGTGGCAGTTTTTTTGCCTACGTATTTAAAAAAAATCTCCTGAACAGAACCGTCACCCTGGTGATAGGGCGTTGTGAATAAAAAATAATTAAATAAAACATATATAAGGATTTAAAAGTAAGTAATCGCTTTATTGTTAATCATGTGAATCATAATTATTATTGCAATGTATTAATAGTAATAGTGTTAAATATAGAAAAAAGAGATTTTTATGATCATAAAAACACATTACACACAACAGCATTATAAAAGTAAACTATTCGAATTAAAAAAATATATAAACATTCTCAAGGAAAAATGCTGGAAGAATCCATCTACCTGTACCCCGGAATGGGACTCGAACCCATTCGCGATCCAGGGACTGCTCTAACCAATGAGCTATCTAGGACCCAACAGCTTTGCTACTACAGAGCGTATTTTCATCAATGTTCCGGCAATACATGTAATGACGTGGAAACTGATGCATTTTATCTCGCGTGCCGAAACTAATACAAAAGAAACGCGAGTTTCGGAACGCGACATTAAACTCCTCCAACTATGTATTCTGTGCTCCAACGCACACACGCACATTGTTTTGATAGATATGATCTTTGACGTTAGGAACACACCTACATTGCTTAGACAACAGTGAGTGCTTGTAATTTAATATGAACTTTATACCATAGCAATAAAGCTCAAATTGACTACGTTTTAGTTACAAATCATTTGTATGGGAAAAAGAAAAGGGCTATTTTTAGGGTTTTTCCAGCAATAATTCTAATTTTTCTCGCCGTAAAAACCATCCTTGAACTTCAACGAACATTTTAAAAAAAGATTTGGCCAAATTGGTCGAGGCGTTGTTGAGTTATGCGCTTACCAACACATTTTGCGATTCATTTTTATATATATAGATTTATTTACTCTTTATTGCATTAAATAAAAATAATACAAATGGCGGACTTAATGCCAAGGGCATTCTCTACCAGTCAACCTGAGCGAATGTTGGATTTGCATGTTAGGCGATAAAGATTGATATATCCAGTAAAAAAAAAAAGAAAATACAAAATAAAAAAATATATAAATAAAAATATTTAAAGGCAATTAAAGGTTTGAAACGAGAAATTAATTATATAGCGATAATTATATTATAATCGCGATGACCGAAGAACGAGTAGTTGTATGCCACAACAGTTTGTTTTGTTATAATCAGTGGCATCACGGTTTTAGTTTTTGGACTTATTTTTTATTTTCTAAATGAGACTACTTATAAAATGTTACCACGTAAAACTATATGTCGTCTATATTAACGATTAACATTGAAGCGGGTGAATTGATAAGCATGTTACAATCGTAGTATATATTGCTCAAATTCCTAGACGAGACAACAAAGGTACCACAACGCCCAAACCCGAGCCAATATAGAAAAGTTCATTTTCTACATTGACCTGAACGCGAATCGTACCCGGAACCTCAGAGAAGGCGACACCGTGAAATCGACATGCGAACCGCTTTGCTACGAAAATCATAAAAAATAAATCGTAACTTGATGATTACGATTGAGTAATAGCTATATTAATGAATTCTGTATAATGTGTAATACCTGTTGCAGTTGTACCAACTGCTACCATGGGGCTCCCATGGTCCGAGACAGACCCAGCAGAAGTCCGCCTTACAGTTCTGGTTCTTGCACACCATGTGGTTGCAGCCGCCGTCCTTCTCTATGGTCACGTTACATTTGGGGCACTCCTTTGTGTTTGCCGCTATCCAGTTAGAAGTTTCAGAGTCGTCGTCGCATTTCTTCAATAAAACGATAAATATATATGGTTAATTTATTCAATATTGTTTCTTTTCTAATGCAATTAAAGTTAATTTTCGTACTGAAACATAGATATCATCTAAAACAATGGAACTTTCAGATGATAAATTTTATACCTAAAGAAAATTTAAGTGCACATATAACACTAAAAACGACTGAGGCGGATATGTATATGATTCCACAGACATTAAAACAAGCAATATTGTTTTTTAAAGTCTGTTTTAGTTTTTCTCAAAAAAAAAACTCTTTTTACAGTGACTACATGACAGATAATTATATGATAGAACTACGTCATTATTATATTATCCTACTAAAATTATAAAGGCAAAAGATTGTAGGTTTGGAAGTCTTTTACTTCTTTATGCAAATATTAACTGAACGGATTTTGATGAAATTTCATTCCTTTAATTCTAAGCCTGGATCAACACTTAGGCTACTCCACTGGTGGAAAGCAAGTATTTATCAACTTTGCATTCACAGTGCTATAGTTATAAATATTCTTAATGAAAAATGCTTCAAAATACCACGATTTTTTAAATTTATTAATAGTTTTCATGTTTTTTTGATGTAAAAAAAACTTTTGATCAGAATTCAGGAAAAATTTTATCGTTTACCTACTTTTTTAAAATCTATTAATACATAGAAAAAAAAAGGAACCTTTATCCATTTTTTTAGGAGGCAGCAGCGTACAGGGTCGTGCCAGTTCTCGCCGCACGCGAAACAGAAGGTGTGACCGCAGCGACACGTGACCGGCGCCGCCTCCACGTACGCCACCTTGATGGCATTACTGCAGTCCGGCGACGGACACCATCGCAGTAGCCGATTGCACTGAACAAATAAAAGTACAGTCACAAATGTTATGCATACTAAACATGTCATTAATTATTGTTAATAGTTAAGGTCTATGTAACGACAATATTATTCAGCCAGATTCAATTCAAAGCTCTAAGGTAAAATATTTCTGAACATATTTCATTGACTATCACTATCAGCACATTTGATTGACATATTAACGATATTGCTATGGAAACGAGAGTTCATTTTACCTCCACAAAACTGTTGGTAATAATATGTTGATACTTGAGCTTGACTCGTGGGTCCCGCACCAGCCGCATGACGGTGGCGTCATCCACTAGGATATCGCACGCGTGGGCTGCGCATGCTATTGTTTGACCCTAAAACATCACAAATCCACACTAATGGAATAAAAAGTAAACGAATTGAAATGGTCTAATAACACGCTTTATAAGGGAAATCATAAAAGTATATCCTCCAGTATATTACTTACTAAGCCTTCTTCCATTATTTTAGTTGTTAAGTATTCACACCAACACTGTGTGCAAAATCTATGTCCGCATTCCAAACCTGTCATCATCTGGAAATAATATCATATAATAAAATTAGTTCAAAACATAAATATAAATGAAAAATATATGCTCCACCCTTTGATAACTAGAATTACACATGTTCCTCCAAAAAAACATTAAAAAGCTATAACTTTGTAAAAATTATTAGGTATTTTTGGTAAGTATACATGTGTCCCCATAGCCTTAAACTGTTAAAAAGCACTTAAAAATTGAATACCGATGATGGTAGAACTGAAAAACATATTTCACATTCCTCTGTCCCTGATGTTGATATCCGTCTGGGTAACTGAAACAATTTTTATTATAAATTAGACTTTATATGCTTGCATAAAAATTACATATTATTAGGTAACCAATTACAATTCAAGTCTTTCAAAGCTCATTTTATATAACAACTTCATTGGAAATTCATCAAAAAACAAATAATAATAATTCACACTTTATTGTACACACATAATTATTAAAATTAAATTAACAATAATGGTACTAATGCTATGGTAAGCAAAGTCAATCTCTCCCAGACAACCTTTGATTCATGTAATATTTAGAGAGAAAGACCGGAGGTAGTGTGCCAATAGTAGAGATAAAAGCCAAAAATAATATAATAAAAAATTAATATTTTGCATGTTGAATAGCAGGCGACAGCTTATTCCAGAGCCCAGCAGCTTTAATGGTAAAGGACTCATGGTAGTATCCCGATCTAGTATGAGGAATCTCTAGCACATTATCTGTCTAAAACTGGCAACTATGATTTGTGCTATGAAGTGATAGTATGTCATACAAAATTTCAATTTACACAGTCTTATTGTTTATACCATCATCTAGGTATTGTATTATTAGTCATGAAGTTCAAAATGCTAAAAAATGGTGTTGGCAGATTGCACAAGGTAGACACACATAAGTTAGTAGACAACATAGACATGCATAAGTGTCTAACTTGTTTACTAACATCTTTGCTATCCCACATATCAAGCCATAGTCAACCAACAGATGTTCTCTGTCATATATACTACCTACTTTTGTTGACTACTTAAATACACAATATAATTTCTATATCTTTTAAGGTTGTACTACCAAAATGATATGACCACTATTTTTATATATGTTGAAATATATAGAAATTTGATACCTAACAATATAATGAAAATAATATATACTTTACCTTTGGCCTTTGTATGACTGGTTTCCTGAAAGGATTAATAACCCTAGCCTCGGAGAACAATTGATCTTGATCCCCATCATAGAATCGTTCCATAAGTTTCTCTTTGTCCCATTTGAAATGGTTTAACAGTATTCGAGTTGTTGTTGTTGGTATCTGCAATTATAACTAATAATAAACACAAGTCTAATAACAAGCTAATTGTTAACATATAAAATTCATACACTAAAAAGATATATGATTGTTATGCTGAAATACTAATTCACAATCATATCAAAATATAGTATGTTTTTAATGTTATTGTTTATATCAATAATAATGATAAGCGCTGATAATAAACACAATGCAAATTTTTCACACCTGTTAACAAAAATCACAACAAAACAAAATATCTAATGTCACACATCAAATAATCACTTCTTATGATTATGTTTCTATTAATATTATAACAATATTTCAGAAATTTCAATATTGCATAAAAAGCCTCTGATAAAAGAAACTATTTTTGATTCCCTATATCTAATGCTTATATACTATATGTGACTTTGTTATTTAAATGAAAATTTTAAAAAGTATTATTAATTTTTAGTTAGAATGCTCTATAGTATTAAAGTAATAAAGTTTTCATAAATCATCTCAACTTGCAAATTAAATTCTCAACAGGGTTTCCCATATAATTAATCGTAGAATGTATAGTAGTAATACATTGTTATTGTTACAAAGATATCAGAAAATCTCATATACACAAGCTACAGTTCTACATAAAATGGAACTTTTAATTAATGAAAGTTTTTTTCAAATAAACCAAGACAAAAAATTATGAGTCAACACATTCTCTTTGTATGAATGTGACATCATGAATACAGAATGTTTACTATTACTGATTCTTATAATTAAATAGGTTAATAGGCCATTGATTCTATAAACTATCACCATAAACTATTATTACAAACTGTAAATATACATAGAAGCTTTAGAATTAGCAAAGATGCGAAACAAAAAGTCTTATTGAAGTGTTCTAATATACAAGTAGGTAACCTCATTCAAGAGTTCATTGTTTACTACTAACATACTGACCTCAACAACAGTGTTCACTTCTTTTATACAGTCAACCATGTGCTGAACGATTTCCTCCGTAGATAGCACCTCATATGGATATTCCTCGAGCTCAGTTTGTCGTTCCCTTGTACTGTGAGTCTCAACGTCCATTGCAAAGTCGACATCGTCTCCACTGGACTCATTCCCAGAATCCACATCATCCTTTGTGTCGTCTTCTGAATCCATAGTCGGGACTTTGTCAAAATATATATGCTTGATAAAAAAGGGTACAGCCAGAGTACGTAATGATGAAATAATTACACCTAAGATTTAGGAAAGGTCAACAATGAAGAAAATAGTTCACTCACGGGCTGCCAAAACCTCTGACGTATGAATGGCAGTGTCTATGACGTCATTTTTCTTGTCCGTCTATTGTCTATGAGATAGAACATTGCAATACTAAAAAAAGAAAGTCTCATAAAAATGATTGCGAACTCTCATCTCTCATCAAGCATTCCACCAGGTCAGGCTACTCCGTAATAAATGAATGCATCAGCATAAAATTATTGACCTCAACGTCGAGCACAACGCTGTAACAACAGAGGTTCAATTAGAGAAGTAAAGTTTATAAAAATATCGATATATCGAGTTCGATTCCAAATATATCAGTGACATTCGATATCGATATGTCGCTTTACATAGCCTTATACCGCAAGGGTTGACTGTAAAACAGTATTATATAAGGAAAGATTGATTGTGGGGTGCCAGCCAGACAACCTCCACGCGCACCGGGTCCGTTGCCCATCACATCTCGGCAGCGCGATACAAGCGATTACTTTTCCTATATATTAAATTACTCTTTGTAACAGGCATACCGGCAATGTGCTGGCCAGAGCATTCGGTATAGTCCTTTCGGGGATATTTAACCAGAATGGCTAATGGCACGGGGGCGCTGCCAGGCGTGCGAGGTTGACACATTGGCGCAGGGTGCGTAAGAAGGAACAGGCGGCTGTATCGGAATGAAGCGGAAACTTCGTTTCTTTGTCTGCCTTCCTCTCTATCGTTCTGCGTACTGCGGACTTGTTTCACCCCGTAAGCCTTAGACCCATCCTGCACTGCCTTCTGAAGTACGCTCGCTTGCGTAAAGGAGAGAGGATTAAGGTGGATTAAATGTCTCGTGCGAACTGGCCATGGCCATTTTTGACACTGAGTCTGATCTCTTGAAGGATAAAAACAGGGTCTTCTCCTGGAAAAGTACACCACGAGCTGAATGTCATATAAATAGACCCATGCACGAGGGAGTCCTACATGTCCCATGGCATGCGAAAATTTACCTACAATGGTTATGTAGTAGGGGAAGTTTGGCACCATTCGTACACGGGGAACCTTCATACAGTCACTACTACATCTTGTAGAAAAGCCTATTTATTACGACTTTGTGTTAGTGGATAGGCGCCGGCGACTGCCAGTTGTCCACGAAGTTAGTCACACATGCAGTCATTGCGCGCGAAACTAGAGAACTTGGCGTGTTTTGGCATGCTCATAGTAAATATTTTGTTAATGTTTTTGGATCTTCCGTGCTTTAATCATACGTCAAATTGTATTGGATTATTGCTTAATCGTAAGTGAATACGATTAAGATAAGAATATATATCCATATTGTGTATTTTTCTACGTGGGTTTTGTGTTAGAAAAAATAATTTTATTATTGATCTTCGGGGCACGTTCGTACATTTCCAGGAAGGGCACATTCGTACGCGTATGTGTGTACTCCCGCTAACAATTTCTATTATTATATCAGAAATTTTTTAAAAAATGATCGGAATTTCAAGAAGATAAAGCAGACACGTTCCCAATATTAATTAAATGAGTTTTTTGCGTCTGTAAAAGGAGTTTTTAAAAAGCAAAAAACAAATTGTTTTACTGGAAAGACTAACCAATTGAAAAAGTTCATAAACACATTACGGACTCACGATATTGGAAGTCACAACACTATCAAATGATTATGATAAAGTTTTGAAATATAAATGTTTGCAAAATTGTTATGAAACTGGCTTCGCTGATATAGAATGGATGCACGGTTTTCGTAAAAATATAGTTAGACTCTAAGCCTATATGTCGGTTAGTTTATTACATCGTTGATAAGTTTAAGATCAATGAAAACGATTTTTTTAATTCATTTGTTGTTTTACTTATCATATATGAAGTTAGAGTTTGGCAAGCGAAACGTGACACCACCTATTTTTCCGTTTTCATATGGCAACAACATAGAACTGTCAGTTTGACACTACGTTAGACAATTCAAGAATATTGAATTTTGTTGTTTTTGCGAATTTGAACTTGTGTTTTTGGTTAAAAATTATGTCGAAGCCGATAAAAAGTTCATCGAGGAAACTTCTTTCCATCATGATTGACAAGTTTACTGAAGTGAAAACTGAATTAAATAAAAATTTCATGGAGAAATTACAACGATTAGATAAAGTTGTATCTTTTTTAGGTTAGTTTTGTATTATAATTTTGATACTTTCGTTTTAATTTTCTGTAATTAACTAAACAGATATTTTTTATAAAATATTGCTCTATTTCAGATAACTGTGATGGTGATATTCAACCAATAATGGAGGAGATAAATGCAATAAAAACTTTAGAAAAACAAGAAATGCTGAATTCGGAAACGCAGTACTTACAAAAAATTTCTTCAATGACAGGTCTCTTTTCTTGTTTTGATTTAAGATAGATTGATAGTATTCCTATAATATTTACATAGGTTTTTTATGATGTATTGGTTTTTATTGTTGACATCCAATGATGTCATAAGAATGTTTTGTTTAACAAGGAAATTCACAGAATTCATGAAACTAATCAAACCATGTAATTGTTATACATGCTAAATATGCACATAAACTTAACTAAATTAAACATAAATTGCATTCATAGTTGAATAGGTATTTAAATTATTTTGATGTATGTGTCTATCATTATTTGCTTTTAAATACATTTAACATATCTTTGTTTCAAAGTGTTTAATCTTTTATAGATGTAAGTATAAGGACACTAAGAAGGATAAAAAATGAAGCATTAATTAATAAAGGAAAATGGGACACTCCTGGGAAAAAACGACCTCATCAACCAACAGTGTCTGCTTTAGATAATTTTGATTTAAGTGCAATTCGGAATAAAGTAAATGAATTTTACTGTGTGAAAAAAATTGTTCCAACATTAAGAAGCCTTCACAATGAATTAAAAGATGCAATAGGATTCAGTGGTAGCCGTGAGACTTTACGAAAAATTATGCTTAAGAATGGATTTTCTTTTAAAAGCAATGAAAATGAACGTTCTATGCTTATAGAAAAATACCAGATTTCTGCATGGAGGCACAAGTATTTGAGAGAAATAAATATAAAACGAAACGAAGGAAAGCAAATTGTGTACCTTGATGAAACTTATGTACATCAGAATTATAAAGTTAAAAAGTCTTGGCAAGGACCTTCAACAACTGGTGTCACTACAAAGATATCCTCTGGAAAACGGCATATTGTTGTGCATGCTGGATCTGAGGAAGGTTTTGTGCCTGGTGCATTATTAGTGTTCAGTAGTAAATCCAAATCTGCTGATTATCATGATGATATGAACTCATCGAACTTTATGAAATGGGTCAGAGAAAAATTAATACCAAATTTAAGTAAGCCCAGTGTAATTGTTATGGATAATGCCAGCTACCATATAAAACAAATCAATAAACCGCCTATAATGTCTAATACCAAAGCAGATATCCGTAAATGGCTTGTAAATAATGGAATACATTTTGAGGAATATCAGACAAAGGCAGAGTTAATGTGTTTGGTTAATGATAAGAAAACATTGCCTGTATATGAAGCTGAAGAGATTTTAAAAGAACATAATCATGAACTTTTATTGCTGCCACCGTATCATTGTGACTTAAACCCAATAGAGATGGTTTGGAGTCAAGCAAAAAGAAAAATTGCAAGCAGAAACATTGGAATACCAGGAAAGGAAATGGAAAACTTAATAATAGAGTGTTTTAACTTAATTACCCCTAGTGACTGGAAGAAATACACTGATCATGTTTTAAATGTCGAAAATGATTACAAATTAAAAGATGGCATTGTTGAAAACGAACTTGAAAAATTTATTATATCTGTTGGTGCAGACAGTAGTGAAGAGAGTGACTCTGATGATTCCTTGTCATTGTTATCAGGTGTAGAATATTTAGAAACAGATTTTGACTATGAATCAGACTAAAGTATTTTTAGTCTGATTCATAGTCAAAATCTTATCTTAAATTTTCTATTGTGATTAACATGATGATTTTGTGACACCTGTATTATGTAATTTATCCATGGCACTTAATTGTAACAAAAATAAATGTTTTTTTTATTGTAATCTGGTGTTTATATTGACTAATTTAATTTGATAGATAGTGGTTCTGGATCAGAGCAAAAGGTTGTGATGAAAATCCCTTAGGAGACATGTATGTGTTATGAACACATTATAAATATAAGGGCCAGAAATCAAAATTGGCTAACATCACATTTATTAAAAAAATGTGGCCAGAGTCGCCCATATTCATTACAAAAAAACAAAGAAGTCGTTGCAAAAAACACCCTTTTAATTAATGACAAATATGAATTTTTAATATTATAAGTGCTGTTAGCCAATAGGTATAACGAATGGGTTAAAAAAAAGATTCGATTTAGTCCGTCAGTCAGATAATAGAAAAATATTGGATACGTATTTTTTTTCGCTTTAATTTAACAACAAATGGCTTAAGAGGTACTATGCGACGACTTCAAATATGCTTTGCAACAATGTTACTTTAATACAGTTTATCGATACGAAATCAAGTGTCAAAATGGAGTCCAGTGGAGAATGCCGATATTGACATTTCGAAATTGCTCATCATTGATAGAGAATACGAAATAGTGATTTTGACACAATCAAAGTGTCTATTTTTTACGGTGATGACGATTCTTGGTTGTCAGTTGAGTTAGTGAATAGGCCTACTGATATGCTGTTAACTGTACAATTAAGAACAGTCACGCTTTAGTCAAATGTTCCAAAACAAATAATTTTAATTGATATCTAAATGTTAAGATTAAATATAATTAAAAAAAGTATCAAAATTATTTTGCAGTACTACATTCAGTGTTTACTGCTTAAGAATTTTTGAAATTGCCGCCCTTTTCTTGTGACACGTTTCGCTTGCCAGACTCTACCACACTGTCTGAATGTTCCCCGACCCATGTACGATTGTACCCCTTAATAGGGGTAGATTCGGACATTTCATTAGCTTTTAGTAAAATTCAATCCTTTGATATATTATACAAGATATCGAATTTGAACTATTTAAATAAGGAGCAGAAAGTATGCTTTATGTTTTAATAAGTAATTGAGTAATTTATCTTTGATTATCAATATTTTAAAAATCATTGACTAAAAAGTGTACGAACGGTCCCAATCTTCCCCTATCTGTGCCTACAATGATTCAATAAAAAAAGTATTTTTCCTCTATGTTCTGTATAAATAATATCCCCATAAATTCACAGAAATATATTATTTCTGTGCATAAATTACTAATGCGTTTGGCCGCCATTTTGGTGTAGTCATTGCATTGTATTCAATAATCAATACCGTTAACAAATAAACACTGGTTGACAATAAGTGTACTACTTATAGTTTGGGTTGTGTTAAAATCATACATCATTTTTGTTGGTTTCAATTGTTATTGTTAAGTTTTATTGTTACTTATCATGGTTGACTAAAATAACAAATGCTATTATAATTCTCATAATAAATAAACACAATTTCACTAATAATAAATATATCTAATCCCTTATTTCGTTACTACTTTTGGTTATGTTTTAAATGTCCTTTCAGTTTGTTATCACTTATCACATTCATCACAAAGAAAATTTTAATTTTTCATATTTTTTATTTCCCATTTACTTTAAAATATATTCTTTTCCAAAAATTCAAATTGGAAAACTAAAAGTTATTAAATTATTATAACAATATTTTAGGGATTATTGACATAATTAATTAATAATTTATTGCTTGCCTTTTGTGCTATCTGTACTTTCTATTTTCATATGACATCATGCTGGTGTTATAATGAAAAGGTTCCAACACATAAGCAATTTACAGAACATATCATCTAATATTTTAATCTTTACAAGAGGGTTTCATCAGTCAGTCTGATAAATAAAAGTTCAAACATTTTTCCAAGCTGTGCATGGAATGGTTTTCTTTGAAATTTTAACTTATTGTTTTAAATATAGTTAAATCTTTTATTTGAAAATATTTATCTATTATATTAGACTTGTCATAGAGCTAATATTAAAATTATTACATTAAATTATCCAATTCATTTTGAATGGCCTCAAACTGAAGAAATACAGAATAGATTTCAGGATGATTTAGTTCTAATTCAAGTTCTTCTTTTTCTGATGCAAAAGTTATGTATGTTTTAGGCACTTTGCACTTCTTATGGTATTCAGAGCTTAGTTCTGCATTTAATTTCCATGGAAAACTTAGAGAATCCATAGAGTCATTTATTGTTGTAGTACCAAGCTCGTTTAATACGGTCCTTGTTTCAGAAGACCACACTTTAACAAAGATTTCTGCTTTCTCACTATGTAATCCAAGATCCTTCAAATCTAATTTTAAATTGGCTGGCATGAAAATGAATTTCAACATTTTTTTAAACAAATATAGAATAGTTTTTATTGCAAGCAGTAGGTTTTCATCATTTATTTTGAAGATTTTTTCAAGCTTTCGTCTCTCTTCTTCTGTAAAAAATTCTGTGTCTTGTATCTTTAACTTTGTTACAATCCTACATAGAAATTGCTCAAACTTTGCTTCTTCCAACTGATTAATTACTAATATGCCTTTAGTTAAACTGGAATATAAAGTAATAAAGGGTTAAAAGATTTCTGCATGAAAAAGCAACAAAAATTTTTTAGGTCAATTTTAAGTGATACAAAGGTGATAAAAGTGTGTTTTTTAAAGAGGTTCCTTGATATGCTAGGGGTCTGTGGGTCTGAAAAGTCTTCTATGATTTAGCCAGTTTCTATTTGGCATATATATATCTGGTCTTGTTAAGGGTGACTGTACATCTATCAGAATGGAATGCACGGAAGGAGGTGAAAGAAAGAAAGTTTATGATTCTTTGTATACAAAATTATGGACCATTAGCACATACATACGCGTCCAATGGTCAGAAATATAATGTAGCTGTCATTTAATTTGCAAGGTGTAAAAACAGTTCATTTCGTTCAGCTCCATCGGCTCAGTTTATGCGATCACAATCATAATTTGTAACTATATAATCTATAGGCTTTTTATACTAAATATTTTCACAAGCACCATCACTAACATCTGTATAAGAAGTATAATGTACCTTTGTGAGTTTTTAATCCAGTAGTAGTTCATTTTAATATGCAACTTTTAAAAAGAATAGTAATATTTTTTTACATGTACGTCACCCATAAAATTATCTGACTAAAAGAATACTATTATAAATTAATATTTATTGTTGAATTATCGATGTTGACTGATGTTGATCGAAGGATACACATAATCACAGAATATTACAATTACATCCCTGACTAGTTTATAGTGATCTGTGCAATACATATAAGACTATTTTTACTCTCTGGATGCGCCGATTAACAAAGAATAGATGTGACTAAGGGTATGTTCCGATATACACTGCGAGCACTGCGCAGTGGTCTTACTGCTGAAAAATCCGTTCCGTTATGGACTGCCAGTACATTGCTACAGTACCGTAGGGAAATTTATGACGTCATGAATTGCCGCCATATTTGTACTGTGAGCACTGGAGATTTCGAGGTAAGGTGCTCGCAGTGCTTTTGACCACGTGATCAGACGAAACAGATAAAATAAAATACTTACGATTATTATAAGATGGATTTAATTGATAAATATTTTTTTATACAATTTTCCAATTTTATAATATTTTCTTTTGAAAAGAGGGAATCTTTATATTTATATTCACCTTGCATTAACAAATTTGAAAATGGCGCCAAAAATAGGATTAACAGTATACTGGACTGCGTTCCGTTTTAAAAAGTCACCAGTATAACTAGCTATAAAGGAACGGGCTTCCAGTATACTAAATTGACGACATACTGTTCAGTGGTCGCAGTGTATATCGGAACATACCCTAGATTTGTAGTAGGTTCTTGTCTACCAAGTTGCCATTGGAAAATTAAATAATCATTATTGGCATTGAGGTAATTTTATTGATTTTGTAAAGACATGACCAGGTAATTTTAATTATTATCGTATAGTAAATATATTGAAGGCACGTAGTTGATATGTTTTTTAAGTAAAACTGCGAATGAGGAAGTATAAAAAAAGAAACATTAGTTTCCGAAATCAAACTAGATGTCGCTACGGTACGTTCTTGATTTCTCCATGACAACCCTTTCGTTTTTCTTTTATGTTTAAAAGTAAATTAGTTTTCAAAATTCAATATACAATTCATATTCTATTCGTACTATTTCGTATTTGTATTGATATATAAGTTTCGAACTTTTCAAATTTCTGTTTTTTAATATGTTACTTAAAAGGAACAAATATGACTGTCTTTGGTCCATTCGTTTCCTGCAAAAATTGACATTTGCTAGAGTCGCCATCTAGTGGACGTGCTTTTCAGTGCTTTGGTTTTTTTAATACTTCCTTATTCTATTCTCTTTAGTTTAACGTTATGAATCGACATTTAGATCCTACAAATTGTGCTGCCATCTAGTGACAAATTATTGTAGTATCTTTATATTTTTTTAATACTTCTACATTAAAGTTACGAGCAACAAATAATAAAATTAATCTAAAAGTTAAATATCATAAGATACACAAAACGATGTCATATTTATTAATTTTCGATACTCAATTTACTTTTAATACGTCAGAAACAAAATTTGAATGAATATTCGCTAGTGACATCTAGTTTGATTTCAAGAACTAATTTTTATTTTTAAATATTTCCTCATTATATAACTTCAACTTCACTATTCACGTCACTAATAAGACTTCACGGTTCACTTATAAATCAAATTCAAATTCGGTGCTGTGATGTTACACGCAGTTTTAAATAATCTATTACTTTGTTAATGTAAAATGCTTAAAAAATTCGCTTGGTCCCTAGCACCCTGAGATGGATGATGAAAGTATGTGATGTATGAAATATACCCTTTTTAATTAAACCTACTGTTTTCTCCTGTTTTTTTTTTATTGGTATCTGTCGCTTTCTAGTTTCTTGTGGTTGGCAGCACTACTGTCAGTGTCAAAATGTATGTGGTGGTGGCGTGAGGCGTGGAAGTTACAATTTTTAAAATAAATTTCATCATGTCGATGAAGCACGAACGTGTTCCAGAAAACATTGATTTTCCCAAGGAAGAGCAAAAAATTCTTGCTTTCTGGAAGGAAATTGATGCTTTTCAGAATTGTCTAAAGCAATCTAAGAATAAACCCCGGTAAGGTTATGATTTTTTTACACAGCTGTAACAAAATTCTAAAATTGGCAGAATGTGCTTAACGCTCAGATAACCCATTAATTAAAGAAGAAGAAAGCAAAATTCTTGTCATTAGTGGTGTACCAGCAGCTCTGAAGTGATAGTCAACGACGACCCTTTATGATATAGCCAACGTCCATACCATGTTGAATACACCAGTTCTCGTCCTTTATGATAAAAAGCCATTCTAACGCCTAATCTCTCAGACGATCTAGGATTTATTGTTCAGGTTGCGGACTTTGCAAAGGCACTGTTGACTTAAATCATCTTTTACACCCGTTTATGTGATAGTAATGCTTTTAAACCGTATTTAAAATGAATGAAGACTCTACTGAAGAATGTATGAGATTTACTAAAGTAAAATATGTTGATAATGAGAAAACTTAAAAATGCTTATAAAGTTACTGTTTTGTTTTAGAAACTTTAAGTTTCTGAACTTTTCAAATAAATTTTATGAATCATTATCAAAATAATAATACCTTAATCTACATAAACTTAAATTATATATGTATTGAATATGCCAATGATATTAATTTGTCTAGATATTTATTTCACACCGTAAAAGTGAAGCTACTACAACTAAGATGTTTGTCTTATTGGACTCATTCTTCATAAGTATAGAGGAAGATTAAATTAAATTACCAAATTAAAGTTAAGCACTTCTCAAACTGTACTTAAACAGGTTTTCATTTTTGATTTTAATATTTTAAGGATCAGCGGTTTGATTAAACTAGAACTTTTGCCTTATGAAATTTAAAAGAGTTAAGTTACTACGAATAATCGTTTGAAATTTTGTACTTTTCTCAATTCAGAAACAGACCATATGAGAAAATAAGTCAAAATCAACAGGCCAGTAAGCGAGACAATTAAATACAGATTATCATCTGGAATCATCCTTATTGTCTGGAATAAAAACTCAAGAAAGTGTTTTTAGTTAAAATTTCTCAATTACACACCTTGTTTATATAAATTATATTATTATTAGACAACATCACATGCATGACTTAGATTCCAAGATGAGTAGCTAAAGTATTACATGTTTTATGGAGTATCCAAGATGACGAAGGTTCAACAACACCCAGACCCAAGAGATTTGACCTGTTTAATATTATGATTAAATTCACAATGCTATGTTAATATTTATGTTAAAAAAATGATGATTCTAAATTTTCTTTAAAAGGAAAATGAATGAATAGAGGGATATTTATTCACAAGCCGGCCCGTGGCTGCCATATAATTTTTTTTATAAAAATATCTTTTTAACTTGATCTTCTTGATTTCTACAATTTCATTTAATATACACCCTATAGAGATAACTAGTCCACCATAATTGGTACATCACCCCATTCAAAGCGGAGTTAAACAATATAAAAATATATTATGATTTTTTATATATTGATTTTTTTGATATATTTTAATTTTTTAATAGGATGGTAACCTTTACCCCTGATTTGTAAACGTGATTAATTGTGTAAACTTGACAGCACATCAAGTTTACAAAATTACACCAATGCCACTCAATACATAATTTTTTTGTCTTTGCAGGTACACATTTTATGATGGCCCTCCATTTGCTACAGGTTTGCCACATTATGGCCACATCCTTGCAGGTACTATAAAAGATGTAGTTACACGATATGCTCATCAACAGGTAATAAATCACTCGTGCATTGATTTTCTTTATTATTAAGTAGTTAAATCATGCAACAAATACTACTTCACCAAATACAATTTATCAATTGTAATCTTTGGTTAATCGTATTATATGTAGCCTTCCGCCAGCGGCTTCGCCCGCGTGTTGATTTATTATACATTAGCTCTGAGAAGAACTTTTGCGTAAGTGTAGTATTAAGAACGAAATCTAAAAGACTCTGCGTATGGAGGTGACCTCGCGTTTGAGCCGCGCGGGTACCTTACTCATAGATCTAAACTCCCCTTGGTGACGCCCACTACGCAACGGGCCGTGCAGAAGAAATAGTAATATTTTAATTTCACCATAACTTCAAAACCAAACGTCCATTTTTAATCACTCAGAGAGCAAATATTATCTACATAAACTGTACTTCGTGATGAAATAATTTATTTTGATAAGGTTTAATAGCATGAGTATAATAAACGCGTTTAAATCTAGTACAATAAAAATCAAGTCAAAATCCAGACCCAAATTCGAATTCACTTATGTGTCCGAATTTACCTCATTTAGTGTAAAAATTCTATTGATTCAATTTTTTGCATAAAAATACAAAACAAAATCGATTGAATATACGTGTATCAGATATTCTATTCCTACATTTCGATACTGACTTCACTTATGTCACGAAACGTTATTACCAATTCATGGATATTGACCGGATGCAGCTTTTTGAAGTGAATTCGAATTCGAGTTTGAATTTTTACAGAATGGTAGGGCTGAACTCGAATTCACGTCATTTAGTTTAGAAATTCTATTAATTCCAATTTTTATGTTAAAAATACAAAACGAAATTGATTGGATATATCGTCTATGAAGAGTCAATAAATAATAACTGCAAAAATGCAACGAAACGAAAGGAGACGAAAAAAACGTTTCAAATCTATTATATTGTTTTTTCAGTACATTAAAATTATTATTTATCTTACAAAAAACTAAGAAACGAACCCAAAATCTTTGTCACTATTGTGTAGTAATCTATTTTACAATGAATAATTCAATAAAACAAAAATTGACAAAATGTCAGTTATTATTTATTGACTCTTCATGGGCGATATGTGTCTCAGATGTTCTATTTCTATGCCATTTTTAAATTTACTTCACTTATGCCACAAAATGTTATTACCAATTCAAGGTGGAGCGGATACTGCTTTTTGAAGTGAATTCAGATATCTGAGTGAATTCGAATTCAGGTTTGGATTTTTACAGAATGTCAGGGCAGTGGTCCATCGACCAAAGAGTTCATATTTTATATGAATACTGCTCGTTGATAGTATAAAACGCGTACACATGCATTGTGCTCAGTAAATGGAACCAATTTCAAACACTTATAATTTTCAGGGCTACCATGTCGAAAGACGATTTGGTTGGGACTGTCATGGCCTGCCAGTTGAATTTGAAATTGATAAGACCCTTGGTATAAAAGGCCCGGAGGATGTTGAAAAAATGGGTATTAATAATTACAATGCTGAGTGCCGAAAAATAGTAATGAAATACGCTCATGAATGGGAGACCATTATTACACGAATGGGTCGCTGGATAGGTACCTATGTAATATTTAAATAAAGGTTTGTGTTATTTTTATGTACTAAAGTTATTGATATATTTTCTTTGTTGTTGTAGATTTCAAAAATGACTACAAAACACTTTATCCATGGTTTATGGAAACAATTTGGTGGGTTTTCAAAGAACTCTACAATAAAGGATTAGTGTATCAAGGAGTCAAGGTAATGCCATTCTCTACGGCATGTTCAACACCACTTTCAAATTTTGAATCTGGACAAAATTATAAAGACGTTGTTGATCCGGCAGTTGTGGTTTCCTTTCCCACGGATAATGGATATTCTTTACTGGCTTGGACAACAACTCCTTGGACTCTTCCAAGCAATTTATCTCTTTGCGTGAACCCCAAATTAATTTATTTGAAAGTTCAAGAAAAAGCAACAGGAAATTGCTATGTTCTACAAGAGAATCGCTTTCCTATTATTTTCAAAAACACTGATGACTTCCTTATTCTTGATAAATTTCTTGGTGAAAAATTAAAAGGTACCAAATATACGCCAGTATTTGACTATTTCGTGAAACAATGTCCAAATGCACATTGCGTGTTGGTTGATTCATATGTTACTGATGACTCTGGTACAGGAATAGTACACCAAGCGCCATACTTTGGCGAAGACGATTACAGAGTTTGTCTAGCAGCTGGAATAATAACGAGAGATCAGGAAATTATATGTCCCGTTGATGCAAGTGGCAAATTTATAGAACCTGTCAGTGATTTTGTTGGCCAGTATGTAAAAGATGCAGATAAAAATATTATAGCCAATTTAAAAGCTCGCAACCGATTGGTGCAGTTGGGACAAATAAAACACAGTTATCCTTTTTGTTGGCGATCCGAAACGCCACTCATATATAAAGCTGTACCGTCTTGGTTTGTTAGAGTTGAGCAAATTAGTCAAAATCTTCTAAAATCTAGTGAAGCCACTTATTGGGTTCCTGAATATGTTAAAGAAAAACGGTTTGCTAATTGGCTCAAGGATGCTCGAGATTGGGCTATTAGTCGAAACAGGTATTGGGGCACTCCCATTCCTTTGTGGATATCCAGTGACAAACAGGAAGTGGTATGTGTTGGAAGTATTGCGGAATTGTCAGCGCTGACCGGAAAAGTAATAACCGATTTGCACAGAGAAAGCATTGACCATTTAGAAATACCTTCTTCGCGACCTGGCCAACCACCGCTAAAAAGAGTAACAGAAGTGTTCGACTGTTGGTTTGAATCAGGTTCCATGCCATATGCGCAGTTTCATTACCCGTTTGAGAACAAAAAAGAGTTTGAAGAGATTTTCCCTGCTAATTTTATTGCTGAAGGAATTGATCAGACTAGGGGTTGGTTTTACACTCTAATTGTCTTATCGACTGCTTTGTTCAACAAAGCACCTTTCAAAAATCTAATTGCCAACGGTTTAATTTTGGCATCCGATGGGCAAAAGATGTCCAAACGAAAAAAGAATTATCCTGATCCACTTGATGTCGTGAATAAGTATGGCGCTGATGCTTTGAGGCTATACCTTATTAATTCTCCTGTAGTAAAAGCGGAAAACTTGCGTTTCAAAGAAGAGGGCGTAAGGGATGTCATCAAAGATGTATTTCTCCCTTGGTACAATGCATTTAGATTTTTAATGCAAAACGTAGAGAGGATAGCACAAGAAGATAAAATTAATTACGTTTTTAATGAAAACGCTGTACGGGAAAATGTTATGGATAAATGGATAACATCCTTTACACAATCATTAATCACTTTCGTGAAAAAAGAAATGGCTGCATACAGGTTGTATACTGTTGTGCCAAGACTGACTAAATTCATTGATCACCTCACTAACTGGTACGTAAGAATGAATAGAAAGCGGCTAAAGGGAGAAAATGGGGTTAAAGATTGCCAAGTGGCTTTAGACACCTTGTTTGGGGTGCTCTATGATATGGTACGTGTAATGTCACCCTTTACTCCTTTTCTTACGGATTTAATGTATAAAACTTTACGTCACTTGTTGCCTGGTCAGTCACTTGAAAGTGTGCATTACAACATGATTCCTAATCCAAAATCAAGCTTGGTAATGACTGATATAGAAAGGGCAGTCCAAAGAATGCAAACTGTCATTGAACTGGGTAGAGTGTTAAGAGATAGGAAAACAATTCCAATTAAGTATCCCTTGCCTGAACTGGTTGTTATTCATCATGATAAATCTTATTTGGATGATGTAAAATCCCTTGAAAATTATGTCCTTGAAGAGATGAATGTAAAAAAAATAAACTTGACAAGTGATAAGGAGAAATATGGCATTAAACTTAGAGCTGAACCAGATCATAAGATTCTCGGTGTTCGTTTGAAAGGAGACTTTAAAGCAGTCACTCAAGCTTTAAAAGATCTCTCTAATGAACAATGTGAAAAACTAGCCGCTGAAGGCTTCATAACTCTTGTGGGTCATCGTATTGATATATCTGAGGTCAGACTGATTTTCCAAGCATCTGGGAATGACCAGTATGAAGCACATAGTGACAATGATGTGCTTATTCTATTAAATGTGACACCCGATCAAGACATGCTGGACGAAGGATTTTCTAGGGAAATTATCAATAGAGTTCAAAAACTTAGAAAGAAAGCTCATTTAGTGCCTATAGATGAAGTTGACGTATACTACTCTGTAAATAAAACAAGCGATATTTTACGTATTATTAATTTACATCGAGATTTCATTGAAAGCACTGTTAAAGCTCCACTAATTCCTATTGAAAAATTATCTAAATCTAAACCTGTAATAATCGAAGAGACTCAAGAGCTCAAAGGTTCGCAACTTAAGTTAGTAATAACTTGGAGAAAAGAAATAGAGTTACCAGCAAATCCTTGGGCTAATGTTGTCCTGCAGGGTATCAAACCTCGACTTGGCGTAACAAGTAATCAGGCCAGTATAATTCTGAAAGACAAAGATAATAAGTTTATGACTATTGATAACCTTTACCAAGAAGTGCAAGTTCTATTTGGTATTTATGGAATCAAATTTACTTTGTGGTCTGCGGGAGCTGCGATTAGTGATACAAGAGATTTGAATTCAAAAACCATTATAGCGTCACCGTCATTGCCAAAAGATATTGAATCTAAACCAACCCCGTTTTGTAAGTTTATAAACATTGCGAATGGTATGAAGACTGTCACATTGTTCCTCGAAAATCCTTCAGGGAATGTTACCTTAAACAATGAAAGTGCTGTAAAGTTTGTTACGGATTATTTTGGCTTAAAGAATTCTGATATAGATAAGAATTTATTTAAGTAAGGACCTATTTGCAATTGAATTGCCTGTCAAAAATATGATTATTTTATGCTACATTATGCTCGTATAGCAGTATTGAATTGTGTAGATGTAGTTGGTTTATGCTAATTTATTTCTTGAAATTAAAAACTTATAAAAAAAATGTGTTCTTTTACAATAAAAATATTTTCCCCTATTACTATGCTATGCTCTATTATCGTATAAATATACGTAAATGTTTAAAATCTCGATCAAAGGACTGGAATATAAACTTGTCAAAACTCAGATAGCGTTAGTTCTATACTTACATTAGATACCGTTCCAGTACTATGGTTCTATTTTGCTAATAATACATACACAGAGCCGCACGTCATTTTACCAAAATATGAGATATTTCTACAGTTTGAACTCTACGATACATGCAATAAGACTTAATATGCAAGAGTTCTGCAGCGATTGATATTGCAATATAATAAGTACTAAGATCTTGCCCAGAAGGGCGAATTCAGATGCGATTTAACAAATATCTTTTTAACAAAATTTTAAAAACAATTCGAATTTTTCGGAATTTTAGTATGAAGACAAATAGAATAGACCCTCAGGTGTCAGGTTAGTTCATACAAGTTATAATAAACCATTACTCACTCAGTATATTCAGTATGGAAGTCGGGTGGTTGCGCTCCCGTGCGTGTAGTGCTCCCGTTTACTCTAATCTGATATTTGAATATTTTGGGACAAATTTTCATTTAAAATTCATTGGTATAATTTACCAATTACGTATGTAATTTATTATATTTAAAAGAAAACAATAGGTAACGGATTTAACTTTTATTTTCCATAAATAAAACAAAATTGGCATAAAATACGAACATTATCGATAGTTTAACCATGTATATTAGATGCAGTGTGGTTTCATCAGATATTACGTAATTATCAGTTTATTATCCATCAAAAATTGACTTACAGTTAAGTGTCAGGCCAGTTAGGTGTAAGTAATAGTTCATATTCTGAAATGTGTATAAGTGATATAAGTTGCACGGCCTCTGACACACTTGCGTATATATTACGTAAAACCAAACTATACATCGATAAACTGATACAAATTAACTTACAAGTACATCACAGCTATCTCCCTACGAAAGTAGTGAAATGTTGCAATAAAACAACCATCGTTAAAACGTAAACTAAATACAATTTTTACATTGATAATAATAATAATAATAATAATGAAGCTTAGAAAGCACTAAAGCGAATTATGACCGTAATTTTGTGTTAATAATGTATACATACAGCCTTAACAAATAGTAATAAAAATAATTATTAATTAAAAATTTTCATGATTCGACAATACATATTGCTGGTCGATATTGTCCACTGTTAAAATTAACGATGCCAAAATCATTGTCTTGATTCTGATAGTGATAAAGTAAGAATAGTCTCAGTGACGTTTTAATATTCATTTTTTATTTTAAATCCTTAATTTTGTTTCGTTTATTTTCGAAATAATTCACTGAGTAAAACGCTATGGTAGCGCTATATTTACGTTAACGCTAGGAGAACTCAGACCTCGGTCCAAAATAGTAGGTATCCGTTCAGAATCGTATTTTGATAAGTATTGTATGCTGTAATCCTCTGAAATCAGATAAGCCCCAAACAATGTGGCTTAGGAAACCAACAATCAGCATGTGTCTTAAGAAACAATTTTTTCACTTTGAAAATATCTCGATGCCGACATTAACTATCAGCAGTCTCGCAGAGCATTTAATGATTATAATTTGTCCTTAAACTTCCACATTTACAAACAGAAAAAAAAATTTTTTGAGCACCTTGATATATAGGTTTGTTAAGGTGGTCTTAAAATAGCAAGAGCTCTTGAAAACATTGCAACTCTTATTGTGATTTAAATACTATAATTATAATGATGACATACCCATTTATTCGATTATAATTTAACATATGTTAACTATTCAATTATAGTGAACCAAACATTGATTAATTTAACTTTGGTGATAATACTATATTAAAACTAGAATGATATAAATAGTTGATCAAACAAAAACAATGAAACGAAATGTCTTTTAACAGTATGTAGATAGGAAACACATTGCATTGTTAATTAGGAGATTATGTGATTTAAATATTTAAAAAAACTATAGATTTTATTAACATTGAAGCGTAAATTACATTATAAGTGTTCGTACATTAAGATTATTAAACTGTCTTAAATCTGAAATATATGGAATCGATAAAGAACAAAGGTAAATCTTGACAAAATATTTAAAAAAAAAACTTTTAACAAATACAATTTATGAAAATTATTGGAATACAGTTGGAATTCAAATCCAGCTTAATGATACCATTCTCACGCTTATATCCAGATACATACACGTTAATGTTGTGAGTACTCCAAAAAAAAAAAAACAATATCGCAGTTCTAATTCACGTGTTACAATAATACTGTCTGGAAAAATAAATGTACATTATTGCACAGATTTAAAGAAATGCTTTAAATATTAATAAATTAGTCGAAAGTGTAATCTCATACTCATCACACAGGTATATTTAGATGAAACACTTACGCCTATACGAAAACGCGATGTGCGACATTTTAGAGGAAGGTATATAATTATATAGACGATACAACGTCGACGAAACGCAAACGTTCAAAATTGCATAACGACATGATACACACAAGCTAACAAGATTTTACACATTGTATTAGAAATATTATATTTTGATAAATTATTTTATTATGCGTCAACAAGTTATACATACATACTATATGCACTCATTATAAGCTAATTACACCAGGAGCTAAAATTATGTTAAATGAAGGCTTCGACGTCATCTGCAGTCGGTTTCATAAGTAAGCGATCGTGTAGTTTATTGCACTTTAAAGATATCAATAAATATACACATGTGTTATGTACTTTGTATATCTACCACTGCCCGTATACGCATTGTAAAATAGGCCAGACGCAGGGTGGCCACGTGTATTGACTAATAGCAATTGCCAATAAATAAATTTATTATCATTGATCTAAAGGTTCCATTAAGATTAAAATAGAGAAGAATTCACACTAAAGATAACTAAAGATTCATTAACGTTTTAAATATCCAACATCCGCTACTCAGTGACTAGTCTAAAGGCGTATAATATTCATATCATACTCGTAACATTTGAATAGCAACAACGATAAATACATCACAAGGGAACATAAGGCCTGACGACGCTATGCTTTCACACCCGACTGCTTTCTGCTAACCTGCAATAAAATATTATTTTTTGGTGCTAATTACATTTTCACTGAACTTTAGAAGCCGACAATTACTGTTGCTCTAGAAACGAAAAATTAAATAGTTAACGAATGTGTAGTTTACTTTTTTGAAAATATATTGTAAAACAGGAACAAAAATGATCACTTGAGAAATAATAAGATGGTTTTGAAATCATGCGAAATCTTTGGAGCGACAAATTAGTTCCATAGTCGCTTTCAACAAGCATTGTGAATCAGCAATAAGGCTACTTGTCTTAGTTTTTCAATGAATCAATATTTTTTCTTTTAAATACAATTTTTAATATACTTTCGCTTGACTGTGATTATTTAACATTTATTCTTAGCCCAATTTCAACCTGTGCCTGTGGACTTCGATGAAACCCACCCTATCGCGTAACTCGATTAGATATGATTTGACTGACATCGACTTGAATCAAATACTCAATGTTCAATACAATTAGCAACCCTAAATGATCATGCAGAGCTTAATTTTGAGAGACACCTAATATTAATGTAAAACAATTCTTCAAAATACATATAAATCGTAATATATGTACGTACGTAATATATACGGTAACTTCATTTAACGGGAGGAACACCACATCCAGTAATAGCAGTGTGATTACTAATGGTCCATAATACACAAAATTACCAATAGATGATGTGGTTTTTTGACGTAATAAATAAATAAACGTATTATTGTATAGAAACTATATAGAGTAGCGCGGAGCATTTCTTTCAGACAGATTCCTCATTAATGAGGACATTGAAATAAGCTAATATTGACGATTACTAACCAGGTGATTCAATACTGCGGCTGGTGTAGAGGCGGAGTGTCGCGTTCAGGCAACTTGCGCACCTTCATTGTACCGTCGGCGCCACACGAGAATAAACGTCCCGCGTTGTCTATCACGCAGATCGAACAATTCGATTATTAAACGAGTTATAAACTCGTTACCAGCGATCGGATAATCGAATGCATATTTGCCCAAAGTTGAGGTTTGCTGTTTTGAAATGCTCTTATGTATAGAGTTTTTTTTTCACATACTACACTTTTCGGTAGCGAAAAATAAGTCACAAAAACTGAAATTTACTGTTTTGTCGAGAATCGATATTCTCGATATCGGAATGACGTCATGAATAGGGCAGACAACGTTTTGATGGCTATAAAAAAGTTTAAAATTGTGCATTTTTTGAAACAAGAAAACGTGTTTATTTTTCTTTAATATATTCTTATTACTCATTTCAATGAGGAAGTATTTAAAAAAAACGAAAGCACTAAAAAAGCACCTCCTCTACATGGCGACTCTAGCAAAAGTTGATTTTTGCAGGAAACGAATGGACCTAAGAGAGTCATTTCCGTTCCTTTTAACTAACATATTAGAAAACTGAAATTTGAAAAGTTCGAAACTAAGATATGGATACAAATACGTAAAATTATAAACAGAATATGAGTTGTTTATGGAGTTTTGAAAACTAATTTACTTTTAAACATGAAAGAAAACTGGAAGTATTGTCATGGAGAAATCAAGAAATAAAAAAAATAAAATTATAAAAAATATTTCATACAGAGGTAAATATCTTATTGCATGGGGACCTAAAATAAACTTTAGTAAACACACATGAATAATTATGTAAGCCCGGAATTGATGATTTTCTTTAAATAAATACCACATGCTAAAGACGTCATTTCGCTAATAATTTATATTCCTGATTTTTTTGGAATCTCGGGATTTAAATGTAAAAAAATCATGATTTTAGAATCTGCTCTCATAATTTCCGAGCCAAAATGAATTTTAGGTAAATATGCATCTTATTATCCCATCACTGTTTATTACTAAAAAAATATTTCCACGTTGATCCAACCGGGAATCGAACCCGAGACTTCGTAGACCATTTCGAATCACGACAACAATTTGAAACGGGCCAATGAATTCAGCTTCGGCGTCTATATGTGTGTTAGTGGATATCAGCGTTTAAGAGCTTGCATTATTTCAAGGAATATACAGCAGTTTATTTCTTTTAGGGGAATACGTATTACGTACGCCAAGTACTGATAAATAGTAGGTATTACTAGCTAACGTGTCTTGTTTGGTCTAACGTGTTTATAACCGAATTCATATTTCAGTTGAATGTGTAATTATGAAGTGTTTGTGTTTTTTGTTTGACTTACCAATATGAATTTGAGTTACTCCTTGACCGATGTGTTTAAAGAAGGAGCTTCTTGCGTGTTCACCAGCAAAGGTGTGGAGCAGTTGATGTGTAGCCAAAGAGAACACCTAAATAAAAAAAAACGAAATAATGTTCTATTATTGATAAGGTTGTCAAAATTATCTATAATATAATTACTCGGAAAAAAATATGATTATTATTAATACAAAATGCTTAAAAAATCTACTTGGTCCCTGGCACCCTGAGATGGGAATCGAATCATTTTGTATTAAGAATAATTTTAAATATGGCATTGTGAGTGCAAAATTAATCAAAAAATATGATTATAGTGAATTTCTTTTTATACATCTAGGCATCGAAGTCACAATCGAAATAGCATTAACTGACCCAATACAAATACAAAACGAGATATAAATAAATTTGAGTACGGAGAGCAAAACCAGGAACCTGTCTCGACTACGACATCGCAGCAGCGCCTATGTGTGTATTTGTGACAGTTGTTGCAGCCTTCCTATAATACCTTGATATCTCCGTCGGCGGCGCCGATGGCGTATATGTCCTCGCGCGGGGAGAGCGCGATACACTTGATGGGCGCGTGGTGCGCGTGCAGCTTGTGCCGCTGCGCGCGCGCACGCAGGTCCCACACGAGCACGTCGCCGCGCCGCCCGCACGACACTAACGACCCGCTCGAACCGGCGAACGCTACGCACGCCGCCCCACCCTCGTGGCACGTCCACGCTGAACAATAAATACTTGTGACCAAAGGCGTCCGAAACGGGGGGTGGGGGGCAAAAGGGGGGAGTGCGCCAGAGATTCTAAAAAAGTTGCTTAATGTAAAGTAACCAAAGTCCTAAGTCTTTGACTTCACTTGTTTGTTCTATTATTCACGTACGTCGAAACTCGAATGAACTTAGTTAAAGCGGGAGAAGGGGTACATTCAAACCACCACCCAATTGTTTTTATTCATTTTTTAATAAATGTAATAACTTATTTCCAATATTTTTTATTCTACAGTCAAGAGCTCGTGTAACTTAACAAGTTAGACTTTTTACTGTTCTAACATTTACCTTAGATTAAAAGCTTCATATGCTTTCGACTTTAGCTACAATTCATTATGAAGAGCTAAGAAACATGAACAATCAACAGGGATACCGCCCCCGCTCGTAACTTCGTAGTTTGCGGTGGTGTCGTGTGGGTCATGTCGTTACGTTCCTTAAAATATGGTCGATTGTGATCGAGCGAAGCGATGGCTAGCCCATGCGTCATGCTCGTTATGGTTATGTATATTAAATTAATTATTACAGGTGACTCTTTTGACTCGGCATGTGAATCGATTGATCAGTGAATAATATTTATATATACTTTTTTTATATTGTGATGGATTTTGTGTTGGACTGCATATTATAATGAAGTAATTTTTCAGTCTTGACATCTCTATGAAATAAAATAGGAAGAATAAAGCAGCCCTTGCAGAGTTTCCTGCCGGTTCTTTTCGGTACATGGTCTCCCGTCGTAGATTTACGAACCGATGGCATAGAGTTCCACTTTCACTAGTGCTTGTAACAGCCTAAACTGAGTAAATTAATTTGAATTGATCGAAGTCCGGTCCAAATATTTAGTTGCGCTGTACAATCGACACTCGTGAAGTGTCATATTCTCATGATCGGAGCCCGGTCTAGGTATTCTAGTCTAATCTCAAATGGGATTACTCACATTTTATATCTTATAATAATACTATATATACTTAAAACTTATTGAATAATACTCACAGACGACTAAGGCTTTCTTGATGGGCATTAATGTATCCCAAATAGCTACGTTTTTACTCTCTGAACTATGTCCGGCTGCAAGAAATAATGAAATGTTTTTTACTTATTGTACACAATTTTATCAGAATACATTCTATTCATAAATTTACACTGACCTGTAGCAACTAAACTGCAGGAACCAAGGAATACGAAATCACTAATTCCTTTACTGTGACATTGATGTGTCTGCAAATGAAAAATTGTTACAGTAAACTGCTAAAGAACAAAAAAAAATAAGGGTTACGTATCCAAGGGGTTAAAACCGGGACAGTATTACTTAGACTCTGCTGTCCGTCCGTCCGTTTGTCAGTCTGTCACCAAGCTGTATCTCGTGGACCGCGTTAACTATATTGTTGAAATTTTCACAGACGATGTGTTTCTGTTGCAGGTATTACAACAAATACCAAAAACAAAACAAATATTTAAGGGGCTGGTACGGGGGTGTGTGCTTATTTTATCGTTTCTGAAAGGGAAAGTAGTCGCTGGACTATTATATTCCATTCGTTCATATTTTAATATTAGCATTTTTAGCTATTGCTCAATGACATTCAAAAACTGACAATAAAAAATGATGTAACGAACGAAATATATATACACTCACAAAGAATGGTCTAGGCGACGCGTGCGCCTGCCCAGCGTGTTGATTGGCGGGCGGGTGCAACTGCCACATCGCCAGGTTGCCATCCGCGTCGGCGGCCGCGAACTTGTTGCCGTAGTCGGAGAAACGCACGCGCGTCACCTTCGCGAACGCGCCGGGCGCACGCGGCGACCACACGCACGAGCCGTGGCCCCACTCCCACAGTTGGACCGAACCGTCCGCCCCACCAGTTAGATCTGGGCGTTATTACAAAGTATGAAATAAGTCCGTCAGTCAGATAATTGGAAAAATATTCGATAAGTTTTTTTTTGCTTCATTTTAAACAAGAAATGACTTAGATAATAGAAATTAAGGGTATGTTCCGATATACACTGCGACCACTGAACAGTATGACGTCAATTTAGTATACTAGAAGCCCGTTCCTTTATAGCTAGTTATACTGGTGACTTTTTAAAACGGAACGCAGTCCAGTATACTGTTAATCCTATTTTTTGGCGCCATTTTCAAATTTGTTAATGCAAGGTGAATATAAATATAAAGATTCCCTCTTTTCAAAAGGAAAATTGTATAAAAAAATTATTTATCAATTAAATCCATCTTATAAATAAACGTAAGTATTTTTTTTTGTTAATTTAGAAACTTATCATTTTCTGATTCTGTTTCGACTGATCACGTGATCAAAAGCACTGCGAGCACCTTACCTCGAAATCTCCAGTGCTCACAGTACAAATATGGCGGCAATTTATGACGTCATAAATTTCCCTAGGGTACTGTAGCAGTGTACTGGCAGTCCACAACGGAACGGATTTTTCAGCAGTAAGACCACTGCGTAGTGCTCGCAGTGTATATCGGAACATACCCTAAAGCTGGGGAGTGTTGGCTCGCTACGTCACAGTTTTGTAGAATATGTACAAAAAATTAGTCATCATCCCTATTGCATAATAATTTCATAATAACAAGATACCAACTGCATTGATTTCATTGTATTAAAAACAATTCTATTACAAAAAATCGTAATTCAATTTAAATATATGAAAAGTGCTTACAGAGAGGCTGAGAAGGATGTGCTGCCATACGTTTGATGTTGTCGATTTTGTGCTTCAACACCTAAACATACACAAAGCTTTAGTCATTGGTTGTACACTTATACAATTCACACATGTGTAAAAAAACCAGAACAAAATCTACAAGAGGTGCCGTACACAAAAATAAATAATACAATTAATAAGACATGCTCCACAGGACGAAACGCAAACGAACAAAAATAGCATAAAGATAATGAGAGTTAAAATAACATAATAGAAGTCTATACACCTTAACTTAAAATCCTACTAAAACATCTATTCCCTAATTTACTCGGAAACAACTAACGAAGAAAATCTAAAATAATACGCCCAGTGAAATAAAAGAATGTCTTGTTTTTATACAAGAAAAACGACAAACAATAAAATAAAAAAGAAATGACAGTCTACTGACATAATATGGATTGCATTTAAAACGGAAAATGGAAACATCGAGCTGAAAATAATAGGGGTGCGAATCATTGTTTTCGTGAGAATAAACTGGCAGACACTTCTTCGTCACTGACCGGCTTCATAAGGAGTTTGGAGCGATGCAGCACTAGGCGACAGTACTTCGGATCGTGGCAACCCGGAAACTGCAGGCCCTTCACCTGCGGCAACACTTGATTATATCGCGTAGGAACCACAAACTTATCATAACAGAACATTTGGTAACCATGTTTCGTTATTTTTACACTACAAGGCGAATTGGGTCCTAATTCCTAACAAATAAGACGAATAATATACTCTTTCTCTCAGAAGTTTAACAGAAAAATTAACTTCAATCCCGCATACACGAGTTTTGCACCAACCCAATAAAATTTGCAGTAGACATTATTTCAAAAGCATAACTATATTAGGCTATTGTATGATTACATTTAACGAGTTCAGGATTAAAATTTGTCTTGACATTTAATCAAGACATATTTTCGGAATTTTATGCGTATTTTGCAACATGGAATTCAAGTTATAAAATCCTGAACTCGGTATGTGTAACACCAATATTATTTATTTTCTCGTTAAGAGGCAGCGAGGCGACCACGCAACACGAAACAATTTACATCACAATATAAACACCATAGTACCCAGCACGTCTGAATGAAGAAATGCGAATCTTAATTAAATTTTAAATTTCTCAACAAAGTGAACTTTAATAGTTATGCATATCATAAAGCATTGTTCAAGAAAAGGAAGAGCGATGGCATTTTAGTTTTAAATAAATTTGCACCTAACAGGATCCTATCTAAGGGGTGACGCCGGGCAATTGCACGGAACTACAAAAGTAGGGTAGTAAATTGCAGGGAGGATATCTTTAATAAATATCCCTATTTTGAAGCCCCAGTATACTAAATGACTGATTATATAATCAAAACAATATCACACATTTAACATTCTATTATAGAATAAGAAGCTCATGACTTACATCATGATTGGTTAAGTGTAAACAATGAAGAATATTATTTTAGCCCGGAACAACTAAATAGCTAGATAGGACCCTTCAACTAAGCATATATTTTTGTATGATTGTCGTAGACAAATCGTTTGAACGTAGACGGTGAGTAAAGGTAGAAATGCAAAACAGTTTGCGAGCAGCGAGAAATTAGTGAGTTGTGTCGTTGCACTATAAGCCAGTGTGCTAGTGAGATGGGCTACAAGCGATTTGGCCAGTACGATTTGCCGATACATTCATATACAAAGCGCGTCTGTTAGCGTGAATAGTATAGCGTCAAGCAAGTTTGATCTGCACCGTACTTTTTGTCGCTACCGCAAATAAGTAAAGTTATCACTAGTAGTTAATACAGCGATCTAAATAACTATTTGTAATGTTTCTTTTTAGCTGACATGAAATATAAATAAGATGGTATATATCTTATTTAAATTGATCAGTGTTTATTGCAAATTAAACTTTTTTATTGAAGCCAATAGTTAATTCAAGACTCTTTATCATGCACTGAAAGCAATAGCTATTATGCACAATAAAAAAAAACAGAATAACGGACTGTAGGACCGACCATTGTTCAAAGCTTTTTCACGGACAAATATGTGAAAGTCAGGTTAATTAGGATTAATGAGCTCAAAATTCTTGATCTTGAAAGTAAACAGTAAAACATCGGTCGCCGGTCAACAACGCCTGACGATAGTGTTCCAAATTTTAATTCGAATACCAGTCTCACCGAATTCAATTTTATTTTATTGTTGAATTCTTCCGCAACGCAACTTAAAAATTTACACAAGCTATTCACCCTTTTAATAGTTTCATATTTTTCTGATAATAGGGGTGTTGACAACTTTTTTATATTGTTATTTTATAGATTTACTTAAAATTTATCCAAATTAAATATTTAAAAAATATATAATAAGTTAAAATCTAAAAATAAATATAATATATAATATTCACGCGCTGTTTACGGTTACGTGGCAAAAGAGCATAAAAAATATCTTTTCATAATTAGTTAAAGCAATATTATAAATATAATAAGCATAAAAGTGTGATTATCGGTTAAATAAAATGAATTATTACCGAGTCTTTCTTTTTGTCATTGTAACTCGCCAAGTCTATACTTATACGACTACTGTCAATCAACAAACCATTCACAATTGCGTCCAGTAAATATTTTCATGGTTCGACTAAATAAACATTCCCTAATATCCTACTTATATTTAACTATAGATTTCATCATTGGTTCATCCAGATGTGCTTAGTTAGTGTATTAGTGTGTTCGTTCACGTACTGTGACGACATAGACCTCGTGCCCGGTGGGGAGCGAGTGGGTATGGCTTGTGTTCCGCTCCAACTGTGGATTTTGTTTTATTTCACATTTACGATAAATGTTAGCGACCTTAATATTTATAAGGATTATGTAGTTGTTATTGAATTACACAATCACTAATTACATTTGAAACTTCATAAATACATATACTTAATGTTAATAAAATACTCGAAAATATGTTTTAAATTAAATATTGTTAGTATAATATAGATCAAGTTGTTACATAAAATATTCATACAAATAAAATATTAATGCAATGGTGCCAATTCCGTCCCATCAATCTCTATAAACTAAAAAAAAATAAGTTTGTTTCTAAATAATTTCATAATCATACGTAACCAAAGAAATATGCTTGTACTTCTGAATACTAATAAAATATTTTTACTTCTATTATCTTGATTAATTTACAGAATTTACGCAATTTGATAGGTTTAGACTATATTTAGTTTCGTTTCTGTAACAGAATTGCTACCAATACGAAGCGTTTACCATAAATATTTTATTTATATAATAGAAAGTACGTAAGCGAATCTCCCAATAAAATTAATTTAATATCAACAGCTATCATATATATTACCTCACCTCAAAAGGATACTTCTTAGCACTAAAAATTATCTTTTATATGATAGTGCGACTATTCTTATAGTAATAAGGCTAACAATTGTACTTACAACACTAGCGCCACGACCCGTTTGACTGGCCATACCGATGGGTACTTGCGGCGCGCTCGGATTCAACGGTGAACTATTGCCTGTGCCTGGGACGGAACCGTTGTTGGGCCTACCAATGACACAAATAGACTATTTATTTCAGCAACTAACAAGAATAAATACAGTACACACATTACTTTATTAAAAATATGCTATATATTCATGTCTTATATGAAGTTAAAGATTTAGGGTTGGTGCATATGTGTTAGAAGATGTGTCGCATCTCGTCAGTCGCGGAATATTCTGATACTTTATAATATATGGTGGATCATCCGTCATATCACACCAACCCATTTTGCGATTAAAATTTCACGAATTTATTCAACCAAACAGAAAAATATTTAAACGATTACAGTATTAAAAATACCTGCTGCCACACAATAGAATAAAACAAAAAGCATTATGTTATTACTTTGATAGAAAGCACTGTTATCAGGAAAAATATCGAATCTTGCGAGAAATAAATATGTTTATGATTAATCATATGAGTTTCTGCTTACCGATCTGTAGCAGACCGTTTTTACTATGATAGTTCTCGCATTCGTACTTCTCGTAATTTTATTCTGCATACGTTATTTTTTTTTATCCATCTCATTCACTCAATTTTAATTTTTTTTTTATATCTAATTAAAGGGATTCAATAATTAAATTTGAAAATGAAATTTCTCTTTGTTTTATTACGATGTCGTTCAATAGACAATACATATCATCACGTATACCTGTCTTGGTGCTGTATAAGCAGGAATCCGGTGTCGGGCAGCGTGGCGGGATCGGTGGCCAGTCCCATTAGATCCACGTCGCACTCGTCTTCAGACCAGCTTACTCCTCCGCGTAGCAACAACGATACGTCCATCTCTTGAACCTCACGGGCCGTCGCCACCGCCAATAATCCTCCACCCACCTGACCAGATATCATAAATCAATACTTCTAATATAAATTCGAATTTAACAAAATTATAAGAGGGTGAAGAACTTTTAATTGTAATGACGGACTAAATTTGCTAGAGAAAATAAATTTTTATTTATCTATTTTTAAGATTATTCGTAAATCACTACTAATGAACTATAATATTTTAATTAGAGGCTAGATCCTAAAAACACCTTTTGCCTTCTGTTTTTGAGCTCGGTTCAAAACTTGGTCATTTTAAACCGATAATAAAATAATTGTTATATATATCACACTGTAATTTCAATAAGGCTACAAAGTTTTTAAATTCTGACTCCCAAGGTATTTATAATATGTCATACATTTCTAGAAATAGTTCTACATTGTGTCTCTGGAATCATTAACAAAAACTTGTCTTATTTCTTTCCAAAAAGATCGTAACAAAGACGCTCACGTTTCGCAGTCAGGGTTCCATCCACCCGATTTCTGATAACTATCCCAATATCAAACCAAAATATAACAACCCCGTTCGAATTCGCGTATTTTCGCAAATGTTTCGCATTCGCATGCGATTGTGTCAGTGTACACGACTGCGTTAGGTGACTCACCCTGTTCAGACAGAAGGCGGCTATAGAGTCCTGTTCCTTGTGTATGATGCGCACGGGACTGTGCATGTCGTCCTCGCGCCTCTGCTGCGGCACACATCCCACGCGGGCGTCGGCACCGCCGCCGCCGCCCCCGCCCCCGCCCCCGCCCCCGCCGCCCGCGGACAACGACTGAGCGCGGCGACGGGAGAACACGGCGCGAATGAACAACTCCTGCACCAAACATACATACTGTTCTGTTCAAAGCTATTTGGCTACTTAATACAAGGGTTGATCCAGGCGGTGATTACGGTCAAGGCCATCCTTCTGGGCTAGGTGTCAAATTTGTATCTGTAATGCCGCCTTAAACTAATGTCAATTTTAATGGACGTTTGAGAAACTGGCAATGTATCTATTATTATCAAAATTAACTTCTTATGACTTGACCACGATTTTGTGTAAAGCTGGGTCTGCCTTGACTTGGCAGTTATAACAATAAATTATGAAATACTAACTTTCAACCGGCGGTTTCGTTCGCGTGGTTCTATATTATAAATATAAACGTTCCTCTTAAATCACTCTCTATGTTGATGAAAACAACAATAAAATACGATGTGCAGTATAAAAAATTTCAATATACAGACAGCGGGAAGCTACTATGTTTTATACTGTGCATTATATAAACAATGAATGAAACACGGGCGGCCATGAAAAAAAAATAAACGTTGGAGATCTTTGGGGGAGGCCTATGCCCAACAGGGGGCGTCTCTCGGCTGAAATGATGATGATGATGATGATGATGATGACGATGATGATGATGATGATGACGATGATGATGATGATGATGACGATGATGATGATGATGAAATGTTAACGTCCTTGTTGCGATTGCAACCAGGAGTTAAGAGAGGTAAAATATAATTGCCACCAATTTATACAGATCTTTTAACGTAGTAAATTCAAACTCTAAATTCATACGATGGATATCGCTCAAAAAAAGACATAAAAAATATACTTGCGCTTGCTTCTTGCACAATATTATAATAAAACTCGTGCTTGAAAGAAACAAGTCTTACCTGAACGGGTTCTTGGCGAACCAAGTAGCTCCATAACCGCCTCGCCGGAGCAGAGCTGAATAGTAACGAATTGAAAGGCGTATTGTGTTTTTCTAACAAACATCTGCAACGAAGATAATAATAAAATTATTGTACATTACATATACTGAAATATTTAAGTTAGGTCTTGATCGGTCACGAAACCGTCTACTCTAGCAGAGGAGACCCCTCTGCAATATTCGATAAAAATAATATTTCTGGTTTGCATGTTCTTATTACGGTCGCGGAAACGTCGTAGTGGAAAAAAACCAAAACTCAATTTGATGAAGTATATTTCACATATCCAATATTTTTATAAACGAAATTCCAAAAAGAATTACATATTTTATATATTATTACCTGTACTTGTTGATGGGCGGGCCCGTGATATGTTGATCAGGGAAACAACCTGGTATATAGTCGGGCGGGGGCGCGCGAGCTTCTAGCGTCTCTGTCAACTGTTGCTGCCATTGATCTACTCGACGCAACGCGCCGTGAACGGTAGGACTAGTAGTTGCTAACTCTATAACATATTATAAGTAAATGCAATGGTACTTACATTTAATGCATGGTAAATTTTGAACAATTATAACCAGCATATTGGTGCAGCGCAGCTGTACACATATAGTCTATTTACATATATGACTATGGTTTATGGTTGGAGATGAAAACGTACACAGCAAAAAGCATAATAAAAAAGCTATAGACTATACTTAAGACTGCGTGAAAATTAAAAACAAATTACCCTTTATGTCGGGTAAAAAGACGTGAATTATGAGACAACAATGATATCGAATTTTATGGCAAAACAAGACACTCCATAATAAGAGTGCTTTAGTTACCCATCCTAGAATCTGAGCAACGTATGCGATATGATGTTGGTCCAAACTAGAAGTCATGAAAGCTAATTATAGTAAGAACTTTTACGGAATTTAACCGAAACCTGTCTTAGTGTCGCAGATAATATAATCTTTCGATAGAGTGTACATACCGGACATTTCAATGCCGCACAGTTGCAGAAAATGTTGTAGTTTTAGTTGCGCGAGCCGCAGAACCGCCACTCGCATCACGTACCACGAGTAGGAATCAGGGTCAGAGTGCTCGTTATTCGTTAACTTTCGTCGTTTTTCAGTCCTGTAATAAGGAATATGTACATTTATTGGAAATGTTTTTGATGAAAAATTTATCAAAATAACAACTACGAACGTTTAAAGATGAATTTTTCGTCATGACGTATGAATAAAAATCTAAAACATCATTTTAATCAGGGTTGGCAATGTTTAAAACATTTGTTTTAAACATACGTTTAAAACACTGATTAAAACACTACAAAAGTATGTATCACGTTTAAAACATGATTAAAATTAATTTGTTTTAAACATGTTGAAAACACATAAAAAATACTCTTTATATGATTTTTACTAAAGAGTTGGCAACATCGATATTACTACATATTTGGGATTCCCTTGACTGACAAGCGGTAATGCGGTGAATGTTCATAAAACGCGGGGATTTCCCGGTTTGCTTTTGTTCAGCTAGATAGAATGAAAGCCGAACGAAATCGATCAATTCATGTTTTGCATGTGTAATGTGGTGGACACGTACTTTTTTTGTTTACATAATTATTTTTGTTCGGCGTTATTAATAAACAATAACGGTGCGTGTATGTGTGGTGTGTTATTTGGTAAAAAAATATGATAACAGGGCGGAAGAAAGACTCGCTTTGGTGGAACTTTATAGAAATTCCAGCCTCTTCGAGTTCTACCACTGGAGTTGGCGGAAAGACACTCAGGGCGCAATGCAAGCATTGCAGGACAAACATGGTGGGCCTGATTGCTCATATGAGAACATATTTGGAAAAGTGTTCAGATTATGCATCTAAAAATTCGAGTGCATCAACCTCTTCGAGAATTACAAATCTGTGAAAATCATTCAAGTGATGATGGTAAGAAAGAAACTAAATAAATGTATATCTATCCATTTAATATTTGTCAAATTTATTAGCTTTAAAGCCGCAATGACACCAGCACATTTCGCTGCTTATATATTAGACTCCAATTAAAATGGAGATGGTCTATCGGATGAGGAGGACACAATAGGCATGGAGTTTTTAGATTCAAGCTGTCTAAATGCCATGAAAGATGTGCGAGCAGTTATACTGTTTTGGAGTACATGTTTAAAAAAGACCTTTTAATAAAAACCCATGTGACTGTGTGGTGGAAATCAGTGAGTACTAAAGTGGATCCAGGGATGCTCCACATTACGTGTCAGTTATTTACTGCAACTGCTTCCTCCGCAGGAATTGAGAGGTTATTCTCGTCATTCGGACTGGTACATTCAAAATTAAGAAACAAGCTCGGCACTGAGAAAGCTCCTAAATTGGTTGCAATTATGAGGGCTCTTAACCAATATGGTTCGCTCGAGAAACTTCAGATCATGGAAGTTGAGGGTTGAGTTGAAGATAAGAGATGGGAAGTTGATTGAACTTGATTGCATTTAATGTAACTGATGTTTTAAATAAATAATAATTATAATTTTAATAAATAAATACTTTTTTATCTTTCTTTTTTTTCATTTTATACATATGTACGTGTTTAAAACATGATTAAAACATGTTTAAAACAAGGCAATTAAAACAGCAATGAACCATTAATAAAAAACATGTTTTTTTTGTTATTCAAATAAAACATGATGTTTTTTTCTTTAAAAAAAAACATGTTTTTTTTCCAACCCTGATTTTAATTGTAATCTGTTGTTTATTTTGCGTCATAATACATTGATGTTATTGTATCGATGTTAACTTTTTGTAACCACGGCATTTCTATACAAACGGCATGCTACTTGCCAGAGCAGATGTTTTCTCAACATTTGCTCTGGCAAGTAGCATGCCGTTTGAATTTTTGAAGTTACCACATTTTGTTTGCATATTTTAATAATTATTGTCAAGACGAAAACGAACTAATGTTGAAAAATATTTACACAGACTTTATTTTAAAGTTGTGTAATAAAATATTTATAATCCTTTTTGAATCAGACGCATATTCTTTATTGTATCACAATTTATAATCACTAAACGGAGAAAATCAACCACTCCGTCACTACAATTATCAAAGAAACATTGACTTTGGCAAGATAACACTGGCTTCTAGTAAAAAAAAAATCTTCTTTCATCTATGTTAGTACGTAAAAAAAATTTGAAGAAAAAAAAACTTGTTTTTGTATATCTATAGAAGATAGAGATCTATCTATACTAATACTATCATAAAGACGAAAGATTTGTTTGTTGTTTGCGTCGAATGGGCTCCAAAACTACTAGACAAATTTATATTGTTTAATATTGTTTCACCTTTAAGAAGTTATATCATATTTACACATCATATTCGGGTAACATTATTTACGGAAGCAAATTCGCGCGGTAACAGCTTGTCTATTATAATACGGTAGCTTTACTTAGTATTGGATGTGTCAAAGATATCATCGTCATCGGGGTCACTGCCACTGTCCTCAGCATCCTCTGCTCCAGACTCCGCGGAATCGTAATCGTAATCAGAGTCTTGATCCAATGTGGGCTGTACAGAAAAATTTAACTATGTTGGATTCGTCAAATAACAAAGACAATTAATTACAAGATTTCAGAAGAAACAAAAAATGATCTCTTGTTTCAAAATTTAAATAATATATATATTGTAATATAAAAAAAAAACTTTAGATGTTTACATTACTGGCACGAATTTACGATACGAGACGAAAATAAAATAGAACTCAAATGTAACTTTAAAAAAATCACTATGTAACATTTCTTTTTATAACATAGTCAAAAATATCTTTAAATTCTTCATATAAACATACTTAATCATAGATACATATTTAACTTTAAAAATTATGTAGACGCCTCTACCATCATAGACCACATGTTTCTTACCAGCATGTCAGATAGTAGCCAAATCACAACGCAGTATTTGAATTAATAAAATATGAGAACACTAACCTTAGTGAGCAAGTAAGTAAGTATACTGCAGTGGGGCGGAACGAATTGTTCACGGTAAGTGGGTCGTCCTTCTTGAATGTTCTTGTGTGGCGCTGCGGGACCCAATCCTAGCAGCCTCATGTTCAATAACGCTCTCTTCTCACGTAACGATGACCACACCGACGTGCCTTCTGTACGTTCCACCAGTTTAGGCTGACAAATGAAATTGATAAAGTTTAAGTGTCATTTGAATTCACTAGATTGATATTTACGAATAATTTAGAAATACCAAAACGAAATTTCGTATATTTTAGAAATACCAAAACGACGCCCAATAGATATTTAAGATAGGGCCTGACACTGCCTCTGATGCAAAGACATTCATAGAAATGATGATAATGATATTAATAAAATTTTCCGAATTTTCGTTCGAGGACAAATAGAATAGGCGCTCAGGCGTCATGTTAATTCTTATAGCTTGCTGGTTTACACGTATTAAGTAGATAAGAAGTTACCAACATTTTAAGTGACAGTGTGTATTACTGAAAAAAGGGATGATGATGACTGGTAAAAAAAAAAGAAGTTCTATTTAGTCCGTCAATCAGATAATATGAGATAAGTACTTTTTTGCTTCAATTTATCAAGAAATGACTTAGATAATAAGCATTAAAGATGACGAGGGGGGGTTCGCTACGACACAGCTTTGTAGAAAATATACAAAAGCGTCACGTAATGCGACATTTCGACTCAATGTATCACAACGAGAAATTAGTCAGCATCCCAATTAAGTTAACTACTTTAATAAGCGTTGCAATACCGGCGGCGGCGCTGGTGCGGTGGTGAGCAGGCGCCTCACCCCGCCGCCGAACAGTTGCGCGTGCGCGCGCGCGTCCGGCGCATGCGCCGCCAGCCGGTACAGCAGGTGGGCGTCGCGCGCCGCCAGCGCCCACCCCAGCAGCGCCAGGTACACCGCGCAGAACGCCTCCGCCAGCAGCACGGCCAGCCGGGGCGCGTCGTCCTCCTCCGCAGCGCGTAACGCTAGACCGCGCAACGCCGACACACCTGCGATACATGCACGGGATTTTTGACGCGTTTCACTATGGTATACGTTTGTATAGTCGCATTTTGAAGCCGAAGAAGGTAGATGAAACGAATTTTCTTTACAAGTGGTGACATTGGAACAGGGTATTTTAGTATTTACCAGGGATAATCTAAAAAATTACCATTGAGATAGCTTAGGCAATTATCAGTCTGAAAATGTTAGTTTCAGTTCATAAAATAAAGATATTAACTTTTAAAATCCAAATCAAGTTTGAAAATTTATTTCGCTAACCAGTAGCCGCCATGATATGCCGTCATTCGTTTTGTTAACAAACAAGAAAAATAACTTTAGAGCAAGATGAATACATTTAGATGTTATTTTTTTTAAAGAAAACATCGTTTTTCTTAGAATAATACAATGGAATAAAAAAACCCTGTTTGTAAAGAGAGATCGCACAATTGTACCAATAGTAGACACTTATATCCAATTTTTTTTTTATTGCAAATCTCGATTTCTGTTCTGCAATACAACCGAATGTTAAAACATGTAAGTTCTGTTTTACTATTTGAATATGATAAAAAGTGCATAAAAATATGAGAAACAAAATCAAGTGAAATTTGAAAATATAAAGTTTACATGTAATTTTATGACACTAGCTGAATAAATCTATTTTTTTTTTTCTATGGTAATAAACAATACCAACCAACCAAGGACTTTAAGACTGAATTGAGATACTTTTTAAAAATAGGTGTAATAGCCTGTTCTGACGAATCAACAACGCGCACATGTATACGACAGTTCACATGTTTTCATAAAAAGCCTTCTTCGGCGCGTTCCATTCTGTGAGATGTTTATTACTAAAAACTAACAGTATGGGCTTAAATCCCTTTGCCTTAAATTAAATTACATATTAGTAATTAATACCACTAATATGATTAATTTTGAGTCTGTTTAGTCTATGGTTGAATTACTTCAATAAAATGGTTAAATAAAATATCTCCGACATTTTTCAAGCCACGAATCATCAAAGTTCGTCACTTCGAACATAAAATCGTGCTAGACGGAGGCCGGCGATATGATAGGATGAATCCTCTATACTTTGTCACTAACCTGGCCATTTATTGGGCGTCGTGGTGACAATGAGCTCCTCCATGGAATATCGTCTCGGCCGTGCTATTAAGTGACTAGTACCGGGAGTTTCCGCAATCAAACTAAGAAAAAAGAAGAAAATACTTCAGTTACTTGAGATAATAACGTTACTTTATACAATATTACTTTAAATAGTTCCGAAAGAGACATGTTTTTGCAGACATATATAACATACGTACATAGCATAAATAATTTGTGTTGTTTTAATAATGATCTCCAATTGTACTATTACAATAGTGATTTTTATTCAGAGTAACCATTATTTAATATTATCTAAGGCTCGAAATATTACATATTATCATAAACAATAAACAACTAACCCGTCGTGGTGGATGTGCGTGTGCTTCATACTGAACGTGTCAGAATCGCAGAGACTCTGATAGATGCAAGCAGACAGAGCGACAGCCAACTCGCGTAGAGTATGTAGTATCCGAGTGGCAGAACCACCAGGAATGCCTAATTCACCGATTGTGCCCAGCATATCGTGGGCTACCGACTGGTAAACACAACACAAATATTGAGCAGTAGTTCAAGAATTTTTTGGAAAGGCCGGTTATCGGATGAGTGAGTAAAACTTATTATTTAGTTATTGGTCTTAACTGTATCTGTAGTCGTTAACACCGCGATAAGTTACTTTCAAGACAAGGTCCAAACGCAGTCACTGAGACTAGAGTTGTTGATCCTGTTCAACAAAGGTAGACGCAAATTCAAACAAATTATCTCTAACTGCTCGGCATACAGCACAGATAGCAATCTCGTTGAAATAGGGATGTCCACTGGGTAAAAAAAATAAATTCTATTTAGTCCGTCACTCAAATAAGAAAATATTTGAAACGTATTTAAAAAAAAGGCTTTGTTAATATGGCATTTAAGTTGAGGACTGGGGTCTCGCTATGTCACAGTTTTGAAAAAAATTACAAAGGCGTGACGTCATGCGTCATTTGAACTCAATGTACCGTCGTAATTTATTGATCAGTAAAAAAATTTAAATGTGTATAATATTCTTCAATAATCTACCTGACGGACAAACAAACAAAAATTATTCATCATCTATTGTATCAGTGATAGTTAAGTTATATACATTCTATAAACACAAAAATAGAGTTCATAATTTCAGAAACTAATGTCCATTTAATTCTCGAAGTACCTATATATAAAAACAAGATCTCATCCTAGCTGTGCCTTTTAAAATTACAATCACTGAATGGTGGATCACATTTGCAATATGATTTTTTTTTTATATATTGTTTAATTTGAATAACGATGTTAGGAGTTATTTTGATAGCGTTATAAAGTCCGACCTGTAAATGGCGTACAGGATCTGCGACCACAGTATTGTTGGTAGCGACGGCGGCAGCCAACAGCGGCAGCGTGGTAGGGAAGGGCAGCGGCGATAGCAACTGCTGGTGCTGTTTATCTTGACCCAGCTCTTGCAGTAGAAGGACCAGTTCCATTCTCACGGACGCTAATCCACCTCCACCGGCTCCGTGGAGCGAACAGTACGACAGTAACGTACGAAGTAAAGTTTCGTTGGCTGCAATAAATACTTCAATTATTTACCTTTAACAAAAATAAGTTACTTTTTTTGTTATTTTGTTTATTTATTCAATTAAAATGACTTAATTTTCACACTCTTGTCCTCAATCCAGGCCAAGGACATTGATGAGATCTACATATCATATAAGCTGCCCAAAAGAAACCTTCAATATGTACTAGGGAATATAGATGACGGCAAGGAGGACCACAACAGCGCATTAGCATGATTCTAAATTAATTCCTACATTGACATTTTGTATCTTAAGACGCGACGTTTATAACCATCATTCATCTCTAATCTACTAGATTCTTCTCTATCATCTCTCGCCATTCATCTGTACTAGACCAATGAATATATTCTAACCTTTTAGCCATTTTTTCCTCCTTACAGCTCTCTGCACTTTGGCCTCAAAGTCAGCCTTCTCTCTGATCAGCAACTGATGTAAGGTGGGTTTGTCTGGTAACGGCGGTGGTTCAGCGTCAGCACATATCAGTTCACCACCAGGTGGCGCCCCCGCCGCACTCGCATAACCGCAAAGTCTCCTCAAAGCTTCCACTTCACGCTCCAACCAAATGTACAGTTGGTAGCGAAGATGACCACCTGTAAGTTCATCACATCCTCAAGCTACTACTTTATTATTTATGTAAATAAACGTATCGTATACGACTAAACACTGCGGACTGGTTTTATAAGCAATAGGAAAGACATGTTCAGGGCAGATTTTCTTAAAAATAAATTTTGTACCACATAAAAAATACCGCTGAAAAACATGTGTGATTTTTGAATGACCTACCATCAACCTCAAATCCAGTAGCGAGGGTGCTCAATTCCTCCATTAGAATCTTAAGGCAGGCCACAAACTTGAGTTGTTGAGCCATAATGTCTACTGATGGTGGCTCCTCTTCCTTCGTGTCATTGTTCTGACCGTTCACTACTGGATCCTCTTGTTTGTCCATCTTCATTTCCAATGGAGGCGTCGACGCACCAGAACCACCGGAACTAGAATAATAGTAACGGATAGAGTTGTTATTAAATATATTAAATCATACCATGACAATTAAGATTTTTTATAGTTCAATCTGAGCTGAAGGAAGCGGATGCAATGAATTTTCTAGGATGATTTACAATGCTCGACCGACCGTCTGTGCGTATGTGCAGCAAGACAATAACTCTAAATTTAAAAATCGCAATGATTCGTATGGTATCGGCGGGGCGTTCGTCTGGAATAGGGCGAGGAGTATATAGTTTTAAGCCAATTGTCATATTCATTAGAACAAGTAGAACGGACCGATTAATGTACTTTAACCAGTCCGGCGATTCTTTAATATACCCACAGGTATTTATTAGCGTGTCGTTAGGTCAAATCGTACGCGCCGACGGACGGTGGAACACTGTCACCTGCCTAAGACGATACAAAGTTTGTATAAATTTACCCTTTGTCATCATCATCGTCGTCCCAGTTGAGAACCAGATCGTCAGACTTAACAGAGCTGACAGGCGCGCCCCAGTCTACTGCCGTCGAGCCCCAATCCAAATTGCTTTCTTCTTCCTCTGTATCAATATAATCATTTTTATTGTAAACGTTATCAAATAATAAAAATTATATTCCATAACAACATTATGCCATTGGTTTATTAATCCTTCATCATACTAACCTTTACTGCGGTTCTTTTAATGATATTATCCATAAACATTTTTCAATTTGATTTGATGAAAAATTTCATACATATAACATTAGACAAATAAAGTACCAGAGACAAAGGTTTACCGCCCTAATACCAGATATGTTAATGTTATCACGAATTATATTCAAATGGTTAACATTAAAACATTAATCCAAAGTAGATTAAATCAAATTAAATAATCTATTATTCAAATTGAGTTGAAAGAATGTTAAAAGCAAATTATGCTACCTAATTTGTCAAGATAATTTGTATAAGACTTACTTTTAACTATAACGTCTTCGACTAGCTGGCCAGTGTGTATGACGGCGTCTTCTATAGACGGCACAGAAACTGGATGTTTGGGCTTCTCGTCACGAACTCTCGCAGGCAGCTTTGATAGCACTTCTAGTGCTAATGCCGGGCAACCCGCTTTGAAATGTCCATGTGCTGTTTGGAAGTACAGACGACGCTCCAAACGAGTTATGCTCTCTTCTGGCTCTGACTGTAACAGTGCTAAAGTGCCACCCTGTGGAATAAATTAATCAACCTTAAGAAGTATAAAAACTTATCAGGTAACAAAATCAAATAAAACCGACTTATAAAGGTTTTATATTATTGAAACTCTATGCTGCGACAGCGCTGTGCGACGTCAAGTTTTACGCTCATTTACATTCTAACAATCTTATCTAGTCCTTTCAACTATTCAAGGGTCAATCTAAAGTTAATCTCAAGTCAAACTGTTAAAATCTTATTTGCTCAAATGCATTTCTGCTACTGACAATCTAAATTTATTTTTTGACAAAAGCAATACGCAAGTATATAATATGAATGTATTAAGTAGTAGTAAGGTAATACAAGTTTGTTTACTATCAGGAAGCCTACTTTAATTCACCGAAAAACGAAATATCGTTCGAAATTCCGGACGTTTCCTGCCACAATTACGTTCGTTCCGAATATTCAACGAACGAAAATGTTTGACATATTTATTTTCTAAACCTACTCTATTTCACGAAATGACAAAACGAACATTTAAGTTTGACATCCAATTGTTCGGAATTCTTACCTCAAATTGACGAAGTAAAAAATGTTACCTTTTCATTTTCGTTAGCAATTTTTTATTTTCGAAATGGGGTCTATATTACTATTAATCGAGTCAGCTCTCAGTAAAGAACGATTAGACCGTAGAAGAAATCGGCAGCGGCTTCGAAATAGCCTTAATATAAGAAATATTCTCGACACTGAGTTTGTAAGTATTTACAGACTCAGTTGTGAATTATTTCAAGAACTATGCCAAGAGATTATAACTTTACTGCGTCCACAGGCAAGATCTCATGCCATCGAGTCCACAATTAAACTTGGAAGATATTTTATCGTAGTTCTTGATAAAAAATATTGCATGCCTACCATTATGCATTTCATATTTTTATGATTCTTACAGCGTTGAATTTTTATGCCCGAGGTAGTTACCAAGGATTCGTATCTCAAAACATGGATGGGCCTATGGCCCAACAAACAGTTTCACGGTGTTAGGAGGCTAACCTCCTAGTACAGTCCTAAGACTGTCCTCAATTCACCAGATAGGTATTATAATAATATATATTATTCCCTCAAAACCAAAATGAAAGGAATCTTATTAAGAGACAGTGAGTAACTAATAGTTTATTGTTTATTTTGGCTTTATGTATGAATTGTGAATAACTACCTCTAGAATTATGTCATTAATATTACAGATTTTACGAGGTTTATAGGCTATGCCATTATACCTGAAAAATATGACTGATAAAAAGTAAATTTATTACTAAAAACCTTTTTTTTGTGCCGAAAAACTAAATATTACTTTCATACTTACTTATAAAGTTTTTTACTGAATTGTCAAGATAAATTTCGGAACTCACAATAATTAAATAAAATATTAGTAAACACTGAACAGTTTGGTGAAAACTTTTAAAACTTTTGGCGGAATGAGAATCGTTTGTATTATACGGATATTTCAGATTGCCATACGTTGATTATAGCCATCGTATAAATGAAAGGTTGTTTTTAAATATGTCGGTTAATACTGTGGATAAAAGAGTTCTTTATAGTGTCTTGATAAGTTGTAACGAAAAATAAAATTCATTAATATACTAAGTTTTTCGTTATATTATTATAATATTTTATGTTTAAACATTGTTTAGCACAAAAATTTTATTTAAAAGAAATATATGTATTGTTTAATATTACATATTTCAAGTTACGGTAAAAACCGGAATTTGACATTATAAGAAATCCAACAACGCCATTCACTCCAATCGATCACGAAAATTGTCTTTGGAAACGAACATTCGTTGGTGTATACGAAAATGATAAAGAGTAGCGTTCCATGCGAAATTTCGTTTTTAATTTCGTCCGTAAACGAAATTTCGTTTTCGAGAAAGCGAGTAGGCCTCCAGCTCTTGTCATTGTGTCATTAAGTTTTTAGAAATGATTATACGTTTAAAACACAAGCTGATTATTCTTTATAATAATAAGTTTTCCCCTACACTTTTGGTACCTAACACTAACCTGGCTGGGCATATTGTGTCGTTTCAGCCTTGGATGCGTACGAAGGTACACGTAGAAATTGAACACGCTGGGCGTTGGTTCGTTATCCCGCGATGCGTGCAAACGTCCCGCTGGACTTAGGAGGGTGTCCAAAGCTTCCCCGTACCGTTTCAACTCCCAGAGAGCCATCGAACGAATGAACGGATCCGGATGTGCACGCTCCAAGTCAATTTCATCTGATTCTGTTTCACCACTGAAATAATAAAGACTTGTTAACCCAATGTGCTATGATAGAAAGTAAATCAAATCAGTTTTTTAATATACTACAATAAGAATATTTCATCTTAGTCCATGCTAGACTAATTCTGGTATGTCCGGTAAACACGTCTTCTCTTTTAAAGATTTTACTTGAAGTCTGCATATGTATGGCACATAAAAGTGTTATAATGCTATTCTAAAAAATATTGGTTAGTTCCAATTTTTATATAATTAATAAAATGAATTAGTACTTTACCCTAATATTTCATCCATCAACAATTTTTTCAAACTCGGTGGCGACGTTACGTCAGACTCATATAAGCGAGCAACCACCATCGCTAGCTGTAAATCTCCCAAACGCGTCATCAATACCTAAAATAAAACAAATAAACAATTATACAAAAATAACCCATTATTTCGCATTCATACTATTAAAATAATATTACCTCTAGAGCATCTTTCAATGCACCGCCTAAAAGGAAAAATGCTGCAGCGTGTTCAAACCGCTGCTTACCAAGGAGAACAAAAGCATTCTTCAACGCTGCTTTTCGCCATCGATCCTCAGTAAAGTCGTTCGCAAAGAACTATAATAAAAAAGTCAATAATTCAATATACAGAAAACTTAAATATACTATGATCTAAATAATTTTGAAATAATCGAACTGATTTATGGAACAAACCGCTGTCATCTTTTCGTCTCGATTTGATCTAAAAAGGCCCCAAAGCAACATTCTCTTCTTCATTGCCAAGTAGTAGAGCGCAGCATCCATTGGATCCTGTTTCTGCATGTAGGCAGCACGAGCAAGTTTTTCTATACAAGTTCTGAGTAGATCGCCTCTCACCCACCATCCGACACCTAAACAAATTCCAAATCTACATATATAAAAATGAATCCCTATTTTCTTTCGTGAACACGTGAACGGCTGAACCGATTTCGCTAATTCTTTTTTTGTTGTGTTCGTTATTGTCAGGAGAAGGTTCTTATGAAAGAAAAAAAAAGAAAACCGTGTGGAAATTTAAGCATATTTAACCACAATATAAAATTATTTCTAATCTAACTTTAGTGCTTTGGATAATATAAACTTTTTTAATGTAACGTCATAACGTTTGACAGAATGTGAGGTGCAAATATCGTCAAATATGATGTTAAAATAACAGAATATTATTTAAAACTGATGCTTTAGTCGGAGTTAATTTATCCAATTCGAAGTCAATATTCATAATTAAGACAGGACAATGTCTATCGAGTCAGTTAGTTTGCAATTTAAATTGTTAAATGTCTACACTTTCTGACATTCAATTGTAATTTGCTTCTTTCTATAAAGGGTGACTGGCAGGATCTATAGATAAAATGAAACAGATTGTAGGTCTATACCAACTCATTTTGTCCAGTATGTCAGAAAGCGAAATTATACTTATTGAATATTTAAAACTTTTTTTTTAACAAAAAATTTACTAATAAGTTGGTAAAATTTGTTGGATGAGCACCTGATATGATTTGTTTAAAAGGCATTATGTATATTACTATTTTAGATAGTACTACTTTCGCTCATTATTCTTATCACCCGTGGTGATCTGGTAATAGATAAAATACGTTGGACGATTCAAGTGCTTTTAATAAGTTTATTTTGGATAAAGATCATTTTGACTTTGATACAGTACGAAATCTCACCTAATTCTCTCATTGTAGCCCATTTTGGCTGTCCCTTAGTGTATCCCGGTATCAAGGCTAAGAGTTGTTCGTGAGTTTCTGAATGGAACGCCCACACAAGGTTACAAGTTCCTACGCCATTACGTTGCTGCGTCGCACGCTGTGCTATCGGTAAGCATCGCAGCAAGTAGCCATAATGTTTCATAGCTAGAAGGAATCTTAGACCGCAGTCGTCCAAAGAGTCTGTGAAAAAATACAATTTAGTTTATTTTTCATTTATTGATAATAATTAAATGGAGTAATTTTTATGTGCGATTTTTATTAGAATACATGATTTTTTTTTCAAAGTTTTAGGCATCAATTGTTGTTACTTAATGGTGACATCCTTTAAAATTATATTTGCTCTTAGAATTGAGCCACTTAAATTATATCAAAGATTTTGTTTAAACTACGGAACAATTTCTATTATTTAGCGGCGAATTTGATATTTTCGTTAAAATTGTGGTTTATTTATAAATAAACAATACTCCTTGCGCTTAATGGTATCACCTGGTAATATTTCCTGGCCATTGCCTTGTGTTACGTCAACGCGAGCGTTGGCTGCAAACCGTTCTGCGAAATCAGCATCGCAAGTAGACACGGTGTCAGCCAGTGCTAGCAGATGCATTTGATCCAGAGAGCTCAGACCAGGAAGATGCGTGTGTGTTAATAGACGGGAGAGAATACGGCCTAGAAAAAAGAAAACCTAGATATTCAATCTTCACTTCATAGAATTATTTTATCTGCTTAGAATCGAAAAACGGAAATTAGGAAAATCAATTTTAAAGATAAAAACCTTGTCTGGGTCCAAAATGTGACAATGGCTGGCGTTCCGGCATAGATGGTCTGCGATCAACGCCTTCTTCTTCGCCTAATAATAGTGCGTCCAAGTCTTCATCAGTATCCATTGTGCCGTCAAATAGTTCGTTGTAATCCTATTGATTGATATTTCTATAAGTTAATAGTTTTAGAAACTCGTGTAAACGCGCTTGACAATTAATATAAAAACAAATTATATCTGTTCAATAAAAAAGTGTACTTTTTCAGTCAACTCCAGAAGTACTCGAACAATATCAAGCCTTTTCAAGAAGAACATCGTAACCGCCATTTTGTGTATTTTACAGGACTTTTTTAAAAATATTTCTTAAAATATTGACATCATATCATCTTAAAAATCTCACTAAATGCCAATATTAAAAAATAAATCAAAAAGTGGGACATAGTCAGAAATTCCTAAAATATTTTTTTTGTTAAGAGACCCTTACGGTTTAAAAAATTATAGGTACTTGTCTAGAAGCAAAAATTACAAATGAACGGAATCAATCGTCTTCATTGGTCCTTTGTCACACATTTTCAAAAATGGGTTCACGAACAGCTTTTCCTCCTCTAGAAAAAGCTTTAATGATCTTTCGTTGTCCTTTGTATGATTGTTTCCTTTCTTTTGACTCGTTCACTCAAATTCTTTTTTCTCTCGCGTTCACCACATTTGCCTTTTTTCCGTCTTAAATACTTTTCTACCAAAAGTTTCAAATAAAAGTTTCTACATAAATTGACCACATACTTAAGTCATTTAATAAGTACTATTTGTTACATGTCTGTCAATTTTCATTATTAAAAATATTACAACAGGAAATGGAAAAGATGGTAAATTTTCAGTGTATCTTTGTGATTTTGTTTCTGTCGTTTTGGTTAGTTTAGTTTTGGCTAAGACAGAACCCTAGAAATATAATTTAATTTTCTCATTGTTAATTATAGCTAATCTGGACGACATTTCTTAGTACAAAACTAATCGAAAGATTATTAGTGGACCCACCCTCTTAATAATATCTAGTAACTTAGGTAATTTATCGCAAGCGACAATAAACTCGTTGGTTGTACTTACGACAAAAACTTTGAAATTTCATAAAAAATAATTATACAGGAGGAACAAAATGACCGACACAGCCGAAAGTTTCAAGTTAGGTTACATGCAAACGTTCATTTTATTTGACAAATATTTAAAAATAGAGGAGGTGTAAAAATGGAGTAAAAATTTTAAATTTCTAAGTGTTGACAGCCCTTTAACGCGCATGCGCAATATCGATTGTGCGCAGATTACAACGGACCGCGAAATACATTAATTTAATTTAATTATTTACCGATATCTTAATGATAGTCGATGCTGAAAATGTTCAATTCTTCTCTGAAGACAGCTAAGCACGCTCTTTTGCATGCCAATGTATGCACGCGCAAAGCACATCACATTTCACACAAAACTAAACACAATCTTCACTAAACTAAACATAACACTCAAGACGAACACTCTAGTATCTTATTAACAACAATTCAATTAAAAATGCTCTAGAACAAAACAAAAATCGACAAAAAAGACGCTTCGCAGCGATGCGTCGGCGGCGATGCGCAACAACACTCCAGCGCAAATGGTTGGCGGCGACTGATCGACCGGACAATACCAACAGAATAATGAACGCCTGGCGGCTGGCGGGTGGGCGGGGCTTTGATATTGAGGGACGAACTCGGTTCATATTTTTTTATTCGTCTTTTGATATCACTCATTTTTTAAAGTTCTTTTTAAATGCTATTTTAATAACAACTTCCTCAATGTTTTTAAAACAAAGTTCATTTGTGTTAATGATGAATCGCTGGTAGATTTGTGAGTTTATCGAGTTTAGTTAACGATCCCGTTGTTAAAGGAGTATTACCCCATTCAAACAATTTTTATGGAGAACTGCTCTTTTAAAATAACGTAGATTAATGTTAGAGTGATCTCTTTACAATAATTTAGGAAATTTTACACTCGGTTTCTTAATTGAGTATGTAAAGTTAAACGTCTCAAACTAAGATCACTTAGTTTTCGTTTCCGATTTTAGTTTTTTGATGATCAGTTGATAGCAGTTTGATAAAACTAAGACTATTTGACTTGTGAAATTAAAAAAAACTTAGGTTATTGTGAATAAGCAGTAGAAATTTTCTTCTTTTTCAAATCATAAACCGGCTGTTGGTCTGTTAATCAATTTAAGCTTTTTGACTGCCTTGTTTATTGATTGACTGCTAGAATTTGCATGAAAGCAGTCTTATAAATCACAAACTAGTTTATTTTGTTTTTAGAAATGAAGAAGTCAATGACCGATTAAAAACTTTTCCTTAGTACGTCCCAAAAACAGCTGACTCAGGGTTGAAAACACTCATTTTTATTTAAAAACTTTGTAATTTAATATCTCCGAAACTATTTGACCTAGACTTATTTTTTTTTACATTATATTAAAGACAAATAGTACTCTCCAGGAACCTCAGGAGTGTCGGTCGTTCTGTCCCACCGAGTATACAACTTTTGACTTCAAAGTAAATGAGTAAGTCACAAATATAAGTGATAAAACCTCATATTTGGAATTTCGGCGCTTACGATGTTTTTTTCTGAAAATGCTCGATAGACCGTCCTTTATTCAAATAAGATACTATTCTTCCAAACGACCTATCATAGAGACCTTAAATTTCTCAACTTCTTATTATTTTTGTTGAAAGCGAGCATATAACATATACATAATGAAATACGTGTGTTTGAAAAAAAGTTTAGATTGAAAAAATTCTATACATAATATTATATATAGGTTTTTTCAATATACAATTTTTTTCAAAAAAGTGTTTTTTATATCAAAAGCATCAATGATAAGATGATATAAAAACCGAATCTAAAGTCATACCTTAGCCTCTTGTATGGTCGACGGATGGTGAGGGGACTCTTTGTCGGCTACAAGAAGTGTCCACAGCGGCAGTGGAGGCACAGATGTTATTTCCGCATAATCCAATTGAACATCTTCTGTTATCTATACGACATAAAAATAATAATCAGATTGTGTTGTCAATTAGCTTTATCATATTAATATCAGTTAGGGAATTTTGAGGAGCAGCAAGATGCAAAAAATTTATACCACAGATAGCTATTATAGTAATATGCAAGTAATTGACTGAGGCATTGTACGGTCAACTGCAATCGAGTTATCCAAAACCGCTAACTTTCTTTACTTGACTTCATTACAAACCTTAAGCCGTTTAAATCAAATCGATTGCTTCTGCGTGTAAGAAACGTAATTGCAATAAGGTACCGTTACAATAATGACAACTCGATCTAATAATAAGCCAATTCAGAAATAATTCATTATAAAGTTTTTGTCAGTATACCTTATGCATATAAGTAGTTCGATAATAGATACATACATTCGATTAATATGTTAAAATAACATTCCAAGCACATTCACTGCATGTGATCTTATGAATGATGTAAAGACGATGCAGTTTTATTGCGATAGTTATATGAATCTAAATGTTAGTGCAAATTAGCTTGCAACACGATGCATATAGATAATACATGTTCAATATAATTTAATTGGATAAAACACCATAATATAGTGACAAGCAAACAATCCTTTCAGATATATTTTCATTTTATAATTGTAACATAATTACATATGTATTATATTAACATCAAAAGAAAAGAAAAATAATCTATATATATATATATATATATATATATATATATATATATATATATATATATATATATATATATATATATATATATATATATATATATATATATATATATATAATGGCATGGCCAAAAGACACAATAGAATTATACATATTAAATAATATGTCTCAAATATCGCATAATCATAATCGCAATAAAAAGTAATGTTATAAAAGCACTCCACTTTATAATGAACATAATAAATATTATTAACATCAGTATTTTTCTCTAAAACATATTGTATCGAATCAATTCTACCCTAAAGTTTATTCAGTGTAATTACTATAAAAAATATCTTAATCTAATATTACAAACGGCCATCTCCATGGGTATTAGCAGAAAATTTTCCCAAAATGAAGGTTTTTCTTTAGGAACTACATTATTTCTTCAACGTTCTAAAACGATGGACTTTATATTTTTTAATCAACTATTTAATGATCAAATAGTGCAAGCGAGGTAATGGGATACCCATAACATGGAACTATCACGGCACCGATGCGTCTTAATATGTCTATCATCATCAAATAACGGATCGGACCACTACCGACATTAATTATATTTATATCCACACTTCGATAGCTGTGCGGTTCGTATCCCCACCGTCTTTACACTAAAAAGAATAATTACCTGTGCCACGCCATCTAGCGGTGATCCGGCGCCAGCGGCGAACGATACGGAGAGTGTGCGCGAACGCGACCAGCCGCGCTGCAACATACGTGCGCATGCTACACAACGGAAACGCCTCCCTAGTCCCGATCATACTCGTAGAGAGATACAGAATCAGTAACCTTTCAATTAGTTGATTAGACATATAGTTATGTAATGTGATCTAATTGAATCAGCGAAAAAAACTATATGAATTTTCAAACAAACAAGAACTGGCTTCGATTCGACCGATTAATTTTGACCCTGTATTCCCATTAATGCGATTCTTTATTCAGAACCTTACGTTCGAAAAAATCGTATAAACTCGCGTCTTTTGTTGAAATTCTGTACCTTTCTACTTTACAGTGTAAGCAGATCTTTGTTGCATGCATGATGTACATACATATGTGGGACCATACATAAACATATGGCATTCACATTAGTCATTTGTGATCGTTATCACGAAACAACGATTCTATTTGCTAATTCTAAAATGAATTAAATGATAATAAGTTTCTAAAATGGTGATGAATAGCCCCACAAGAAATAAGAAAAAATACGGCATAATCTTAATACAAACGACATAAGAGAAATTGTCATTTTATAAAAATATTACCTATAAATTGACAAAAGAATAGATGAATGTTTTAATTATCGACCGCAACGTTTACATTATATTAATTATTATTAATTTTATAAAACTTTGAACTCACAAATATATAGTATTTTTCTATTGGTAATTTGCTTGCGATTGAAATTAATAGTAAATTGAAATACTCGATGACTAATAAACAGCTGTTTTTAAAGAACGTATCTACCTATTATAAATCAAATGATGTGCTGAACACTTTTGTAACTAAGTGTTTCAAATAAGAGCTGCAATTTTTTATGTAACAGCTATCATGCTCACAGTACATATAGAATAACTTAGTGCAGTAGTAAGAAAAGATTTTGATTCAGTTTTTTTTTTGTGAAATGGCATATCCCTAAAAGCTTTATTGCATTTTTATTAAACACTAGCTGACCCGACAGACTTCGTCCTGTCAAAAAGATTTGTAATGTGGCAGTTTTTTTCAAATATAAATTATTTTTTCACTAATCACGAACTAAACAAACACTAACTAAGTAAACACTCTGCACAAAACACGATATACGAATTTGTTTCGTGTATCAGTTGACAAAAGCAAACTCAGTAGATTAGGTCACAGACAACTTTTTTTTTTTTTAATTTGATATGACTTGAAGTCAAATCCTTTTAAGCCGTACGAATTGTTTTATTGATTTAAAATTTGGATATTAAAAATAATAAAACACTGTTGGTAACGCGATTTTTGTTTGACTGATGTAATGACGTGGAAACTGATGCATTTTATCTCGCGTGCCGAAACTAATACAAAAGAAATGCGAGTTTCGGAACGCGACATTAAACTCCTCCAACTATGTATTCTGTGCTCCAACGCACACACGCACATTGTTTTGATAGATATGATCTTTGACGTTAGGAACACACCTACATTGCTTAGACAACAGTGAATGCTTGTAATTTAATATGAACTTTATACCATAGCAATAAAGCTCAAATTGACTACGTTTTAGTTACAAATCATTTGTATGGGAAAAAGAAAAGGGCTATTTTTAGGGTTTTTCCAGCAATAATTCTAATTTTTCTCGCCGTAAAAACCATCCTTGAACTTCAACGAACATTTTAAAAAAAGATTTGGCCAAATTGGTCGAGGCGTTGTTGAGTTATGCGCTTACCAACACATTTTGCGATTCATTTTTATATATATAGATTAAATGCGTGGTAATTACTTTACTTACTGGATAAGAAGATAATGCTGTGAACAAAATATTTAATTTACCTGTCTCGATAAACTGTCTTCATCTCCTTGTGAACTGCGGCCCGTGTAGGTGCCGCCAATACATCTGAATATAAAATATAATGCAAACAATCTGTATTCATATTTACATGCTACATAACCCTGGTAAAAGAAACTAAGATTTCCAATTACAAAAAAACTTTATATATGTGTTCAACACAAATATGATTCATGCTCAAAAACTTTCTGTACTAAGTCATTGGTAGAGTTTATCGAAATCATCAAAATAATCAGAATTCAAATTGTTTTTATTTTGTTTATTGTATTCTGCTATGTTTCAGTGTAACAGTATTGACAGATCTAATACACAATAAGATAAATTGTTACAACTATACCCAGTGCCGGTTTTAGCACTACTAGCGCCCTGGGCGAAATTTCTTCGGCGCCCCCTAACTGCAATTCAATTACTACTACATACTACAAATCAGTTATTTGTCTTTTTTTCGCCGACCCGGCCTACTTACTTGTACTTTTCCCTAAATTTAGGTAGATTGTTAAGTTGGCAGCATTAGAATGGAATGTAGTGTTCAATCGGTTTAATTTCTCGGGAATCCCCGACTTACCGACCATACAGAAACAATGTGTTTTTCTATAATCGGGGATTCCCGAGATCTATCTCTTAATTTTTGACGAAGCAGAACACAATCAACAGTCATGAGTGGAGGCTCTTAAAACAATTATTCGATTATTTTAAAACAAACAAACACAGTAATCAACCGTTTAACGCTACGTTACGATGCTCTTGTTCCAACTATAGTGACATTAGTTTTATTTAAAAAATAGACATATAAATAGTGTATAAGTAGCTGTTTCATTTTTGACGGATCACATCATTAGGTAAGTACAGATTAATTTTTGCGATCTGTACTACACATTCCCTAATACTTAAAGTATATAAGATGTTAAAATAACAGGTTAATTATTGAAATTGGGTCCAGACTCTTTACCCTTGTAACACCCTAACAGGGTGTCACATAATTGTTATGTATAACTTTGTGTAATTGTTGTAACTTTGTGACAGTGAGTTTGCAATGGGCCACTACTTATTATATGATCAATTATTTTGCTATTTCGAATAAGTGGCCAAGTAGCTGGATCCGCTATATTCGGGACAACATTATCAACATCATCTAGTACATGTATTTGTTGTACATCAATAACAGATTTATCCTGAACAGCATCTGTAATCGTAGTACTACTTGCTCCCTCACTTTGGGATTTTTCATCCACAATCTCTTGAGTAGCTATTCCATCTGACTTGCCAGACAGAGGCTCCCTGCTGATGCATTCGTTTGTATTGCAGCATTTTAGCTACAGCTTAACGTTTAAACATGCTCTAACGAAAATTTTCTTAAATGATCGAGTGATAATGCCCGCCAATGTACGTCATCTTACCTAATAAAATACATATCTTCATATTGGTAATCGGTATGTTGTTCTGTTTTACCATAATATAATATTTTTCTTGTTAAGTTTCCTTTCAATTCATGCTGAAATGAGGCAACTTGAAAACAAAAAACATCCTCACGGTTCTTGTCTTTTTTCGCCGACCCAGTAGGCCTTGTTCAATGAGCGAGGGAACTATATATATAATCTTTGTCTGTGCGAAATGAGGAAGTATTAGAAAAAAAAAAACATTAGTTCCCGAAATCAAATTAGATGTCGCTACGGTACGTTCTTGATTTCTCCATGACAACCCTTCCAGTTTTCTTTCATGTTAAAAGTAAATTAGTTTTCAAAATTAAACACTCATATTCTATTTGTACTTTTTCGTATTTGTATTGATATCTAAGTTTCGAACATTTCAAATTTCAGTTTTTTAATATGTTACTTAGAAGGAACGGAAATGACTGTCTTTATTCCATTCGTTTCCTGCAAAAATCAACTTTTGCTGGAGTCGCCATCTAGTGGAGGTACTTTTGTAGTGCTTTCATTTTTTTAATATTTCTTCATTATACAGAATCAGAAAAAAGCGCCGGACGAAAAAAGGGCGCCGCGACCTGCGGCGCCCCTTTTGGTCCGGCGCCCCTGGGCGGTCGCCCAACCGCGCCCTACCCTAACGCCGCTCCTGACTATACCTTACCTGACTAAATGAGCCAGTATAGCCTTGACCCATCTTATTTTGCCACTGTTTAGCAATTCCATAAGCTGTTTGGGATGATATTGTGGCAGCACGGGACATGCCATTTGTGATGCTTCAAACAGTCCGTAATCAGGCATGTAGTCCAACAGTGGCTATAAAAAAAATGATTTCAATAAAATCATGTTAAGATCATGTTAAAAACTTTAACTGAATAAATAAATCCTAAACGAATATGAACTTTGTGACATATAATATACGAGTAGAGTACGGTTACCACTTTAGCCTTCATTATTCAAATCTAAAACAAGTTTAATAAAAGCACCTGTGGCTGATCCGGTTGCGCTTTGTTTCGTCTTCTGGCGTCACGTTCAAGTAGTTGAAGGTTTATCGAAGAAACTCGCTGAAGATGAGGTGCAGAGATGCGCAAGTCCGAATCACGCAAAGCCCTAGATTCACTGCCTTCTTCCAATTCCTAAATGTAACAATCACTTTAAACCTTATCATACAGCAAACTCTTAGATATATGTATACATGAATAATTACACATCACATTTGTCGACCCCCTAATAAAATAGGCGATGATAAGTCAGTATATGATAGAACTCAGGATTTCAAAGGACGACATCATAAACTCCAAATAAGCCCTTACAAAGATTTGAAATAACAATGCTTATTAACTTAACAAAAAAAGATAATCTAACCGGAGCACTGCCAAGTCCGGATGATGTCTGCGGAGTCTCGGGTTTCCATTGCGAGTATACATGCATCTCTGAGTCCATACCGACGACTAGTATACCGTCTCGGACCCACGATATCTGCATAGGGAGGGGCGGTAAACCGTCCGCCGTCTTCAACTGTATACGACGGAGTTGCATCCACCGTATCTCTTCGACGAATAACGGTGCCGCTAGAGACGACGCTTTGCGAAGTATAGGCCGGTTGTTGTTTATAGATTCCTTCATTGCCTGCGAATTATTAGCCATTATTGAATGTGTGATTTTTGACAAGATTTAAAATGGTCAGGTAAAATGAAGTGTGCGTTTGTATTAGACAGTCGGTATTATAAGGCCCTGCGCATAACACGCATCTTTGTTTTATTGACATATTTATGAGTTGTGGCTCTGTTATACAAAACACATTTTCCCATTGTCCTTGAAGCTAATTTTGCGTACCTAATGTAATTAAAGATGTGTTTATTGGATTTTTATTATTAGTTTGACGAACGAAGATTGAACGTTGTTTATAAATTAGAAGTGTATTTAAACTGAATATAAGAATGTTCGAACAAGTAAAGTTATGTATACTTCGATAAATTCTCTTATACTTCTCTCATCTATAAAGTCTAATATAAAGGTACCTTCAAATTAGCTTGAGCGAGATCGCTGGATACAGGAGTGAATAACAGCACCCTGGAGCCAACAGCGACGGTGAGTATATGGGAGCCGTCTTCCTTCGAGACCCAGTCCAACTGTACCAGATGCTTCTGTGTGAGGGGACACGTGTTGCCGTTCTCCATTATACTCCTGCGCAGTGACTGCAGCGTGCTGAACGAAGGCACCGCGAGTAAGCCCGCAGACTTGCCCGGGTCCGCTTCCCCGTTACGGACGCTACGTTCTTCTGACGATAACGTTTGTAGAACCTACAAATTTGTTTAGCTAAGTGAAAAAAAACTCCACTATTTCATTATTTATTTTAAAAATATTACTCTATTAGGTAATTATTTAAATTAAACACGCTGATTTATAGAAAATTAATGTTTGAAAAATATTTCCCACATACATTATTCTACATTATTGAAATTGCTATTGTAATTGAAAGGCACTAACACACTAACGATTATTCTCCCTAAGTTCTTAAAAAAAAACAGAGTTTCAAAGTCAGTATTGTTGTTTCTCAAAAGTACTAAAATGTGCTACAATCGGTTTGACTAGATATATAGCTGAAGCGCGTCCGGTTTCGAAATTTGTGAGGCAAAAAATAACCGCGATATTTCCAACGATGACGCAGAAGCAGATGATCGATAAATAATAAAAAATATAAACAAAATATGCAATAAATAAGTTCGGACTTTACGCTCTAAAGTTCGAAATGCATGAGCTCCTTTCCCTCGCTGGCAACCTTAATTTTATTGAATAACTCTAACTAACTCTCTGATGACAAACAAATAATTCATTTTATAGGGATACTCACTTGCGTTATCCTCTGTTTCTTCTGCATAAAGGACGTGTCATGCAGATACGACAAGTCAATTTGCGTATCCGCACAAACTCCGACGCGTGGCAAACTGACATTTCTCAGCGGTATCGTGTCTTCTAATAGCCACTCCGCCCCGCCAGTGCTTTCACATTCATATACGCACACACAAAGGTTAACGAAACGTGCGTCAGTTGAATTTGTCGTGGTGTTACCGACTTTCGGTCGTGTGAAAGAACGTCCGCATTTGTAGGCGCACGCAATGCGTCCAGAATATGCCGCGCTTATGTGAAGGGGTTGCCCTGTTAATTAAACATCGTTCATAGACTTTATTTTTAGAGCGGAAATTTAATCAAGGCAGAGTATGCAGTTAGCTAAAAGCTAGAAAATTATTAATTTATAAAGTTACATGTTATTTTATATCCTTTAGTTTACCTGGAATGTCAATAGTTGACTCGTGATCTTTGTTCATCATTTCCCATTCCTTCCAGGTGTATTCGAATTCATTATCGTCTTTCTTTGTGACACTACATCTCCAAAACCTAAAATTACGAAACCACTGGATGTAAATAAAACATAATTCATATTTATTTTTAAAATATTTTGCTTAATATTCATACCTTAAAGTACTATCAGAGCACGCTGTAGCTAATATGTAGGGCGCTAAACAAGCAGGGTATATAGATGCCGAGCTAAGATGGCCGGCGGCTGGTGTAGCATGAATTACATCAACACCATCCGGAAGAGACAGAGGACATTCACAAACCTGTACATAAAAAAAGTAACTAACAAACTAAGTAGGATAATTTCAACTTTTTTTATATGTAACATAATATGATGAAAACGATAAAATAAATAAGAAGTTTAAGTAATATGAGAGAATAATCTTTAAAGAAAACATGGCTAGCTAGTATGAAAAAATAGACTGTCTGTATTAACTCAAAATTAGTAAAACATGTATATATGAAGAAGAGGTAACACGTGACTTATTCAACCAATCAGAGCGCACATGGCGTTTGGTTATTGCTACTTATTATTTGAGGCGTGAGTTCGGTAAATTTATCAATTTTCGAAAAAAATTCCTACGAAATTTATCTATTTGCGGTTCTTGTTAATTTCCGGTGACCTATAAATCTTTATGTTTTATTAGAATTGTAGAGCAAATAAATTGAGTTTAATATAGAAATGTTCAATTAAACCTTTTTTGTAGATATTGAAAGGTGTGAATGCGTAGGCGCAGGTGGCGGCATCCTATCATGATCCATTGAGACAGAGTTTTTTCTTGATTCACCCTCTTCTTCTTGAACAAGTGCACTGTCCGGCACGTACATCATACTATTCGTGAAGTCGTCTACAAAAAAAAAAAATGGTGACAACCTAGACTAACACGCAAAATTGCGCGACATGTTTTCTAGTGTAACCAATACAGAAAATCGACATTCATTTCGTTCTGATTCTCATAAATATTTATTTTCATTTCTCCATTTAACTTTTGTTACATTTACTATGATGGTAAGTATACAAGTAAATCTAAAAACTGTTTTGGGACTTAAAAATCATTGTAAGATTTTAATTCAGTAACTGTGATCCTAAAATTAAGTTAATCAAAACACTCACCACTAGGATCGGCTTGAGAGGACACTGTCAATCTCCACATGTGAACTGTAGACCCGCCGTCTGTCCTCTCTAATACTACTATGTAGAATGGTTCATTAAACACTGCTGCTTTTCGTAAATCCACTATCGCTTCTAAACCGGCTTCGGTGATAGTGTTTACTTCCGAGCCTTCTATGCCCGAGTCAGCGTTCTCTGTTTCGGGCGATGTACGCTCCCCTACATTAAAGAATTTCAAATATGTCATATCACTACATAATAAACCTTGGGAAATTACGTTTTTTTAACCACATTTTATGATTTTGGCCAAACAATTTTTTTATTTATGATTTTTCCGGACGGGACTGGTACTGCTGTTTAGGACACGTGCCCTGATTCAGATCCTTAGATCCAACCCGGTTCGTATACAGCAAGTGCGGGAGATGTAAGTTAGTGTTGGGGCTGGATCCGGCGGGCTTCTTGCTGGGTAACAGTGTGGACATCTTATAAATCCACACAATGACGTCAAAATTACGGCTTAGCTTGCAACTACAAATGCATGTACAGCGCATACAGCACAATACCAATAAAGATCATTATTGAGTTTCGATATTCAAAGTGTTTTTTAAGTTAAGACAATAATTATGATTCTTAGTAATTATGAGCATCGGTTAGCATCGTCTTGCGACCATATATTACACGGCGAGCACAGTATCACCACATTGTGCCTAACCCTTAAGCATTTCGATCTATTTACTGTACGTTGGTATAATAAAGAATACTCGCATGTGAAATTAAAAAATCGATAAACTTAAATTGCGATTAAATAATCATCTACTGCCACTGTCATGTTTGTCACATATGTCATGTTTATTATTTTTTTAGGGTTCGGTTCAATTATCGCCATCTTTCATTAGTTTCATTTTACATATAAAAAATAATTTATTTACTTGGCATTGGCAGAATTGTGCCAAATGCGCAGATAAGCCATTAAAAAATAAGAATGATTTATTTTACCCTGTGATTTATAAACTTGTGCATCAAAGCGTTTAAGAGCATTTTAGACTTGAGACACATTAAACGAAAGCAAATTTTCCATTGATTTTTTTCCTATGAAGTATTTTCTTATAAGCTAAGAATATAGTGCATTTTAAAAATCCTTATTACCATCACTTAAGTTTATATATTTTTGTTATGGCTGTAATGGTTACATAATTTACTAGATTCCAATTATATTTAGCAAAAAAAAAACTATATTAGAAGTTGCAGAAATCGTCACCTGTGATGAGTTGCTCCTGGAACACGTGCAACAGCTGCGTGTTGTGCCAGTCGTGCGTGGCGTCTGCGATGGCGTGCAGCTGTATGATGGCGCCGGGCCGCGCGGTGGACTGCTGCGACACTATACGGATGCGCTCGTGCAGCGGCGGCCCGGCCCCCAGCCCGCCGCCCTCCTCCAGCGTCGACTCCGACGACATCGACATGGTGTCCTGCTGCTGCAACCAATATTATATCACGGTCAACTCGGGAAAGTGGAGGTGGACTGGCCATATATTAAGAAGTACCAAGGAAAGGTGGAGTAGGATTGTAACTGAGTGGTATCCTAGAGACTAAAAGTAACCGCAGGACCTAATCGGAGAAGAGTTGCAAGAGATAGAAACCAATGGACGATGCTAGAGGAGGACTGTGCCAAGAGGCACACTGAAATCAGAGATTTATTATAAACAACTTACTTATGTAAACCAAAATCAAATGTTCAGAATAAACGGCTTATTGTATTATAGTATTAGAACTCGAGAAAACGAACTTCGCAATACAAACGCAACGCAAACTTAAAATGTTGTTGACATTTAAGGCAGAAACTAATTAGCGAATTCGAAATCAACACGACTCATATAATAAATACAAAGTATTTGATTGTGCGTTCTCATTATATAAAACATCATAACAGATAAGCAAATTCGTATAGGGTTTTTGTAATTATTTTTACGTTGATGAAAGTCGATGCCTTTTCTTTATTTTTAAGTCAAATCTAAAAAAATAACGTTATTAAGTTTGTAATGTAACAGTTAAATAATACCACGTTTACCGTGAAATCTTTGTGACGTCTCTCTGAAGTGGCTATCTCGGCTAGTAACGTTCGAGCGTCGATAACCGCTTGGAACACCCGCAAGCTCTCACCGTCGCTTGCGACGAAACACGCTGACGGCGAGTTTGATAAATTACCCAACGTCGTACTACAAAGAAACATGCACACATTTTATTCAAAAATAATATTGTTAGCACATTAATTGCATCGACAATAGACGAAGATAATATGTAATAAAAACTTATTTATCAAATCTTATCATATTTGAATTTGTCTTTAGTATTGGAAAAATGAAGGTATAAAAATAATAGTTCCCAGTAAATTACCTAGGCAACAGTGTAGGCAACCAAGCGACGTTACTGAAGGCGGAGAGGTGTGGTGAATTGACTCGAGCCAGTTCTGACACTCCACCGGACTTGCCCAATGGCCCGACACATTCCACTCGCCACATTATCAGCTCCGAACACAAACCCCCCGCTTCTGAGCTCTCATCCCCTTTGTGTGTGTCTCTATCACTATCTGTATGTAACAAAAGATGCGGATTGATTACTCAAAAATTCCTTATTGATCATCGTCAACATTTACGTTTGGAACAAAAACTTTCTCACTATATGAGTTTTTCCACCATTTTGAACTCCACAATATTTATTTGAAATTATTATTTTGATTTGCTGCTATTTTAAAGTAGGATATGGGTAACGTGCCTAAGTATAATGCTATGTAATCTGTAATCGATTTGTCGAAAGATGCAAAAATTGAAACGACGTACCCGATATATTATGATGGCTAGTTGTAAGCAATAATGGTAATACTGGATGGCATGTGATGTCATTCACCCTAAATCTATGGCCGGACGCCCTGGATGCGTGACCTATTGATAACACCTAAGAAAGAAAAAACATGTTGATTTTAAACTTAATGGATCGAAAGATGAATTAAAAATCGGTCTGTAGTGTCTTACAAATACCAACAAAAAAAAGTTTACATGAATAATTCAATATCTATACGAATTTATATAATATACACTATTAAATTTTTATACAAAGAAAAAAAGAAATGTGTCAATATTTAGCTGATAGCCTGATAAAGAGTAAGATTTTTGTTTTACTTGACTGTATTTCTTAATATGAATTATTATATGAAAGAAAAAACTGACCTGCGAAAACTTAGATTTATCATCGAAGGTGAGCTGCCATAGGTTGAGCGTGCCGTTGGTATGATTGGTGACCATCGAAATAACTGGTGCCGAGTCGAGAACGTCTCCCTCCTGATTGTCACCGAGTTCTTCCGCCGCGACACTTGATTTCCTTTGCATTTCATTGTTGTTCTCTTCACGATCCCCTAAAAAATTTTTGTTGTACAACCAACCCAACAACATGTCAGATTCATGGGGAACACGTCAGATTGACCAAATTTATAAGAACATTTTGTATGTTTCCTGTTTATGCATAACAACTCAACAGAAGTTGGCTAACAGAGAGACAGCTTGGCAGAAGATTAATTCCATGTTTTCCTGGCAAAATCTTAAAATCTAGATAGATGTAACCACAGTCAAACTACAGGTTTGGTATGAAAATAAATCGTTTGTAATATGAAAATCAGAATTATATTATACATAAATATTTTTTTAAAATAAACGTTTCTACTTTCGGATACATGTTATGTTTACCATTTTCCTGATTTTCTCCATTTTCTTCGTTTTGGGGCCACTCATTCTCTTCTTTTTCTTCCTGGACACTAGCCAACGGCGTTGTGACCACTTCTGGTTGTTGTGGTGGACCTGATAATCATAAAAATTCAAATAAAAACTTCTTGCATTTACTTCACCTTATACATCATCATTATTAAACACATTACTCATAGCTTAACTACACAATTTAAGAGTAGCGACTTTATTCTTCCTCTATGTTGGGAAAATTATGGAAATAAATTCTTAATTAACCGGTTACACAATGACACATGAACACATCAAAGAGATCATTGAATAAGCGATTTCAATAAGAACAATATAACCGTATATTAAGCACTTCTTGCACTCTCGTTAGATTTTCAATTAAAACACTAAAGACGAGCTTTCGCTCGATGGCGTAGTGGTTAGTACGTTCGGTCTGCGATGCGAAAGTTAACCACTTTGTACAAGAGCCTATAGATTTCAATAAGAACAATATAACTGTATATTAAGCACTTCTTGCACTCTCGTTAGATTTTCAATTAAAACACTAAAGACGAGCTTTCGCTCGATGGCGTAGTGGTTAGTACGTTCGGTCTGCGATGCGAAAGTTAACCACTTTGCACAAGAGCCTATAGATAGTGTGAATGAAAAAAAATATATATTGAGCACCTCAGTGCTTCAGAAGGCACGTAACGCCCTTTTCCCAACTGTAACAGCAGTCGTAAAGACCCACCATGCTGCACTGGACCAACATATGACCGATTCTTTCTTTTCAAAATGATTTCATCTCAATGATTCGATTTTATTAATAGGGCAAGCCTTTATGCCAGTAGTGGGGCATTCAACGTACCTGACGATCATAATTAAAGTTTAAAAAAAAAAGGAATGTTTCTAATTTTATTTATTTATTTGTTTGTCTTCGAAAATACTGATCTGATCATAAAAAATGAAAACTTTGATTGGAATAGGTAGACAGAACCTATTGCACAAGATAGTTAAATAATGCATATGACCTGGTGTGACTGGCTTGGTACGATGGCGGACGTACAGCGGTTGCGCGGCTGCGTGGTATAACGCGGCGGGTGTACACATGGTAGTGGCATCGCCAAGTGGGAACGCGGACGGGATCCGCGCCGAGAACGAAACCTGCGCCTGACGGATCGCGCCCGCCTGCAGCTCGTCCAGCCACTCGCACACCCTGCACGTCATGATAACCACTCATCAAACTGAGAAAAGGAACTCTGATTACCATAAGCATAATGTATTATAAGAACGCGTCTAAGTGTCGGTGCAAATCAACACCGTCTGTGACGTCAGTACAACGCGTCACAAAAACTTATATTTTCAATAAATATTTTTTTTGTGTAATATTAATCGCCGTTGGAATCGGATTCACTCATTAGCATTAATTATCAGTGTAATTAATAAACAAGGTTTAGCGTTGAAGTAAATTTACGCTGATACTACACACAGTATCGTTTTAGTCAAAATTCATATTATTAAATAGAGACTAAGCAAAGGTAACTTAGTAGGAGGTTTGCTTATTCTCTGTATAATATGACTAACTCCCGTTCACATTTGAAACCCGTTGAGTACTGCCCCCTCTCTCTCTGTCACACACACACACACACACACGGCAGCTCCAACTTTAGTCAAACTTCTTTGTATTCAAATTCAAAACAGCCGTATGAAATTAAATCAGTTACGCAGTAGACCCATGGATCTATCATGGGGAATCATAGAGAACTGGATTGCCACAAAGCACGTTCATTTATACTCGTAAGCGAAAGGTAAATATGAATATCATTACTCTTTTCATGCATGCTTTTTATGTAATCTAACATCACCATCCAATAACACGTGATAAATTCGATTGTGAAATATGTATGCAATGTTCTCTCGGCATTCACATCTTTGCACTTGGCATTGTATTTACGATTATGTATATCAGTTCCAACATTCTTTCGCCGTTCTGTTCAAATGTCAAAAGCTTACCATATAAGGAAGCTGCCATCGACAGGGTGTATAGAGAAGAGTAGGTCTGGACTTTGATGCCAGTCTCGCAACAACGATTCGATCTTGGCATCCAACGAGTCCGGAAGGTGGGTGCACGTGACGTCAGTAGCTATCGAGTTTATGGACGTTGTGTTCGACAAGCTCGGATGGCTGTGGTTACCGCTACCTTCACAAATAATAAACAGTTACATATACATAAGAATCTTACAGACATGTTACATTGTAAATTTTACAGTAATTGTGGAGTATATGTGTACAGTCAGGAACAGAAACATTCACGCATAATTAATAATTGAAGTTTTTATTTTTACAAATCATTTATAAACAAGAAAATTAATGCATGTTCAAACGCTCAAGTCAAAATTATAGTTTTCGATCTTAATGATAATTTATAACTTACATGAGTTACTATTTAATAGCTAAGCAAATACAATAACAGGCGCACAATGTATAATGTAGAGTGACACTGAATGTTCAGAGTTACTTTGTACCGTACCTGGTTGTTCATCGCTATTACTGTTATCTTCAGACTGAGTTTTAGTCAAATGATGACTAGGCCGCCTATTTCCTATATAGCAGCATGGAAGAAGCAAAGCTGGATTATATAGAACGCGTACATAATAGTAATTAAACGAAATAACTAGTATGAATCGACTTACACACATCTACATACACTTTGTTTTGACGTTCTATATTATTTAAGCTGCATATAATGTCTAGTACAAAATAAGCTGTTAATTATAACATACTTATAACTTTTTTAATAACCTACGTATCCAGAAATTATAGGCGCATTAATAAACCGTTCGATAAAGTTACTTAAGCTTCTTTCCTGCTTTATTATACTATAAATATTCAAAAACAAATTAACACATACTTGTTTCATTTTCTCCGTCCGGATGTGTGGTGTGATCGGAGCCTGAACCCGCTTCGTCGGATTCTTCTTTATCTAATATCTAGAAGTGAAACACAATCAATTGATTGAAGTCTTACAGATAAAGCAGGAGCAAATCATATACTCAAGACAAATCACGAAAAGAATTGTTTATAAACCGAAAGTACTTTCAAAGATGTTCCAAAAAGGACCTAATGCATCCTAAACATTCTTAATTTACTTATCTATATAGTAACAAGTGATAAAGATATATTGACAGTTTTATTCAAAAGAAAATATTTTAGTCTTCACTTCATAAGTTACTAATTTTAGGGTTAAAGAATGAAGTTCATATTAAATTAAAAAAATTAACTGACTTTTTTAGTGAGGTCGTGCAGTATCGCTTCCGCTTGACTCGTGAAATGCATTTCCTTGTTATGTAGCCAGTGTAGGATAAATCTTCCACCACCAGCTAGCGACGGCACTAAAGGGATATCTGTCTCCGCATTGATCGACGCAGCCAAATGAAAGTGTAGACCTGTTTATGTAAATGAAAATCGAAAATTAATTTTAGGCGGTTTCAGTAGCAGTGTGGCCACAGAAGCTCTAATAATAGTTTTTTATTTTATATATATGTTTATATTTATATAATACATGTTGCAAAGCAAAGGCTAAATCTATCTATCTAGAAATTGATAGTACTTGTTGTTTCTAATAATTAACCACTTTTGAATATATATATATAATAGAATAGAGGTCCAAGGTGAGATCCTCCAGAGAAACAAGTAGTTAGACTGTCAGTTGCATAAACGTCCATTAAGATTTAATAACGCTTTAAGCTTAAATGAATGTCAAATTTATATTGGTAATGTCGCTTTAAACTAAGGACAATTTTAATGGACATTTATGCAACTGGCTAAGAGACATCGCTAAAGATGTGTGACATCTAACCGAAACAAGGTGATTGCTAGTAATTAATTGAATTTGATTAGAAAATATGTCATCTTACAACAAAATCGGAAAAATCCCTTTTAATCTTAATACATGTTAAACTTACCACCCGTGTAAGAACTAGAATGGTAAGGATTATGGAAATCGTGGGCGCTGTAGGTGGAAGGTAAGGTGGGAATAGGTGCACCAGGCTGCTTTGACGATTGTGCATTCCGTCTGATATGGAAACATGTTCTGAAAGAAGAAAAATTAAAACATCAAGTAGGCATATAAACACAAACACAAATACACACGTAAAATATTGGTAATGACATCATGTAAGTCTACATTTTTTATTTTAATATGTCATTCTGCAGAGTTATGCGGCGGAAACTATTCAACAAATGAAAAGGAAAGGAAATCGGTCTACCCTCCTTAGGGCTAGTTTTTTGATCCGTGGTTAACTCGACCATTTGTTAAAATCTTTGACAAATGGTTAAATCAGAAAAATATGTTTTTTGATTAATAGTTAGCCTAACCAATTGTCAGAATTCCAAACATTGGTCAAAAAATTTAACCATCTCTGGAAGCTAAGTTAATCAATGGTTATCAATGGTTAAAAGAACAGATGTACAACTGCGTTGTATTTACTTGGTCCCTTTTTACGTTGTTTTTATAACCTACATGATTTCATAGTGAATTTAGACATTAGCTATTTTTGGGATTTCGTTTTATGATGCAATTTCATAGGAAAATATTCATTGTCATTAATTGGTTATTGAAAATAAGTTATATTTTTATCTTGATCATCCTTAGTATATTTGTATAAACATATTTTTTCTTGTTTCCAAGGGCAGATGCCAAATTATTCAATTATTAAAATCTTATAAATTCCACGAATAGACAATACAAAAGGTAAATATGCCTACAGTACATAAAATACATAGTCCTCGATTTATTTTGCAACATTACAATCCCACCTTGGATACTAGATACTATATTCTTTTCACGTATTACTCTATAAGATAAATAAAAAACAAATATATGCTTCTTATAAAAAAGTTAAGTTTAAAATAACTGGGGGAAAAAAATATCTTTGTTGCTTTCTAACATTATTAAAGAAATTACCTTATATTTCCTGAAAAATAACACATAGTGCACACAACAGAACAACCATAAACATCCACACTGTTTGATAATCTATAGATTTCTTTCGTCTATTTGATATTTGGAACAAAATCCTAATGTCATAAATGGTATATAGTTCGTTCCGTTCATTCAAACCTTTAGTGTTGTCACCCAGAAAAAAAATACCCATGTCAATGTCTAGCGAAAAAACGACTTATTGTGCTGGCAACAAGTTGGCCAGTGGTTAAATTTGGCTAAGGTATAATTTGGCATCAAAAAACGAAATAGCGAGTTAACAACTTGTTAAAGTTTTAACTATAGTCAAGTTAACAAATGGTGAAATGACATTTGACTACGGGTCAAAAAACTGGCCCTTAATCAAATTTGCGACATTGCTTTATATATAGTTTAATAATATTCTGCGGGACAATTTAAATTAATGAGTTAAAATACATTTCTCCATTATTTAATAATTGTTTTTTAAGAAAAATAAATGAAGGTTTATAATACTTTAACCAAACAGTCAAGTAGCCATTTAGATAAAATCACGTCTAGTAATTCGAGAAAACCTGGATTTCGAACAAAGGCATATATATTTAAATAGCTCACTTCATGTGCTTGAGCCGCTGCATGAACCGATGTTTGTGCCTGTGCGTGGCGCGCTGTCGGCGCGGCGGCGAGCGAGCGTGCGCGGGCACGCATCCGCCCCACTCGTCGTCCGGCAACAACGTCTCCGCCCATACGCGACATATGTTGTCCACGCATGACGTCACCAACACGTTGCCCACGCTACCCCTGCGAGCGACAAAACAAAATCGCTTACATAATTCCTACACGACGCTTCTACTACTGTAGACGCTTCTACTACGCAATGGTTCTGAAACATTTCAGTTGGCGACCCAAAAAAATAAAGTAAACGAAGTGCGCGACTCTCGTGTTAAAATTTGTTAATTGATTAAAGACTTTATCGTGAAAACCTCAAATATATATTTTTTTAATTTTATCTGTGCAAATGTGATATTTACACGGAATTCTCGGTGCGCGAGTTCAACTTTATAATACTTTGTACTTTTTTTATATATGGCAATAAATAAAACTCAAAAATATAGTAAAAAGCTAAATAATAAAGCGCGATTCATTGTGTCATTGTACGATGTTTTGTCGCAACCCAAATAGTAAATAAAAAATGTTAAGTATATATGAAAATATTTGTGTGTGTATCACTACCTCACGCGAAAAGTACATACTTGAAGAATTTTAATAAAATTTGCCATATAAATGAATTATAGTTTAGTTTAAAATATGAAATACTTTTCATACTAAGTGCACGCAAAGACTTTATACCACTTTATACCGCATAAACATTACACACCCACTCCAGTTTTGGTGTCCCATTTCATAGATAATGTAGTCACACCTATATAAAAATGATAACCAAATAACTCGATAGAAATTACTAACTTCGGCATATATTTGCTGGTTTTCCTCCACGATAGATGTGTGACGGCACGCGGGTGGGCTACATAAATAAACGTATAGTTCAACTCTGGTGGTGAATGGTCGTTGTGAGTCTGTTGATAAAGCACTGAAACAAACATTATCTTCTTATGTTTTGCTCAATTTTTTTCTCACCAAGCAATAATAATTATAAATATCGAATGAATGTTCAGCATAAGTAAGATATACAGCATAAATAATTAATAATTTATGAGTTTGTCAAAATTTCTGTAGATACTTTATTCGGCAATTATGTTTCTGATATCGAAATATGTGAATAAATTTTCCCCGGAATTAAAAGATCGCGGCATATATATTATTGCAAAATGAAAATGGGACCATACGGCCAGCATTAGCTTTCAAATAAAGAAAGAATCATCAAAAACTTATGAGGTGACAAACAAGAAAAAAAATACAGTTGATTTGAGAACTTCCTTCTTTTTTTGAAGTCGGTTAAAACTAGCTGTACCCGCAACTTACTCCTTTTTACATAAGCTATTTGCCGGTGAAAGTCCCGTCAAAATCGGTCCAGCCATTTAAGAGCAGTCTCTTAAACAGACACAAAAAATTAAAAAAAAAATGGTATTATGATATATGCACCGTGTATATTATGATATATATACATTTGGTAAAAAGCGGTTAATTTAATGTTACAAACAGACACTCCAATTTAATTTATTTGTATACATGATAAAAGACCTATATAATTAGTCTGTTCCTATGGCAGTTAAAAACATATTCCCGAATAGCGCTTAGGACCCAAATTACCGCTAAATATATTTCACTCCAGGTCGGTACACCACAGAATGCTATTTATAATAACGAGGGCATATTCATTTAAATGTACATTCGCAGCGGCCAGCATGGCATGCGTGTTGCTTTATTACCTTTATTCTGGTACCAGATCTTAACGAGCCGGTCGTTGATGCCGGATGTGGCGAACAGAACGCCGTCCGGCGAGAATGACAGGTGGTGCGCCGGCGTCGCCGTGTGGCACTGCCACACGCATATCCACCCCTGACAACACGATAACAAATAAAATGTACATGATCATGAAAAATGCGCCATGTTCATTTCAAAAATAGAAGAAAAATTATTTAGATATTTTCATTTTAATCATGTAATATTTTCTCTGAATAGAATCTCAGCCCATTCAGAGTCTAAATTAATAAGCTAACATAATCGGCAGATATCGCGATAAGGTGAGAGTAGGTTTGTATTAAATACTTTTTCTGCATTCTGATGTATGAGTTACCTAATAAAAAAACTGCGAGATAAAAAGATCGAAGATAAACGTTAATATTCTTAAATAAAAAATCCATACTTTCACCTTATTAGTGGGATTATAACGATTCGGTAACTTATTTATTACTGGCGGCGTATCATTATCACCATAAATGTTATCTTATCTGATAACGTCATATTAAACTGAGGATTCTCTTCTCATGTATGTACGTATATGGTTTTAGTTTAACGATCTTAGAAATTCAATACATTTTGAAATCGATGTAAAATTATGTAAATTTTAGATGTTTTTCAAACTTTTGCTAGCTATATTCAGTTTTTAGCAAGAGCAGTGATGTTAAAATGAAATTAAGATCAGAAGTAATTTATTGTTCATATCTATCTCAATGCTGGGCGTCACGCCATGCACCAGTGGCGGATTATCCTCTATTCTAGGCAAACTGGGCACATGCTCAATTACCTACTTTAATCGCGACCTACATCAGAAATCTGTGCGCAATGATGGTGGTTTCATTTGTTTCTGTTGTTTTCTTTGATGTTCATTTATTTAATTAGTAGGTTAGTGTTTTGAAAACGTAATATAATCAATGTCGTGGAATATAAAAAAGGTAAAATAAAAAGAAGAAAAAATAAACCTGTTATTTATACACATTAATTGTTACCCTACACACAGCATGGAGAGGCGCCTAGAAGCGATTGCTTGAAATGCTATCGACCTTCAATCAGCCATTGATTTTAACTATAATACTAATCTACTTCTTGATTCGCTCTCACGCTTACTTAATGTAGAGATTTCCCGCGATATTTGGAAGTTATATCAACATTTATCGTTATGCGAATATAGAACAAAGTTGGGTGTGGACAATACTTAATCAATCAATCAGTTAGAAATCGTAGTTAATCGATAGCGAATTCACGTGATATTTTATGACGACACTAAAATACAATCAAACGCTCACAAATAAATTAGTAGCATTTATTAGCCACAGTTTGAGGTCAACATTCTTATTATTATTATTGCTAACTTATCAATAACTGAAAATAAACATCTAACAACAATGATACCCATCACCGTTGAAAGCCCATTGTTTAATCGTGGAAATAAATTATCAAGATTCACGATTGATAGACCAGGAGAAAAACTGTTCTACATCTGAGCTGGTGACGTGAATGTGTAGAATTACGATTTACACTTTATTTTTTATGGTTAGCATTTAGTACTAAATTATAAAAAAAATATTGATATTGAAAATATAAATTCACTAACCAAAATCAGCATTAGGACTAAATTGGATATTCAAAAGTGACATACGAGGGTCAAACTGAAAGTTCTTAGAACTGGCCACTTATAAACAATATAATAAAAAAATAATTCTAAAATTTGAAAATATAACTCTTTGCCAATATTACTGAGTATATATTTCATTCATTTGTCATTTGTTTTACGATTTGGCGGCAAATTGAAATTGGTCTGTGTCACGTCATCATGAATTTAACACGAGAAATATTTTCGTGCAATGATTTTTTATGACTTTCGATGTCATTTAAGTCAACAAGAAAGTTATGATAGACTACGATTGGCCTTTCACGATGAAGCCCCATCTCGTGCGACTGTTTACAACTGGTTAATGAGGTTTAAACGTGGTCGCACTAATCTCACTGATGATTTACGTGAGGGACGGCCTTCTACGGCGACGACTGAAAATAACATCTGTGTTGTGCGGCGTATGATAGAGACTGACAAAAGAGTGACCTATCAACAGATTCGGACAAGCTTAGGCATCGGTATGAGTCAAGTGCACAAAATCCTCCACGAACATTTAGCGGTCAGGAAGCTTTGCGCCCGGTGGATTACCTCATAATTGACTGAGGCTCAAAACTCCATCGTGTGCATTGGTGTCGTAAAATGATTGAAAGATTTAACGGAGGTGACTCAAATGCTGTGTTCGACATACTAACAGGTGACGAAAGCTGGATTTACTGTTATGATCCTAAAACCAAAAGACAATCTGCTCAGTGGGTGTTTCCTTTCGAGGAGTTGCCAACTAAAGTGAAGAGAGATCGAAGTGCGGGAATAAAAATGGTGGCCTCGTTCTTTGGAAGGATAGGTCATTTTGCAACAATTGTGTTTGAGGATCAAAAAACAGTTTCTGCAGAATGGTACACTACCAATTGTTTGCCACTTGTCTTGGAAAAAGTTCGAGAGAAACGACCTCGCAGTAGGATCCTCCTTCACCACGACAACGCCTCGTCGCACACCGCCAAGCGAACGATCGACTATTTGGCGACATCAAACGTTGAATTACTGGGTCACCCGCCGTATAGCCCGACCTCGCGCCTTGTGATTTTTATTTATTTCCAAAAATTAAAGAAAAACTTAAGGAAAGCGGTTTATGAATGCTGAAGAAGCGGTGGCTGCGTATCGCGATGCCATTGAAGAGTCCCCTAAGGACGAGTGGGCGAAGTGCTTTTCCCAGTGGTTCCATCGCATGCAGCGGTGTATTGACGTGAATGGACAATATTTTGAAAAGATATAATAAACTAATAACTGGCTAATGTAATCAGTTTTTGATTTTCTAAGAACTTTCAGTTTGACCCTCGTATTAGTCTGTAATTTTACATATCCAAATAATTTTTAATATTTTGCCTATAGACTTCAACCAAAATACAAAAATCATAATGTAGTACCAGGTATTGTTTACTATAAATAGAGCCACGGCATAGATAAGAAAAACCTATATCAAGTGGTGTAAAATGTTTGTTGAATCTCTGTATCTTATCTCCGTTATTACATTAATTACGTACCGGGTCCTCCTCCTCTTGCTGTTTCGGTTTCTCATCTTTGTCACCGCCTATTTGGAAAGTTACGCCCGAACTTGCTGTAAACATAGAAAATAGTTATTAATATATAACAGAAAAACATTAGCAAACGAAGCCTTATACGATCAAGATAAAAGTGGACACGTTCTTTTTATGCGTTCCTAACACAATCTAAGTTACAAATATTAATCCGATTTACAGAAGTAACAATCAAAACCTACATTACAAACGACATATACATTGTAGATTTCAACAATAAAGTTCGTAATTAGAACACAAAGCTTATTATGCATTTGAACATTATATTTTTATTCAGTTCCAATTTTATAATGTGTCATGAAGACAAAAAAATGTGTTGTTGATCAATTAGACATATTGATGTAATTTTTCCTTCCCAATGTTAAGACCAGACGTTTAGGTATACATAACAATGTTCATATCATAGGTTGTTTGCCAGAGTATTAAATGACTACACTGCAGTCAATCAAACTGATAACAAAACCAAATAATAGTCATTGTTACAGAAACACAAATGCTAGTTTATGTATTCTACTGCCTCATGTGGCAACCTGAGCGCTGTTTTAATAATAATAACACTTTTTTTTGGTGACCATGACCATTACACGGGATGTGCCAACATTAGACGATAATTGCTTTCACTACTTTTTTCTAAATTATTGTTCTACACAGCACGTAAAATACCTGTCAGGATTTTCACGTTCAGCCGCGTGCATTCGTTTACGAGAATGTTATATGCATATTTACATAAATTTTAATATACTTTTGTTCTGTCTCGAGGCTACTTACGCTGACTCTCCTCCTGGTAAAGCGACGCCTGGTGCCAAAGCTGTAAGATCCTGCCACCGGTCAATAACCTAGTGCCCTCAAGGTTCCAAGACAGCGCTGTAATCGGCCCATCTGCCACCAGCTTGCCGGTTTGCACCCAGCGGTATTCAAGTCCCTAATCAAAAATCATATAATAAATTAAAGGTTTTCTTGTGATCTCATTTTATGATACTACCAAACACCTTCGTTTTTGTCTCAGCAGACTCAAAAGATGGCAATTATATTGGGTGGCACGATTTTAACACCGCATTCTATAATACGAAATCATAAGCAGCGTCACCGGGGCACGAGAGATATGAGATACAATGTCGTAATGAGATACAATGCAAGATAGTTCCTTTAAATCTTTGGCATGCAGTCTTAAACTCTTAGACATCGTTTTAAGTTGGATGAACTATATCTTCTAATAACACAAATAAGATATTTGTCTATACATACTAATATTTTAAAGAGGAAAGATTTGATTGTTTGTTTGTTTGCAATGAATAATGAATAAGATTTTAAAAATTCGGTCACCCACCGGAATCTACATCTTATGCGGTGAACATATGTATTTTATCCCGAAAAACCATAAATAATGGGAGTGGAAGTTTGTATAGGGAAATAAAACATAACCATTGCATAGCATTGTTTACTATTCAATTTGTCATTGTAATATCCGTGTCATGTATGAATCGATATTCTAATAAACAGTTCCCTAGGGATAACGTGGGAAAAGCCCCTGGCGGAAAACTAGTCACATATAATTTTAGACTGAACAAGATACATTTTTGTAAGTATAGCTGAAATGTGTCTAGGTAGAATTACGATTTCGAAAGCATCGAATTTAGCATAAGCTAGTTTCGAATAAATACGTGCTAGGGTGCGAGTCCAATCTTGAGTCACATGATGCATAGAATTGAATAATGCTCGCTACATTTCATCAATTGGTTGAAGCGACAGAATCGCGTTTGCAATCATATTGCGGCTTCTTTTTAAAGTGATTTAAGTAACAACTATCTGACTAAGGATATTATATGAATACAAAACAACTCGGACAAAGTAGTTAATATTATAATGGTCCATACGTTGTGTTTATCATAACCGAGTAGAATCAATGTGCTCTAAATAATTATCAATTATCACTTTAATTAGAAGCACTTAGAAGGCCATAACTAATTAAATGACGTAAGGATCGGTACAAAGCATTGTTACCCATGCTATTATTCATTACATTCATTTGACAGCTCTAATAATGTGTACGTCCAATGAGATAGTGTCAATATTGGAAATTTTATAAGCTTTTTACACATAATTACAGAATATCTCTGTCATAAGTCAGTTATGCTATAAGTTCAGCCGCACAATTTTTGTTGTGAATTTGAATTGCAGTCAACAATTTAAGAATCACGTCCAATTTTGACCTAAAAATTTACTAACGCGTCTCGTGATGTGATATATCTCAAAATGTAGCTTATTTTTTAATTATTTCATATCAGGAAATTAAATCTTAAACTGAATTCAGGATAACAATTGCGAGCCTTATAATTTATTTTTAAATAGTACTATGATAACTACTCCAATGCGATTTGGACCCAATGACAGTTTACTACGATTCGTTTCATCTAATACGACAAAAAGATGCTTTCGTCATATGGTAAAAAGTGCACATAAACAATTACATTTAGATTTATTTACGAGCCAAATTTTTAAAAGCTTCACAATAATCTCGAATTTTGGCAGTAGTAGTACCGTCTGGCCCTATATCTGTCTAGCCTCCAGATGAAAAGATGCTAAGATATTATTCTATTTTAAACAAACTCTAATTTAAATTATCACTAATGGTGGGTAGATGGGACCTTAATAAAAAACATGTCCATCAATGTTTGGAAAGTGAATATGATTCTTTATGAAATTTGACAACAAAGACTGATACAAGAAATAATATAATGAGGCTGAATCCGGCAGGTTCTTCAAGCTTGAATTAAAAGCTTATAGTGGAAACCCTTGGAGTACAAACAGGACATTGTTTGACGTCGACAGAATGTGTGTTGGAAAGACCTGAGACTAAAGATATATGTTGTAGTATGTTTATGATTAGTTTAGTATTTATTGCTCTGTACCGCCATCGCGTTTGTTTGAGAGAGAATGATATAAGCATTAGGTCCACCTTTGTACCATCTTTATATTGGTCAATAAATAAATAAAGAGATTCCACGCTTTTTAGTGATGCGCGTGAATAAAAGCGTCGTGATACTCTTTTTTCAGATGAAATAGATTATACCTACAATCAATAAAATAATAAGGTAGCAAGCAGCCGTACTACGCGTGTAGTATAGTATAGTGTAATCATTTTCCAACGCCACTCATGGTTTAGCTGTGAGTCCCACATTTGAGCATAACTGAGATATATTATTAAGAGAACGATGTATATGTGCAGTTGTTTAACATTAGGGAACATCTCTTTTATGACGGACCCAGAAATGAGTACCGGGTATTGTACCCAGTTCAATTAGCGAACTTCACGCAAACCTGTTTAGCAGCACATGTAATAAATAGGGATGACGACAGATTTTTGTTTATTACGAGGGTCAAACTGAAAGTTCTTAGAACTGGCCACTTATAAACAATATAATAAAAAAATAATTCTAAAATTTGAAAATATAACTCTTTGCCAATATTACTGAGTATATATTTCATTAATTTGTCATTTGTTTTACGATTTGGCGGCAAATTGAAAATTGTCTGTGTCACGTCATCATGAATTTAACACGAGAAAATTTTCGTACAATGATTTTTTATGACTTTCGATGTCATTTAAGTCAACAAGAAAGTTATGATAGACTACGATTGGCCTTTCACGATGAAGCCCCATCTCGTGCGACTGTTTACAACTGGTTTAATGAGTTTAAACGTGGTCGCACTAATCTCACTGATGATTTACGTGAGGGACGGCCTTCTACGGCGACGACTGAAGATAACATCTGTGTTGTGCGGCGTATGATAGAGACTGACAAAAGAGTGACCTATCAACAGATTCGGACAAGCTTAGGCATCGGTATGAGTCAAGTGCACAAAATCCTCCACGAACATTTAGCGGTCAGGAAGCTTTGCGCCCGGTGGATACCTCATAATTTGACTGAGGCTCAAAAACTCCATCGTGTGGATTGGTGTCGTAAAATGATTGAAAGATTTAACGGAGGTGACTCAAATGCTGTGTTCGACATACTAACAGGTGACGAAAGCTGGATTTACTGTTATGATCCTAAAACCAAAAGACAATCTGCTCAGTGGGTGTTTCCTTTCGAGGAGTTGCCAACTAAAGTGAAGAGAGATCGAAGTGCGGGAAAAAAAATGGTGGCCTCGTTCTTTGGAAGGATAGGTCATTTTGCAACAATTGTGTTAGAGGATCAAAAAACAGTTTCTGCAGAATGGTACACTACCAATTGTTTGCCACTTGTCTTGGAAAAAGTTCGAGAGAAACGACCTCGCAGTAGGATCCCCCTTCACCACGACAACGCCTCGTCGCACACCGCCAAGCGAACGATCGACTATTTGGCGACATCAAACGTTGAATTACTGGGTCACCCGCCGTATAGCCCCGACCTCGCGCCTTGTGATTTTTATTTATTTCCAAAAATTAAAGAAAAACTTAAAGGAAAGCGGTTTATGAATGCTGAAGAAGCGGTGGCTGCGTATCGCGATGCCATTGAAGAGACCCCTAAGGACGAGTGGGCAAAGTGCTTTTCCCAGTGGTTCCATCGCATGCAGCGGTGTATTGACGTGAATGGACAATATTTTGAAAAGATATAATAAAACTAATAACTGGCTAATGTAATCAGTTTTTGATTTTCTAAGAACTTTCAGTTTGACCCTCGTATCTGTCAGATAGATTGTTGAAAAATATTAAGCAAGTATTTTTTTTTCGTATTCATTAATTGCTGCGATACATTAAGTTAAAATGTTACACTTTGGTACATTTTCTACAAAGCTGTGACGTAGCAAACGCCTCAACTTTAATGCCTGTTATCTAAACTATTTCTTGTTAAATCGAAATAAAAAAAAACGTATCTTATATTTTTCTTTTATCTGACAGACGGACTAACGGACTAAGAATTTCTTTTTTACCCAGTCGTAATACCTAATGACTTCACATGTAATTAAAACTATGAGGAAACCGAAGAAATGCTGAAAACGAATACTTAGCAACTGATTTTGAAATAATTTTATTCTTGTCATCTGCCAATGCTGTTATTGCCGTGGAAGTGAATACTTGTTAACTTTGGATTTTAGTATTAAGATAAAGTGATAATTACACTACACACCCTCTCTCACACACTCACTCACGTCCACTTTTTAAACACCGAGAGGTACTCAAACTATTTTGATTTTAACTTTTATTATTACTGTTTGATTAACATTTATTAATTGATAATTTATATTTATTGAAACAAAAATGGATTAATTGTGGATTTAAATGTTTGTTACTATCAAATGTTGTATACTTTTACTAAGATCGTATAATGCGGGAGTGAGCACTGGAGCTAAAATAAATACCTACGCTCCATTGAAACCATAGGGTTGTCATTTTGAATGTTTTAGACATTGTTTCTTTTACAAAATATAAAAGGAGTTTTTACATTATTAATCAATAGAATTGTAATAACTAATTAACAAACAAAAATAAAATACATACACATTTATTCTATATCACCACATGATATAGAATAACATATGCGAAAATTGGGCAGTTCTGGAAATATAGCATACGTACAGGTCGAATTAATAATCTTCATTTTTTGAAGTCGGTTAAAAATCGGTTAATCTCAGCAAAAGACGATAGTTTAACATACGAGGAATAGTTTAATATTGACACAACTTATAAATCTTTGTTTTTATGTTGGTCATTAACTTGACATTACGGCATAACCTTGTACAAGTTTTTGACGGACACATAGCCGAAGAGCGCACGAAACGTCCAACGTTTCGTGCTCTCGTCGGATCGGACGCGTGGTAGGTAGGCACTGTATTTAGGTGGTGTTTTTGGGTGTTTATCAAGCATTTTCGGGTGGGACCGTACTACGTTTCAACCCGAAAATATGCATGAAACTGAAATGGGTATTTAAAAAAAACATCTAAATCTAAAAAAAAAACTAATTTTTTATTTCACATAAGCCTATTCCTTTCCTTAATCTTTCCTTCATTTTTTAAAATAAAAACGATCGCGGAACGTGTAACGTGACCCCTCATCTCGACGCGATACGCGTTACTGAGCGTCCTGTTAGGTCCACTTAGGCGGCTCTTCGGTGAGCGTGTTTATGTGTGCGTGCGATTTCGAACGCTTGTAGGCAGTTTCACCACTGTCTACTTATATTTACACTGTGACTGAGATTCAGGTTTAGAATATAAACTTCATTCAGGCACAGAAGCTACTCAATTGTAACATTGAGTTTAAACCTATGTATAAATTTTTTTTTGAAAAATAAATAAATATTATTAAAAAATAAAAATTGGGTTCTGGTATTCATGTGAATCTGATGTACGCAAGTCTTCATTAGAAATTTTTTGACCAAGTTCCATATACAATCACATTGTTCTTTGATTAAAAGATTATTTCGTTTAAAATAATAAGAAATTCATAAAGGTTTCTTGAATAACTCCTGGTTAATCCTGTTAGGTCCTGTAGTGGTTAGAGCAGTCGTCCGGATTGCGAAAGGTCATGGATTCGAGTCCCACCTCGGAGTGCCAGGGACAAAGTGAATTTTTTAAGCATTTTTCATTAAGTAATTCCGTTGTGTAGTTTAAAAGATCTCGATGTCAGCGTATAGACAGCGGCAAGCGGCATATACTCGTATTATAATTATATTGATTATCTAATATAGGTATAAAATGTTTATATAATTCGCAGTACGAATCATATAATATGAAACTTGAACAATTGAACAGCAATTGATTGCAGGCTACCTAAAAACTACATGAATCTATTTTCAGAGCAGCGTAAAATAGTACTGCATGCTTAAAGAGATCGTAAAACTACTGTTTTTTCTCACATTTTAATGGTAATTAATCGTGACCTTCGTTCTCATTCTGAGTACTCAACCAAATATGTTTGGTTCCGCCTCTAAAACAGGTCCAAACATTTATGAAATCATTAGGTTATTATTTACAAGTACGGTGATCAATGGCAATCAAGTATATGGGTCGCCTTTCGGTGATCATCATGGGCTAGGTAAATAGGTAGGTACTAGAAATTCATATGCACATTTCTGATTTTGTAATAAAGGTTATTGAAAAAAAAACGACTAAAAAACGTGTAAATAATATGAAACCTGAAACATGAAAATTATGTTGAATTCGGGCGCAGATTTTGTATAGGTTGTTAATATTATATTCACAGACTTTAAACAATTTTCATGAACATATGAGCAGTATTTGAAATGAATATTATTTTTCACGTTTTTGAAGATGATTTTATTTATATAAAAATATATATAATTTTAGGCATCAAAATTTGATGTTATCTTAATGCTGTATCACCTAGTATAAATTAAAGGAGCGAACGAACAACAAACAATATACCTTAACAAGCCTTATTCTAATCAAGGACTAATTGACACCATTGTTAATGAATAGGCTTCGAGTGGAAAACATAAGAATAAGGTTTGTTATAAATATGTTTGATATTCATTGGCGAAATGCAAAATCTCCAAGTCTAGCAAAAAGGAAATAGGGTACGGCCTTATCATCCTTTTCTCGAAAACATTCGGACCATATTCGACCCCCTGTAATTTTGTTGTGGAGTAAAATAGATGCTTAAAATTCCAGTTACCAAGAGGGCAGCACATAACGAAGTACATTTCTAAATAATATAAAATTTAATACTCAAGCTTATGTGGCACTTTCAAGAGCGAAATACCCAAGCTGTTTGTAACTATTTAAGATTTATTAAAAACCAATATATTAACGTCTTTTTGAAAAGTCAACAGAGACATAGAGTAATCTTTGAGAAATCCCGTAACTGAGGCCCAAGATATAATACTCGAAAAGAAAAATAGGAGAACTATGTACCTAACAAAGAAATGAGATCTCATCGAAAACATAACATGTACTTAAATGCACAAGTCTCACAACGCAATTCTTCTGTCGTAAAATTTATGAAATCAACGTAAACTAAGCCGATTAATTCAGAACCTGTATTTCTGAGCTATCATCGTTGTCATAGATTTAGAAGTACTTCCCAGGAGGTACCTCGATGTCCAGGAGCTAAATTCATTTCAATACGAACTATCGAGAGATGAACATCAAAATGGAAAAAAAAAATTTGAGCTGTCATCAAATACCTCTTCTTGATAAAATGTCTATCAAAGACATACACAGCGACTTGGTGGAAAAATTAAGTGACTTTTCTTCTCCATATTCCACAGTTGCACGCTAGGCTAAGGATTTTAAGCTGGGAAGAACATCGATGAAATATGAACGTCCTACCACGCCCTCACTGCAAATAACGTGAAAATAGTTGAAGAAGTTGTATAGGCAGATCAAAGAGTGCCTATTAGCCATGCAGCTGAGGTCACAGGGTATAGGGCAGTTAATCAAAGAATCCTTACGATCGAATTGTATATGAGAAAGGTTGAGTGCCTAGAATGTTAACCAACGAGCAAAAGAAAAAACGAGTCGCCATTTCAAGAGCAAATCTAGAAATTTCCAAGCAGACCTAGACAATCTTTTGTCGCGTTTTGTGACCGTGGACGAGACCTGGATCCACCATTGTGATCTCAAAACTAAACCACAATCGCTGACATGGAAACGAGCCAACGAATCAACGCCTAAGAAAATCAAAGTGTCTCTGCAGGGAAGGTTTGGCGTCCGTTTTTGGGATACTGAAGAAATTATTATGATGGATTATTTGGAGAAGGGAGTCACTATTACGGGCTCCTATTACGCAGAACAAATAAGAAAATTTAGGGATAAGAAAGAAAATTTTCACCTATCAAGGAGAAAAGGCGCTGCAAATTGCGGACTGGAGTGCCGTGTCTCCAAGATCCAAGATGTGCTGGCTTACAAGGCTGCAGTTGCCGTGGCTACCATTAAAGAAGTGGGCTTTGAACTGGTGGACCACCCCCACCCACCTATTTGTCAGATCTAGGCCCCAGTGACTTTTCTTTCCTCGGCTCAAGGAACACTTCCGGGGCAAGAAATTTAACGACTATACTGACGTGATACCCGCTGTTGCGGATTTTTTTGAGGGTCAAGATCAAGATTTTTTTCCTAAGGGAATTCTATGTTTAGAAAAGTGATGGACTAAATGTATAGACTTAGTAGGAAACTATGTAGAAAATATTTTTTATTTTCATGTATTCATTTTGTTTATTATTGATTATCATTACTTTTGGATCACCCCTCACACAAGAACAAAACTACATACCTCCTTCTCTGATTTCGTTAAAATTCATATAAGCTCACCTGTGATGCATAAGTTTTCAAATTAACTGTACAAACGGAAACACAGATGCTACTATAAATTGTTGTTGTGTGAATTGAACATAACTTTTCGAATCCATGGATCCTAAAGAGAACAAATGCTATTAATTAATAATAAATTTAGCTATCTAATACCCTACAAATATAAAAAAATACATTAATGTTCTCTGCCCAAAGCTAGCTATCCAAACAAATAAGAAACAACCACAGGTTCAGAAACACTGCTCTAAATAACTAGTGTAATACACTTGCAGGCACAATGAAACCTACTTGAGTTTTTGGTGAAAAGGTCAAATTTCTGTAATGTATTTTCACCTCTACCCTCAAAATATCAAAGTTTAAAATTGAGTGGGGGAATTTGACTGTTTTGTGAAATCTGAAGTGCAGTTGACTGTACATTCAAGGAAACAAAATCTACCCACAATTTAAGTCCTCAATTACACCAAATCCATTGTTTGGAAGATTGACAGAATGTCCAGATAAAATATATTCTTTATGTGGTCTATTCAAGGTTGAAGGTGACACTATCCATATATGAGTGAGTTTTTAAAAATCTCAGATACGGTGCAGTGGTATCCTTTATGGATATTTCAAGGCATTTTCTCTACAATGGCTGCAATTCTGGTGTACAAAGTAGACTAGTGGTAGTCTTAACTGTACTTAACTCTATAAAAGTGTTTAGATTCTTTAAATAACTACAATATCAAAGGTAAATTTGTAATATAATAGTCACATCCAGGAGTATAATTTATATTTCTTTTATCACATGTTACTGTGCAATAACATTAAAAAAAAACTCAAATTTAAATGAGTATTTTTTTAATTAAGTGATTTGTACCTACAGATTGAAAACAGAATTGGCACCGTTGCCAACATATTCAGTGAATACACTTTGTAAAATATTGGAACAGTGTCATGTTCCTTGATTAATAAATCATTGATTTGACAGTGACAATTTATCTGAAGCTGATAAGAAAACAAATGTATTAAAAATTGTTCAAATTATATCTAATCAGTGTTGTCATTTGGAATCAAACTAAACTTTTAATAATTACTTATCAATAAAATGTTTATCGATTAGACTATTCATAGTATTTTAGTATATATAAATACTTACATGAGTGGTAGCAGCAGAATGTATCAAAGGTGTTGGCTCAAATATGCATACTTCAGCACCATATGCAGCTGCAATCTTTCCTGTGTCAGTGCTACAATCTAATGAGCCAATACGGACATATCCATGTATAGCCCCTGGTATAATTTGCACTCTCTCAAAATTGGATGCTAATATCACAATATTACACCCTGCTGCATAAGCCTAAAAATTAACAATATCCAAATATGAACTAAGGTTCAGTTAGTTATATTTCAAATATGCTATTATTATTTCAGGCTTATTTTAACAAACAAAAATTAACACAAGCTAACAGAAAAAATTAAAATAATATTTAAGATTCAAATGAATATACACAAAATTTAATTAAATATTCATGAATTACTCTACTCCTATAACAAAATTCTGTTTAGGTGTATACTCAATAAGTAAAAAATGTTGCAAATTGATTTCAAGGATATGACAAATAAAAACTATTGTGTAAAAACTTTTTTCAACATAAGACAATTTTACTAAACCAAATCCACCACCAGCCCTTTTACGTCCCCACTGCAGGAGCTCAGGCCTTCCTTATGGATGGTTAAGGAGGATGGGCCATGACCCTCCACGCTGGCCCAATGCGGATTGGAGGGTATTAACGACTGCAAATGCAGCTGGGACCAACGGCTTAACGTGCCTTCCGAAGCAAGGAGTAGCTTGAGATAATAATTTTTGGTCACCCATCCCGTGACAGACCCTAGCAAAAGTTGCTTAACGACTACAATCGCAGGCCACGGCGCTTATCCACTACGCCACCGAGCAACCAAATACAAACCAAAATTAAATGAGAAAATATTTGTTAATAAAAGATACTTAAAAAGAGATTAATTTCTCAATGCTGATGAGAAGACAAATGACAATAAACAAAATTTTTAGATTTGCTCTTTATATCTTCATTTACAATTACAAAAATATTTTTATATTTATTTCACAATAAAACAGCATGAACTCAATATCATAAGAAAAAAAAACAATTGTCTCATCATTCATTACTTGCATTATAATAACGTTAGAGCCTTTAGGCAGGTTAGCTACAAGTAATAATGAAAAAAAAAACAATAGTCCATAAACTATTCAAGACAAATAATGTCTACAATGATATTGTTATTTAAATAACTTCCATGACCAATGCCAATTAATGTTCAAGGAAACTATTATCCATGAATATGGGCCAATGCTGCTGATGTCAATGAAGAGAAATGATGACAATATTTGATGATCAAATTAAAATTGTGCAAAACTTATAAAAGTAGGCTGAATTAGATTTTCCTGACAGCTTAAATTTTCGAATTATTGCTGCACAAACATTGAAGTTCCTTGATCACGAGACATGGACATGGCTGACAAAACCAGTAAATCACTGACAGCTATTACACTTACTGTGAATGGTATTCCCTCCACTGAACCAACAGCAAAACATTGATCTCCTGAATTACAGGCACCACTTAGTACTTGATGGCAATTCATAATGAACCAGTAAAATAAAAAAAACTCGACACTGTTATTTTCCAAAACTATTAAACGTCACTTGCTCAAGATTAGTAATATAAAACATAATGAATACAAGAAAGAAAAAGTTTAAACATCTCAAGATTTAATAATTTCTTTCTAAAAGGACAGCGATATTTTCTCTGTGACAGCACACACATCGAACGTGAGAAACTAACATAGAGAAAGAAAGAGATACTAGATGAAAGATTCGTTCAAAACCATAAACACTTTATATAATTTTAAGTTAAAATTATAAAAAAAAGTTAAAATTATAACTATGTTTCTAGGATGTGCATGAAAAAATAATTTAAAATTACAAATTCTATAAACATATTACACATATTTTAAGCAGGTCATCCTAAATTAATTTCAATTTGTAATACTAGTAATCTTCAGTCCCGTCAGTATTATAATCTCTTATTTTGAACGTACGTAACGCAGATGATGGCCATTCATGGCAGTGTTACCTTAAGCTTAACTAAATTACCCTATTATCAAACCAAAAGTAATTAAAACACAGTTCGAAGAAAATATCTTAATGATATATTATTAAAAAACTATCAAGGTCATTATCTCACATGGAATTGCTACCATGTACCCTCTGGCGTAACTATACCGTTTGAAGCAAAGATAATACATAATACTGGTTTGAAGCTCAGAGTTTGAAGCATCAGATGGCGACGTGGCTGTATGGAAATAATTTCGCTAACAGTCGACGTCGGACCAAAGAGCATCTCGTACAAATGTAAAATTAGGGATGTCGATATTAGAAACAATCGATATTTATATGATACATATTTCTATATTTATATATATTGTATTCAACGAAAAATAGAGAGTTTTAACTACCAATAAAACTTACCTATTATTTTCCTAAAGATATCCGGAATCCATCTAGAGTCAAGCATCATCCTTTTTGTGACGTTTCCGGTCCAAAACAATACCTCCCTTCTTACTTCCGGCGCCTGTGCTGCCATCTAGTTTGCGGGTAGCGAACCAATGACTTTTAGGCACGAACGCTTACCGTCATTATACCTACTCTAGATGCACCAGGTAGAACTTACCTGGATTCCGGATATCTTTAGGAAAAATAATAGGTAAGTTTTATTGGTAGTTAAAACTCTCTATTATTTGTTCCGTTCGATATCCGGAATCCATCTTGAGTGATGTGTTTGTTATCTCCTGGTGAGTGCCATTGGTGACGCTATAATGTGTTGCAGGTATAAAAAGTCAAATGTAGTCTGATGAGAAAAAATAATGCATATTATAAGTATATTATGCTATTACACACATAGTACATATATTATGCTGTTACATAACAATGCAATTATAATAATTATTCAAGTGTTTCGGTAATCTAAGCTAAATAAATATTGGCTTATCTGTTATCGGTCAATATCATTAATTAAGAATAATAAAAATGTAAATACATAGATATCGAAATTTTCTTGATTGTCCGATTTATCAGTTTTCGATAGGACTTCTTAAAAGTATGTTCTTGGCGCCAGTTCACAGTTTCAGTAATTTATCCATCGGAAACAGTTCCAGTCAATTTAGAGATGGAACTGCAGATGTAATAGACCCTGAAGAATCTTCTACATTATGTACTTCTATTTAGCATTTTTGAGAACAGAGTAGTTAACTCGTGAAAATTACTTCTTTTTGGGGCTCTTTCAATACAAAAATTGATCGCGTGTCCAATACAAGCAATCGAATGATTTGTGTCAGTTAATCATTTCTATCCAGGCTGTCATAATTACTATTATCTGTTTTTAATACAAAATGGGACCATAAGACAAAAAATCATTTTCGTCCCTGTACTTCAAAGGTTAAAAGGGTTAAATAATGGATTCTGCGACCTTGAAGATTGTGAAATTATGCTTAATTTCCAGCAACTTAAATAGAGGCAATTCTGCCAATCTACGTAAAATTTCCATTGTACTATATACCTGAAGTCTAATATTATTAGTGCAATGTCTTCCTAACAATTCAATATTGATAGATATATTTATTATTTTATGATCTAGTAACAAGAATGTGTCATAAAGGGTTGTAGTCGAAGCGCTATTGACCCTCCACCATTACGCCGACATTAGCAGAATTTCCCTACCGGGCACTTGTTATTTGCAGAATTAATACTAGTAGATATTTATAGTCGCTTTACATTAAATCGATAGTTTCAAGATTTTCTTTATTTTATTTTGTTCTGTCAGACTTTTAAATAAATTTTCTGAATTTCGGGGGATGAACACCTGTTGCCATACCTATTGCAGTATTTGCGGAAACAAATCGTCAGCCAAGACACTTTGTCCCATTTTGGAACAATCATAATGTACTTACTTGCCTTGACGCTTACTGGAGTCGAGAACGTATTTGCGGAATCATGTTTGAATAAGGCCAGCTTGCATTTGCACTGATGACGTCATGCGTTATGACTTATTAGCTTGCTCGTCCGTCACATCCATTGTCATGAACCTGGGAATGACGTGTGCTTTTGTCGATGGAATAAGTTCACATCTGGTGTACATTGGGCTGCTAGATTTAGTATTCAGGCTATGCATAATTTCTAAATCTGCCTTGTTCGTGTCATAATTACAATAATTTCCTAGATTTGGTCCTCCATCTTTGTTTATGTACGGGAATCGGTACAGTTCTCTTAGCATTTACATCTAGGCATTCCGCGAAATGAAGACTCGCGTGAGTAATTGCCCCGAGTTGAGCACTCGAACAGATTTCCTATGCACCTGTCCTCGGATGTTGAGCGATTTGCGTTGCATTTATTGGAAGGTATCATGATACAACATTTACTTACCATTTTAAGTCATTCAGTAATGGGTCTGGTAATCCGAATAGGTAGTAATAGTTTTAAGCTGTCGATGTTAGTGTTGCAGTGTGCGACAGTGTTATCACCCTGTTCGAATCACAAACGAGGCAAAGTCGAGTCTCACCATTAGGAACTGGGCCTGTCTGAGGGACTAACCGCTTTGTACAATCTGATGCTGAAGTGCCATGCGTAGCGTGAAGCGTTCGGTTCAAACAGGGACTTCACTAAATGTTCAGTACTGATTCTGGTAGTTTGATTCGGTGGTAATGGTGATCTTTGGGCAACTGTCGATGGTAGTATTGCAGTGTGCGATAGTGTAGTCACCCTCTTCGAATCACAAACGAGGCAAAGTCGAGTCTCCTCATTAGGAACTGGGCCTGTCTGAGGGACTAACCGCCTTGTACAATCTGATGCTGAAATGCCATGCGTAGCGTGAAGCGTTCGATTCAAACAGTGACTTCGCTGAATGTTCTGTACTGAGTCTGGTAGTTTGATTCGGTGGTAATGGTGATCTTTGGGCAACTGTCGATGGTAGTATTGCTGTGTGCAACAGTGTAATCACCCTCTTCGAATCACAAACGAGGCAAAGTCGAGTCTCCCCATTAGGAACTGGGCCTGTCTGAGGGACTAACCGCCACGTGTAGTCGCCTCGTGCTGAAGTGCCATGCGTAGCGTAAGGCACTTCGGTTCCGACAGGGACTTACCCCTGACTTCCCCAGCACTTCCCGGCACCTCGTGACCGTGTTGGTCACGATGCACCAGGCAACGCCGAGGAAGCTCAGAACCAGCACACACTGCTCGAAGTTGAGAGACCACCCTAAGCGTTGCTATTGTGGTAGCGCAGTTGTTGTGTTGGTCTAGGCAGAAAAGTTTTTGAGTACCGATGGCAGTCCAAAGAGACACGTCAGTTGCATTAGGTAGGTTGTTGTATGCCAGTCTCAAGAACCTGTGAACCAGATGTTGTTCGGCGATACTCAAATGAAAATACTTTTGGCTCGGATATATTTTCGTAAACCATTCGTTTTGTATGAGAATGTTCAGAATACGAAAATTATTGATCAGTCGAAAAGGTTTTATTTTGACAAATCAGTGTCGTTTTAAATGAAATTGTCGGGCTTTAACATTAGAAGAGGAAATGATACAAAACAGGGTGTTTTTTGTAATCTCCAGTATATTAATTTGAGCATTGCAAATGATATTTGAAGATGGTTTAAAATCCCACGCATAAAAATATAATTTTTATACCATCACATACCTACATAGTTTAGATACCAAATGATATAGTTAAACACTTGTATTATGGAAATCTGAAACAACGAAGGTAACAACACCCAGACCAGAGACAATATAGAAAAGCTCATTATCTGTATTAACATGACCGAGAGTGGAATGCGGGAGCTCGGAAATGGTGACACCTTGGAACTGGTTAGCCACTCGCCCAAGATTCCACATATGCAATCTGGAACATCCTGATTGTTTCATAAACTTACAGATCGCATTAGATAGCCCCCTCCAATGTGTCATGTCATGCATTGTATTTATTTCTAAAGTTTAATGAACTGGTCTCATTACCATTTAAATATTGGTGTGTACTTCTGGTAATCTACCTTGAATCAACTTGCAGTTGCAACCATTTTATGCACCCCCTTGTTTTTTGGGTGCAATATACTATTATTAAAGAAGAACTTGTTCGTTCTTCCTATCAGCCAAGAGACGTCCTGAAGAAGTGGTGGGGAAAAATGTTGGACGATTCAAAAGAGAAGTCTATTTGAATAAATATTATTTTGACTTTGACTTTGAACTCTGAATTTGGCAAAAATTTCTGTAAAGGCACCTCAGAAAACTTCGCCACGGCTCTGAACACATCAGTGCGTCTTCCACTTAATATTTGGAAAATATAATCCTTGTTGAATGTTGATTAGATTTTATCAAAAAGCTCTTTAGCATTAAGGTCTTTAGCAATAGATCAATCTACAATTTGTTGTAAACTAGTTCTAAACTAATTGATTCATACTTTAATTCTGTTAAGGTATTTGTTAATTTGCTGTAGATTGTACCATTTCTATAAAATATAATTATAATGACTTCTATTCTCGCAAATAAAGATCTTATCTTAAATCATCAAATTGTTGTAGCAGAAACAAATCGCCTCAACTTATAATTTAATTTGAGCATGTTTCATCTAATTTGGTTTCACCATAGACTGGGTCGTTAACGTTATTAACAAAAAAAAAAATCCTATTTGAACTTGTGTTGATTGTTTTACTATAGTAGGTACATAAAGAAAATTATCACCAGTCGTAACCGCTGCAAGTAGGAACTGTTCAGGACCGTGGGGTCGTAAGGAACGTGATGGTGGCTGTGGTTGCCATAATTGCGGTCCTGGTATGGATACTATGTGCTATTTTGTTATGGAAAAATGCATAGGTGGATTTAGTTTTCCAGTTTTTATCATGCATTATCAAAAAATGTCACTGGTTGGGGTAACAAATCGAATGCAAATCACTTACAGTTTTTCTCGCTTCTGTACCTTACTTGCTCTCTCCGAGCTGGAATCCGACGACACTGTTCGATGAGCTCGAAGACAATAAAAGAGCTTGCTTCAATGCTGTTTTCTTTGTTTATTTCGCTGTCCCGTTGCTCCATTACGAAGGGAGGTTAATTTTATATTCATTTCATTTTAATTTTAACACTAAACTATATAATAATAAGTATAATTTGTGCACATTTTATGTAGGACCGATGTTTTCGCCACGAAAAACGACGCTATAATGACGGTAAGCGTTCGTGCCTAAAAGTCATTGGTTCGCTACCCGCAAACTAGATGGCAGCACAGGCGCCGGAAGTAAGAAGGGAGGTATTGTTTTGGACCGGAAACGTCACAAAAAGGATGATGCTTGACTCTAGATGGATTCCGGATATCGAACGGAACAAATAATATCGCTGTTATGTAGAAAGCAAAAACCTAAGCTAATCAAACATTAAGCGATAGTTCAAACCAAATGCACATTCTGCTAGTGATAGTGAAGACTATTAGGTAGTTTATTTCTTTTTAATCAATAAATATAAGATAACATCACGTTCATTGCTTTCCAAATTAAATAACTCAGAATACAAGTAGTATTTTGAAAATCTGAAACAACAAAAGTACCATAACATCTAGCTCCGAGGAATCACACCAGACCTCAAAGATGGCGACACCACAACTTGAAAGAGGAGTACGAGCCACTCAATCATAGACAGTCGACAATTTCCTTACATAATCATCCTTTTGTTTGTATTGAATCATTATTGTTCTATTTAAAGGCTATATAAGCGCTGATACGTTGTATACTTTTGAAGTCGATATGAATTTAACAAAGCTGTTCCGCCAAAACGTACATGAATATTGATTATTTATAAAAATAACCACTGATAAAATTAAGATCTAACATAATCATTATAATTAGCTGTTTTAGTTCAGTGTTTTAACTATATGAAAACTAATTCATCCTATTTTTAATATTGGGATGGCATTTAGCCATATATGCAAGGAGCTGCTTAAGAGGGCTAATAGTCAGCAAAATATTGCGAGAGGATGAAATGTTGACATTGTACCAAGTTTAATGGTTTGATTTTCAAAAGCATATAAAGTGGCCTTATTTATGGTATATCCTGGTGTAACTAGCACCACAAATAATGCAAAAATTATACTACAAGTAATATAGAACCTACCGAACCTTGTAGCAACCTACTTCGCCCTCAATAATTTTCACTACCACTTCGCAGAAATACAACATCCGTCCTACATCCGTTAGACGCGTTTCCCGAGCTAATAGCACCTAACTCGGAGAGAAACATTTACCTTTTAGCTATTTTTCAGTCATGTTGTTTGCCAGGGCCAATATTCAATATTCAACACGTCTGATTATTAAAAATCCAAAATGAATGACATCCTAAGGAGCGTAAGGGCTTTTAAATCAAAAACCGGTTACTTTTTTATTTAGATATAGTACCTATTGAGATTTTTATACATGGGATACAAACTCTTTGTTCATTCAAAAATTCAGAATAATTAAAGAGAAAATTAGGAAGTAATAAAAAAAAACATTAGTTCCCGAAATCAAACTAGATGTCGCTACGGTACTTTCTTGATTTCTCCATGACAACCCTTCCAGTTTTCTTTCATGTTTGAAAGTAAATTAGTTTTCAAAACTCAAAAAACAACTTATAATCATTCTATTTGTACTTTTCGTTTTTGTATTGATATCTAAGTTTGGAACTATACAAATTTCAGTTTTTTAATTTGTTAGTTAAAAGAAACGGAAATGACTGTCTTTGGTCCATTGGTTTCCTGCAAAAATAATCTTTTGCTAGAGTCGCTATCTAGTGGAGGTGCTGTTTTAGTGCTTTCGTTTTTTTTTAATACTTCCTCATTACTGTTGTGTCACATGGCTCTTGGAAAAATGTTTTGATTAAGTTCTAAAAGTTATGTTAATTATTTGAAAACTACAATAGTATTTATAAATAAATCAATGCTGAACTGATTCAAATTGTAAGGTAATACCTACTGTTGTATCTCAATCACGTTATACACCTACCGCAGGATACATTTAGATTCAGAGTGCACAAGAAATCTGTGACTTTCACCACCTTACAACTGGGTTGCAGCATATCGAGTAAATGGCTATAGGACCATCACAGAAAACATTAAAAATTTGTTTATGAAAGTGCAATAAACAAATCCCTTCACTTTGTCTCTTCCGTCAGCTCGGCTATCTGTCTTCTCCTACCAGGTTTAGAGGAAGAACCTATACAAAAGCGAGTTAAGAGTAAGTCAGATGCACCGAAGGTTCCGCACAAATATTAAACAAAAGATTATAATAGGTATTTCTCATACGCGATTGATATATTTCTATAATATATACGTAAGCATAAATTTTTTCATGTACGTTTACACATGTTGAGTTTCGGAGAAACTTTAAAATTAGAATTTAAAAATATTTATGAATAATTTCCTTTTTTTTCTCTTTTTTATATTTTAAATTTATTTATAATGTTATCTTTTATATATTTATTTGTTTTCTTTTTATTAAAGAGATTGTTTTTTGAGATTAATATCGATACTTAAACATACATCGATATTTTCATAACTTATGTGCCCCACTGACTGACGTCATTGAATCGTTGAAAGAAGGACATGTGTTTTGTGTTTATTGATTTGATAAATCATCGTATTTTTTAAAAGGAAAGTTTTAGTGGGGAAATAAATTAACTTTCTATAAATCAGTGAAGCGAAATATATAAGTGTCTTACGGAAAGGTGAGTTTTTTTATTCTTTTGTTTTAATTAATTTTTAAACTACATTTTACAAGAAAATTTTATCACATTCAAGAAATATTAATTTGAGAGCTATACAATTTATCTTTATGCAGTAAATTACTGCACCAAGTTACTTTGAAGGGCTGAGAGAGGTACTATAATAACGATTTATGAAAAAACAACTTCTTATAAAATTAAGTAATAAAACATACATCTCTTTGGAACATAATTATAACCTTCTACTTTTCGATTTTGTAGTTGGTGAAAAATTATCACAAATTATAACACTATTTTCGAAAATGTGTAAATATTGTAAAACTTAGTCAATGCTAAATAAACTACCTTTGTACTAATTATAATTATCGCTGAAGAACATGCACATTTAATCAATTTTGAATTGCTAGGTTTACTTATGCAGATGTTAAATTATTGCTTATGCAATAAGAAAATACTAATTATTATATCTAGATAAATGTCATGGTCGTAGCTAGAACTGTCAGCTGCAAAATTTAAAAGCCTAAAAAATCAACTAAAAACAACAATATATTTATAAAAATGTCAACATGATTCCAAAATAATGAAAATAAAAATGAAATGAAAATGAAAAAAATCTTTATTGCTTCTTATAACAAAATTACATGGGCCATTTAAATAGTTTTGTTAAACAGGTATTGTATTATTTTGTTTTAGTGCAAAAGGGTAGTGGCTCAGCTACTGTATTTTATAATTATTAATAAAATACAAATTGTCACTTCCATCTAATCAAATTGATAAGAAAAAAATTTTAATGTCAGCATCTTTATCAAATAACTAGTTGTGCCCGCGACTTCGTCTGTGTAGAGTAGTGACTTTAGGCAGCATCTTTAATTTTTGAGTTTCATACCCAAAGGATAAAACGATAAACCTATTACTAAGGCTTTGCTGTCTGTCTGTCTGTCACCAGGCTGTCTCATGTATTGTGAAAATTAGACAGCTGAATTTTTGCACAGATATATATTTAAGATATATATATATATATATATATATATATTTATTTCATTTGCTGCTTTAACAACAATAAAATAAAATAAATATTTAAGGGGTCTCCCATACAAGAAACATGATTTTTTCCTGTAACGAGGCTGTATCTTATGAACCGTGATAATTATACAGTTATGATTTTCACAGATGAAAAATATTTAAGGCCATAGAAGAAACATAATTTTTTGTTTGTTTTTGGTTTGGAACCCTTCATGCACGAGTTGACTCACACTTGACCCGTTTTGTATGCTAATTATTTTACAAATAAAACTCATCTATTTATTAGAAATATCATTTTACAGTATTTCACGATAGCTAAGCACAAACGCCTAATAAATTACCCAAATAATCAAAACCTGTAGTTTATACAATTATTTTACTTAGCAAAGAAAAATAATAAAATTACTTTGGAAAGCGAATAAACATATTTTAAACAATGCAAAGATTTAGGAAACATAGTCACTCCAACCAACTAATAAATTAAAAAAAACAATATAAGTATCTCATTTTCTACTGTTTAAAGTATTTGTAGTTATTAACTATTATATGTCATACAATAAAATGTTCCAAATAATATGTTTAATAAAACATATTATTTGCGTTTTTAAATATAAAAACTCATTTACTGAATAAAATCATTTCTCAACTAACCATGTTTTCAAACAAGATTTATATAATTTATGTGACAACAATTTTAGTTAGTCCAGTATGTTATTATTAGATAGCTGCATATGACATTGACAATTGACAGTTCTTATTAGATATCTTTATTGACATCACATATGAGTTTTTCTTGTTATAGTTGGTTCTTATAAATGGCAAATGTAATTTATCAGGAAATCTTGTGTAAAATTACAAACATCTTTTCTGTTATATACAGTTCAAATTCAATCAAACTAACACACCAGTTTAAAAAATACAGTAGCACAGTGGCGTAGCTAGGTAATCTAGGGCCCTAGGGCAAATAAAAAAATGGGGCCCACTGCTATCAAAACTGGTAAGGTTTTTTGAAGTAAAATCATTAAATATACAAATACTTTAAAAATGCTAAGCAACTTTATCATCAGCTCTTTTTCGTGCAAAGGCAGGTAATAAAACTATTAAACACTAACAACATAAATTACAATTATTTTTATACTTGGTGTAGGTATTGGGCAATAAAACGAAATAGAAAAGATTCAAGGGTTTATTATATATTTATTTATTCATAGATACGTGCACCAGCTTACTGTTATTTAACCTATCGCCATGCAAGCTATTTACAAAAATTATCAATAGAAATATTTGGTCCAGAAGTACTTGCAGAAGGCAGACTAAAAAACTTGTCAATTTTGGGCAATTTTTGTTTACTTTCTCCTCTTTCTTGGCGTTGTTTGCGTTTAAATGCACAATTTTTTTTTGTCCATAATATTAGTTTTCTAATTTATTTATGCAATATTTATGTAAGATTGTACTTAAGTAGGTACTCACTGTTCACTGACAACGTTACAAGTAAAAGGAAAGCGAAACGTAATGATACGATACAAGACGTCGTTGGGGAATCCCCGGCAAACATTTCATCGCCGCCAGTGTTACCACATTTGACGGTTTGACGGACTACAATAAAATAAAATGAACTTTTGTATGGAACAGTACAAAAAATTTATTGACATACGCTTACTACCTGATACAATAACTTTTTAACCATTCTCGAAAAAAAATCTTGACTCGAAGTTCACAATCGCGAATCACAAAGACGCATATCGATAAATAATAATATGCAGATATTGATATCCAACAAATTGATGAAAACATTAATAACACTGTCAACCCACACAAATAATTTACGGGAATTCCCTTTTTACCCGACTGGGCGACGCAAAGGAGGGTACCTAATTATAACTTTGGAATTACTCACAACTGAGTTTCCATGATTAAACTCGAGTTGTCATCTGTCATTTTTATTTTGAAGATGGGAGAAATTTTCAAAAGTTGAGTTCGATTGAGATTTTCTGGTAAAGATTCGAGGGCCTCCTGAGCTTGAGGGCCCCGGGGCACTGCCCCGCCTAGCCCCTTGGTAGCTACGCCACTGCAGTAGCATCATCTAGCGAAAACAACTAATTGTAGCATTTTATTATTTCGCCAGATTAACAATGATCCATTAAATTACGTTATTGGAATACGTAAAATTAAAAAGGAAAGCTCATTTGTTTCATAAAAATTGGAAAAAAATAAAGACAAGAAAAATCAAGATTCCGTTTTAAATGTACAGTAGCGACATCTAGTGCTCAGTAGAGGCAGCGAAATGTAACATTTTATTTTTTTGGCGCTATTAATAAGTCCCCATTTAATTGTGTTATTGGAATAACTGCAAAATTAAAAACGAAAGCTACTTTATTTGATAAAAATAAGACTACAATATCCCGTTTTAAATTACAGTGGCGTCAGCTAGAGCTCAGTAGAGGCAACGAAATGTAACATTTTCGTGTGTTTGACAATTTAACATATGCATTTAATATTAGCGACAAAGATTGTACCAATTAAAATAATTAAAAACATATTAAATCCTGCGTAAACAGCTTAAATCATTTAAAAGGATTTGTTCTTTTTTCTCAGATATTAATGGACTATTTATTTACAAAATAAAAAAAAGGTTGTCAACAAAGCCTACAGAAATTTATTACAACTATAACTAAAATTATCACGTTGTAACAAATTTGATTAGATTACCTTATTATAACATAAGGTAACAATACTGTAGTTTATATTATATTCATTACAGTAAATTGTATGCTATCATGCATGTATTAAGCAATGTTCACTGGTTTGTGCTCCCCTGTAGTGTATGATCATAATAATAGTGTTATTTTTGGATGCCACTTGTATTCCTAATTGAGACTAATAACTTACTTCATTTATGAGCCATATGGTTTATCTGTTGTAAAAATAGGCTCAGTCAATTTTGTACCTTAAACCAAAGACCATTAAGAAAGTAATAGAGCATATGGACTATGTAATTCATGTTGGTGATATCACACATCTTTTTATCATAAGTAATAGTCTGACTTATCAATAGAGATCTCTTTATCTTAAATTTTAATATTCTGTGATTATCTAACCCAGTTTCCTCAGATACAGAATACTATTTTCTACATAATTATTTCAGAGTTCCAGAAATAATCTTATTATCAGGATAAAATTAAAGTTTATTTAAAAGATGCATCATTATAACTAATTTTTATTTCTTCGTAATTGGTTTATCGACAAATGATATGAGCCCAAAGAAATCTAAATAGAAGATCCTGTTAACCAATGTAATTTGCTGTTTTGCCGCTCTCTGCCAGATAGTTACGCGGTGGAGCCGCCCTTTTGCTACGCTCATTGGATCCGTCATTATTTGGTAGCGGATTTTAAATACATGCCCTGCTAGCTATACCACTTTAATATTTTCCCTTGCAGTATTTTCAAATCAAAGATCCTATTGAAGTGTTAATTTATTCATAGAAATGAATCATATATAATTCTAATAATAGGACCAACGATAAAAACGCCCGAGTTTTGTTTTGCTTTTTATATGGATCGATAATTAGACTATTAACCTTTTATGACACTCTGATTAATCAAAACGGTGTCCAATCCTAGACCAATTATGATTGGTCTGCCGACAGTTGATCTGTCGTCAGGGCTTTATCAGGACATACCAATCAGGGCTTCACTTAGGCCGTATAGCCAATCTCCGAACCATGAGACCTAAATATAAAAAGCTCATGAAATTACAGATAATATAGACACAGGAAAACCTATAAACCATTCGCTTCTATGGTTTTAAATCTGCGCGCAAATCGGATGCGTTCTTGACCGGTTTTTTAGTTACCAGCCGTGAAAATTTTTGGATTTTTCAAGGGAGTCAACTAAAAACTGAAAGTTATAATTTTGTATTGGTCATAACTATGTCTATAAATATGATT